GTGATAACCCTATCATTGTATGTAAAAACACATAAGTGATAACCGTATCATGTTATGTAAACTTCCACAAGTGATAACCCTATCATGCTATATCAAACACCACAAGTGATAACCCTATCATTGTATGTGAAAACACATAAGTGATAACCCTACCATGTTATGTAAACATCCACAAGTGATAACCCTATCATGCTATATCAAACACCACAAGTGATAACCCTATCATTGTATGTAAAAACACATAAGTGATAACCCTATCATGTTATGTAAACGTCCACAAGTGATAACCCTATCATGCTATATCAAACACCACAAGTGATAACCATATCATGCTATATCAAACACCACAAGTGATAACCCTATCATGCTATATCAAACACCACAAGTGATAACCCTATCATTGTATGTAAAAACACATAAGTGATAACCCTATCATGTTACATAAACGTCCACAAGTGATAACCCTATCATGCTATATCAAACACCACAAGTGATAACCCTACCATGTTATGTAAACATCCACAAGTGATAACCCTATCATGCTATATCAAACACCACAAGTGATAACCCTATCATGCTATATCAAACACCACAAGTGATAACCCTATCATGCTATATCAAACACCACAAGTGATAACCCTATCATTGTATGTAAAAACACATAAGTGATAACCCTATCATGTTATGTAAACGTCCACAAGTGATAACCCTATCATGCTATATCAAACACCACAAGTGATAACCCTATTATTGTATGTAAAAACACATAAGTGATAACCCTATCATGTTATGTAAACATCCATAAGTGATAACCCTACAATGTTATGTAAACATCCACAAGTGATAACCCTATCATGCTATATCAAACACCACAAGTGATAACCCTATCATGCTATATCAAACACCACAGGTGATAACCCTATCATGCTATATCAAACACCACAAGTGATAACCCTATCATTGTATGTAAAAACACATAAGTGATAACCGTATCATGTTATGTAAACTTCCACAAGTGATAACCCTATCATGCTATATCAAACACCACAAGTGATAACCCTATCATTGTATGTAAAAACACATAAGTGATAACCCTACCATGTTATGTAAACATCCACAAGTGATAACCCTATCATGCTATATCAAACACCACAAGTGATAACCCTATCATTGTATGTAAAAACACATAAGTGATAACCCTATCATGTTATGTAAACATCCACAAGTGATAACCCTATCATGCTATATCAAACACCACAAGTGATAACCATATCATGCTATATCAAACACCACAAGTGATAACCCTATCATGCTATATCAAACACCACAAGTGATAACCCTATCATTGTATGTAAAAACACATAAGTGATAACCGTATCATGTTATGTAAACTTCCACAAGTGATAACCCTATCATGCTATATCAAACACCACAAGTGATAACCCTATCATTGTATGTGAAAACACATAAGTGATAACCCTACCATGTTATGTAAACATCCACAAGTGATAACCCTATCATGCTATATCAAACACCACAAGTGATAACCCTATCATTGTATGTAAAAACACATAAGTGATAACCCTATCATGTTATGTAAACGTCCACAAGTGATAACCCTATCATGCTATATCAAACACCACAAGTGATAACTCTATCATGCTACATCAAACACCACAAGTGATAACCCTATCATGCTATATCAAACACCACAAGTGATAACCCTATCATGCTATATCAAACACCACAAGTGATAACCCTATCATGCTATATCAAACACCACAAGTGATAACCCTATCATTGTATGTAAAAACACATAAGTGATAACCCTATCATGTTATGTAAACGTCCACAAGTGATAACCCTATCATGCTATATCAAACACCACAAGTGATAACCCTTCCATTGTATGTAAAAACACATAAGTGATAACCCTACCATGTTATGTAAACATCCACAAGTGATAACCCTATCATGCTATATCAAACACCACAAGTGATAACCCTATGATGCTATATCAAACACCACAAGTGATAACCCTATCATGCTATATCAAACACCACAAGTGATAACCCTATCATTGTATGTAAAAACACATAAGTGATAACCCTATCATGTTATGTAAACGTCCACAAGTGATAACCCTATCATGCTATATCAAACACCACAAGTGATAACCCTATCATTGTATGTAAAAACACATAAGTGATAACCCTATCATGTTATGTAAACGTCCACAAGTGATAACCCTATCATGCTATATCAAACACCTCAAGTGATAACCCTATCATGCTATATCAAACACCACAAGTGATAACCCTATCATTGTATGTAAAAACACATAAGTGATAACCCTATCATGTTATATAAACGTCCACAAGTGATAACCCTATCATGCTATATCAAACACCACAAGTGATAACCCTACCATGTTATGTAAACATCCACAAGTGATAACCCTATCATGCTATATCAAACACCACAAGTGATAACCCTATCAAGCTATATCAAACACCACAAGTGATAACCCTATCATTGTATGTAAAAACACATAAGTGATAACCGTATCATGTTATGTAAACGTCCACAAGTGATAACCCTATCATGCTATATCAAACACCACAAGTGATAACCCTATTATTGTATGTAAAAACACATAAGGGATAACCCTACCATGTTATGTAAACATCCACAAGTGATAACCCTATCATGCTATATCAAACACCACAAGTGATAACCCTATGATGCTATATCAAACACCACAAGTGATAACCCTATCATGCTATATCAAACACCACAAGTGATAACCCTATCATTGTATGTAAAAACACATAAGTGATAACCCTATCATGTTATGTAAACGTCCACAAGTGATAACCCTATCATGCTATATCAAACACCACAAGTGATAACCCTATCATTGTATGTAAAAACACATAAGTGATAACCCTATCATGTTATGTAAACGTCCACAAGTGATAACCCTATCATGCTATATCAAACACCACAAGTGATAACCCTATCATTGTATGTAAAAACACATAAGTGATAACCCTATCATGTTATGTAAACGTCCACAAGTGATAACCCTATCATGCTATATCAAACACCACAAGTGATAAGTCTATCACGTTATGTAAAAAAACACAAGTGATAACCCTATCATGATATGTAAAAACCACAAGTGACAATGCTGCCATGTTATGTAAAAATACCTAAGTGATATCCCTATCATGTTATGTAAAAAAAAGACACAAGTGTTAACCCTATCATGTTACATCAAACACTACAAGTGATAACCCTATCATGTTACATCAAACACTACAAGTGATAACCCTATCATGTTACATCAAACACTACAAGTGATAACCCTATCATGTTACATCAAACACTACAAGTGATAAACCTATCATGGTATGTAAAAATCCACAAGTGATAACAACCACGTGCACGTCTGTTCCCCCACCTCTAAGATATAACGCTTCTATGTAATATATCAAACCCACATGTTATAACGCTTCTATGTCATATATCAAACCCACATGTTATAACGCTTCTATGTCATATATCAAACCCACATGTTATAACGCTTCTATGTAATATATCACACCCACATGTTATAACGCTTCTATGTCATATATCAAACCCACATGTTATAACGCTTCTATGTAATATATCACACCCACATGTTATAATGCTTCTATGTCATATATCAAACCCACATGTTATAACGCTTCTATGTAATATATCACACCCACATGTTATAACGCTTCTATGTCATATATCAAACCCCTAAGTTATTACAATGCTGTCCTTTAACTAATAACCCTGCTTTGTTTTATATCAAAGGCACATGTTGTAACACTACTTTGTAAAATATCAAACACATACTTTATAACACTACTTTGTCAAGTATCAAACACACGTTATAACACTGCTTTGTCTGGTATCAAACACACGTTATAACACTTGTTTATCAAGTATAAAGCACACGTTATAACACTGCTTTGTCTGGTATCAAACAAACGTTATAACACTACTTTGTCAAGTATCAAACATATACGTTTTAACACTACTTTGTCAAATATCAAAAACACACGTTATAACACTACTTTGTCAAGTATAACACACGTTATAATACTACTTTGTCTGGTATCAAACAAACGTTTAAACACTACCTTATCAAGTATCAAACACACACGTTATAACACTACTTTGTCAAGTATCAAACACACGTTATAACATTACTTTGTCACATATAACATACATTATAACACTACTTTATCAAGTATCAAACACACGTTATAACATTACTTTGTCACATATAACACACACATTATAACACTACTTTGTCACATATAAAACACACAAATTATAATAACACTACTCCGTCACATATAAAACACACACGTTACAACACTTCTTTGTCAAGCATCCAACACACACGCTATAACACGACTCTGTCACATATAAAACACACACGTTACAACACTTCTTTGTCAAGCATCCAACACACACGCTATAACACGACTCTGTCACATATAAAACACACACGTTACAACACTTCTTTGTCAAGCATCCAACACACACGCTATAACACGACTCTGTCACATATAAAACACACACGTTACAACACTTCTTTGTCAAGCATCCAACACACACGCTATAACACTACTCAGTCACATATAAAACACACACGTTACAACACTTCTTTGTCAAGCATCCAACATACACGCTATAACACGACTCTCCCACATATAAAACACACACGTTACAACACTTCTTTGTCAAACATCCAACACACACGCTATAACACGACTCTGTCACATATCAAACACACACGCTATGCCACTACTGTCAAAATTAACTCCCTGCAAGTGAGAACTACTCCGGTGTATTATTACGCCCCAAAACTACTCTCTACTGCAAACCAAACCTCTACCTGTGGCGACACTGCCTCTACCCCTGCCTCTAGCAGACACATATAAACACAGTCTTACCCGTCTGTATCCCGCCCGTCGCTCGAGCACGACGGCCTATCACCTACTGCCTCTAGATAACGCTCCAAGATGGGTTTCCTGCTGGTCGATAACCTACCTGCTTATGTAGGTACTTTAGTGTCTCAGTTTTATATTATCAATATTCCATATATAGAAAACTCAAGCTATGTATTAATGATACTCACGATAACAAAGTTACATTATGTGTGCTGTTGAATTTGACACCTCTACAGCAGCCCTTCAGCACCTCTATACACCCTTCAGCAAACACCCACACTGTCACCATCACCGCTGTAAAACGAAGTTCTTCTACCCGGTTATTACAGTAAGATAACACCCCCAAAGCACCCCAATAGCACTCCTGCAGCACCTCTATAACAACCCCACAGCACCTCTATAGCAGCCCTACAGCACCTCTATAGCACCCTGTAGCACCTCTATAACACCTCTATAGCACCCCTACAGCACCTCTATAACACCCCCACAGCACCTCTAAAGCAGCCCTACAGCACCTCTATAGCACCTCTATAACACCTCTATAGCACCCCTACAGCACCTCTATAACACCTTTATAACACCCCAACAGCACATCTATAGCACCCTATAGCACCTCTATAACGCCCCCACAGCACCTCTATAGCAGCCCTACAGCACCTTTATAGCACCCTATAGCACCTCTATAACACCTCTATAGCATCCCTACAGCACCGCTATAACACCTTAATAACACCCCCACAGCACCTCTATAGCACCCTATAGCACCTCTATAACGCCTCTATAGCACCCCTACATCACCTCTATAACACCCCTATAACACTCATATAACACCTCCACATGACCTCTAAAGCACCCCTACAGCACCCCTATAACACCTCTATAACACCCCAACAGCACCTCTATAGCAGCCATACAGCACCTCTATATCACCCTATAACGCCTTTATAACACCTCTATAGCACCCCTACAGCACCTCTATAACACCCCCACAGCAACTCTACAGCACCCTATAGCACCTCTATAACGCCTCTATAGCACCCCTACATCACCTCTATAACACCCTATAACACTCATATAACACCCCAACCTGACCTCTATAGCACCCCTACAGCACCCCTATGACACCTCTATAACACCTCTACAGCACCCCTACAGCACCTCTATAGCACCTCTACATCAGCCCTTCAGTATCTCTATAACACCTCTACAGGAGCCCTTCAGCACCTCTATTACACCTCTACAGCACCCCTACAGCACCTCTATAACACCTCTACAGGAGCCCTTCAGCACCTGTATAACACCTCTACAGGAGCCCTTCAGCACCTCTATAACACCTCTACAGGAGCCCTTCAGCACCTCTATAACACCTCTACAGCACCCCTACAGCACCTCTATAGCACCTCTACAGGAGCCCTTCAGCACCTCTATAACACCCCTACAGGAGCCCTTCAGCACCTCTATAACACCTCTACAGGAGCCTTTCAGCACCTCTATAACACCTCTATAGCATCCCTACAGCACCTCTATAACACCTTAATAACACCCCCACAGCACCTCTATAGCACCCTATAGCACCTCTATAACGCCTCTATAGCACCCCTACATCACCTTTATAACACCCCTATAACACTCATATAACACCCCAACCTGACCTCTATAGCACCCCTACAGCACCCCTATAACACCCCTATAACACTCATATAACACCTCCACATGACCTCTAAAGCACCCCTACAGCACCCCTATAACACCTCTATAACACCCCAACAGCACCTCTATAGCACCCCTACAGCACCTCTATAGCACCTCTACATCAGCCCTTCAGCATCTCTATAACACCTCTACAGGAGCCCTTCAGCACCTCTATAACACCTCTACAGCACCCCTACAGCACTCTATAGCACCTCTACAGGAGCCCTTCAGCACCTCCATAACACCTCTACATCGGCCCTTCAGCACCTCTATAACACCTCTACAGCACCCCTTTAGCACCTCTATAGCACTTCTACAGGAGCCCTTCAGCACCTCCATAACACCTCTACATCGGCCCTTCAGCACCTCTATAACACCTCTACAGCACCCCTACAGCACCTCTATAGCACCTCTACAGGAGCCCTTCAGCACCTCCATAACACCTCTACATCGGCCCTTCAGCACCTCTATAACACCTCTACAGCACCCCTTCAGCACCTCTATAGCACTTCTACAGGAGCCCTTCAGCACCTCTATAACACCCTATAACTCATATAACACCCCAACCTGACCTCTATAGCACCCCTACAGCACCCCTATGACACCTCTATAACACCTCTACAGCACCCCTACAGCACCTCTATAGCACCTCTACATCAGCCCTTCAGCATCTCTATAACACCTCTACAGGAGCCCTTCAGCACCTCTATAACACCTCTACAGCACCCCTACAGCACCTCTATAGCACCTCTACAGGGGCCCTTCAGCACCTCTATAACACCTCTACAGGAGCCCTTCAGCACCTCTATAACACCTCTACAGGAGCCCTTCAGCACCTCTTTAACACCTCTACAGGAGCCCTTCAGCACCTCTATAACACCTCTACAGCAGGCCTTCAGCACCTCTATAACACCTCTACAACAGCCCTTCAGCACCTCTATACACCCTTCAGCAAACACCCACACTGTCACCATCACCGCTGTAGAACGAAGTTCTTCTACCCTGTTATTACAATAAGATAACACCCCCAAAGCACCTCTATAGCACTCCTACAGCACCTCTATAACACCCCCACAGCGTCTCTATAGCAGCCCTACAGCACCTCTATATCACCTCTATAACACCTCTATAACACCCCTACAGCACCTCTATAACACCCCCACAGCACCTCTATAGCACCCTATAGCACCTCTTTAACGCCTCTATAGCACCCCTACATCACCTCTATAACACCCCTATAACACTCATATAACACCCCCACATGACCTCTATAGCACCCCTACAGCACCCCTATAACACCTCTATAACACCCCCACAGCACCTCTAAAGCAGTTCTACAGCACCTCTATAAAACCTTTATAGCACCCAACAGCACCTCTATAACACCCCACAGCACCTCTATAGCACTCTATAGCACCTCTATAACGCCTCTATAGCACCCCTACATCACCTCTATAACACCCCTATAACACTCATATAACACCCCCACATGACCTCTATAGCACCCCTACAGCACCCCTATAACACCTCTATAACACCCCCACAGCACCTCTAAAGCAGCTCTACAGCACCTCTATAAAACCTTTATAGCACCCCAACAGCACCTCTATAACACCCCACAGCAGCCCTTCAGCACCAATATAACACCCAACAGCACCTCTATAACAACTCTACAGAAGCCCTTTAGCACTGCTATAACACCTCTACAGGAGCCCTTCAGCACCTCTATAACACCTCTACATCAGCCCTTCAGCACCTCTATAACACCTCTACAGGAGCCCTTCAGCACCTCTATAACACCTCTACAGCACCCCTACAGCACCTCTATAGCACCTCTACATCAGCCCTTCAGCACCTCTATAACACCTCTACAGCACCCCTTCAGCACCTCTATAGCACCTCTACAGGAGGCCTTCAGCACCTCTATAACACCTCTATAGGAGCCCTTCAGCACCACTATTAGACCTCTACAGGAGCCCTTCAGCACCTCTATAACACCTCTACAGGAGCCCTTCAGCACCTCTATAGCAGGCCTTCAGCACCTCTATAACACCCTTCAGCAAACACCCACACTGTAACCATCACCGCTGTAGAACGAAGTTCTTCTACCCTGTTATTACAATAAGATGCTGTGTGGGTATCCTCGGGGGAGTTTCAGTTTGTTCGGGACCTTATAGACAAGATGCTGCCTGTATCCAATAATCCTAATTGTACCTTATCGCCCTCCATTCATGCCAGCTACACAATGATGCGACAATACCCGATCTATACTTTATACTTTCTAGATTAAAATACCATCGATTTCGAAGCGCAAGCTGAAATATTTAATAAGACATGTGTCATCAAAGAATATCGGGCCTTTTTCCGGTCTTCTATAACATGGTGGCAGTTTTGTAAAGTGGTTTTTCTGTTTCATAAAAGAAGACATAAATGTTTGAGCTGATGTTATTGGTGTTGTAGCATTGCGAAACGACAAAACAGAAAATAGAGAGTCGTTCTGCAGCATTGAACATTGAAGCAATTATGCATACCATGGTGATTGTTAACACGTGGGGACGCACTACGAGTAGTTCTGATGGGACTATTCCAGATAGGACTGGCGGTAGGAAGGGCTCACCATGCAGCACATATCATGAGTACTGAATCTTGCGATGCATAGCAAAACAGCACGAAAGTTTATATACAGCCAATAAATTCTCAGCAATGGATCTCTCATGGAGGTGGAGGGTACAACCCATGACATCGTTTTATCAGTGCCAAGGACAAGGTATGACGAACACGTGTTTGGTCAACTAGATATGCAAAAAGGTATCAGATATGATTATAATAATGAGAACTGGACATTCGCATGTTCTGGACTTCAGTAAAAGGAATTGAATTATTTGGAAGGAACTGATTAAATTCCCGACGTAAACATAAGCCAACAATAGTGCCGAAAGCTACTGGCAAGCGCGGAAGCACCTTGATGTAGCTTCAAATAAACTGTTTGGAGCGTGCCCATTTGCTGTAACGGCTGCAAGACAGAATGTTTAGAGAATGTAGTGCATTTTGTCTTTTCAGGAAGGGTCATGAAAAAAATGAACAAGGGCACGGGGAGGGTCATCCAAAAATAAGACAAGCGTTAAGGAAGAGTAAATATTTTCAGTTCTGTATGTTTTTTAACCCGCTTCGCTTTCTAGACTGTTGGTTCTTACCAACACAGTAGTGTGAGTTTATGCCATGTGTTTCACTTCTAAAACTGGCTGTTTGGATGCATCATGCCACAAAACAAAGCGCGCAGTGTATGTGAAAATGGCAGAGTCGATTGTTTATTGCCTTTGAATCTTACAGTTCTTACTTGATTTAATAAGGACATTGGTTCATTGCTTTTGTTTTCTGATCAACCAAAGGGGAGGCCATGCGAATAGACATGCATGCATGCAAAGAATTGATTTGTTTAAGTTATGTTCTTGAACATGCGTCGCGCGAGAGCCGTCTACCGAAAAAGTAATATGTAAGTTTTTACAGAGACCATATAGAGGTCTATTATACGGTCTCTGCTTTTTATTCACAACTCGTGGTGCGACTATTCGAATACGCAGAGGTTCTGAATGAAGACTTGGTAGCTTGCTTTTTATGCCATTTAACTCTAGTAGATAGGTGCAAGCAGAACTGTGTCAGCAGATAGCGGTGCCTAGCAAGGCTTATATTGCCAAAGTCACATTGCATTGTATTTGGATAGTGATTAGTTGTCAGGAATGTAGTACTTTTTAATGTAAGCAGTAGTTAGGACGTTATTATATTTGGATGCTCGAATTATCTCTTAACTTCCTGAATAGCATGGATGGATGTCAAGCGTTATAGAAACATGTGGATTAATCTGTGATGGTCAAGTTACACTGGACTGGTCAAGCACTAGTTGGAACGTGCTGGAAGCTAGTAAGACTATACTAAGTGGAGCGGGCGTGTGCCTGCAATCTTACATGTCATCTCACATTTCATCTGATATTACATCAATACCAACTTTCGTGTGAATATCACTTTTCGCCCTTATTCTCGGAAGTTTGACCACTGTTGCGGCTAGGTGATTATTACTATTGTCATTGTGTCTCACATTTTATATTTTGATTCAATATTGTACTACAGCCCTATTGTGTACAGCCAATGCAGTTGCTGTGCAGTAATCTGTATGGATTTGTAAACTTAGTTAATTTTGTAATACAGTTGTCCATATACGTGTTGTTGTTTGTTGTGTGTATATAATTATGAAGCATTGGTTTCAGGGGGCAGTTGATAGTAACTGAACAATACAATGGAGATCAGGATTATCAATTTGTACGCACGCGCGGGGAATGGCATCTTTATACTTTATCAATCCTGGGTGATGCGAGTTTTCACAATGCTTCATTTTTATCGGGGATATATGATCGAAAATACAAGATGATAATCCTACAGACATGACATCGGTCAGTCAAGTATATCGACAGACCAAAGAGAAGACGATTTGTTTTGCAGTGAGGTTGTTTAATCACGATAGTGTGTGGTTGGACAAGAATTAACTTATGTATGTAATAACATCGGTATGTATTATTGGTATTTAATACAATGAGATTGTTGTCTCAGTAGTATTGCCCTACAGCCTGTGTTCTTCGAGAAGAAGTTGTCACAGTATGTGACAGTCTGTGTGGTTGTCACAGTAGTATCGTCCTGATACAGTCTGTGTGGTTGTCACAATAGTATCGCCCTTATGCAGTCTATGTGGTTGAAGAAGGATAGTTGTCACAGTGGTATTGTCCTGGTGCTGTCTGTGTGATTGAAGAAGAGTAGTTGTCACTGTAGTATTGTCCTGATGTACTCTGTATGGTTGAAGAAGGATAGTTGTCACAGTAGTATTGTCCTGATGTAGTCTGTATGGTTGAAGAAGGATAGTTGTCACAGTAGTATTGTCCTGATGCAGTCTATATGGTTGAAGAAGGATAGTTGTCACAGTAGTATTGTCCTGATGTAGTCTGTATGGTTGAAGGACAGTTGTCACAGTAGTATTGTCCTGATGTAGTCTGTGTGGTTGAAGAAGGATAGTTGTCACAGTAGTATTGTCCTGAAGTAGTCTGTATGGTTGAAGGATAGTTGTCACAGTAGTATTGTCCTGAAGTAGTCTGTATGGTTGAAGGACAGTTGTCACTGTAGTATTGTCCTGATGTAGTCTGTGTGGTTGAAGAAGGATAGTTGTCACAGTAGTATTGTCCTGATGTAGTCTGTGTGGTTGAAGGACAGTTGTCACAGTAGTATTGTCCTGATGTAGTCTGCATGGTTGAAGAAGGACTGTTGTCACAGTAGTATTGTCCTGATGTAGTCTGTATGGTTGAAGAAGGATAGTTGTCACAGTAGTATTGTCCTGATGTAGTCTGCGTGCTTGTAGAAACGACAGTTGTCACAGTAGTATTTTCCTGATGTTGTCTGTATGGTTGGAGAACGACAGTTGTCACAGTAGTATTGTCCTGATGTAGTCTGTATGGTTGAAGAAGGATAGTTGTCACAGTAGTATTGTCCTGATGTAGTCTGTATGGTTGAAGAAGGACAGTTGTCACAGTAGTATTGTCCTGAAGTAGTCTGTGTGGTTGAAGGACAGTTGTCACAGTAGTATTGTCCTGATGTAGTCTGTATGGTTGAAGAAGGATAGTTGTCACAGTAGTATTGTCCTGATGTAGTCTGTGTGGTTGAAGGATAGTTATCACAGTAGTATTGTCCTGATGTAGTCTGTATGGTTGAAGAAGGATAGTTGTCACAGTAGTATTGTCCTGAAGTAGTCTGTATGGTTGAAGGATAGTTGTCACAGTAGTATTGTCCTGATGTAGTCTGTATGGTTGAAGGAGGATAGTTGTCACAGTAGTATTGTCCTGATGTTGTCTGTATAGTTGGAGAACGACAGTTGTCACAGTAGTATTGTCCTGATGTAGTCTGTATGGTTGAAGGATAGTTGTCAAAGTAGTATTGTCCTGATGTTGTCTGTATAGTTGTAGAAACGACAGTTGTCACAGTAGTATTTTCCTGATGTAGTCTGTATGGTTGAAGAAGGACAGTTGTCACAGTAGTATTGTCCTGATGTAGTCTGTATGGTTGAAGAAGGATAGTTGTCACAGTAGTATTGTCCTGATGTAGTCTGTATGGTTGAAGAAGGACAGTTGTCACAGTAGTATTGTCCTGATGTAGTCTGTATGGTTGAAGAAGGACTGTTGTCACAGTAGTATTGTCCTGATGTAGTCTGTATGGTTGAAGAAGGATAGTTGTCACAGTAGTATTGTCCTGATGTTGTCTGTATAGTTGGAGAACGACAGTTGTCACAGTAGTATTGTCCTGATTTAGTCTGTATGGTTGAAGGATAGTTGTCACAGTAGTATTGTCCTGATGTTGTCTGTATAGTTGGAGAACGACAGTTGTCACAGTAGTATTGTCCTGATGTAGTCTGTATGGTTGAAGAAGGATAGTTGTCACAGTAGTATTGTCCTGATGTAGTCTGTATGGTTGAAGAAGGATAGTTGTCACAGTAGTATTGTCCTGATGTAGTCTGTATGGTTGAAGGAGGATAGTTGTCACAGAAGTATTGTCCTGATGTAGTCTGTATGGTTGAAGAAGGATAGTTGTCACAGTAGTATTTTCCTGATGTAGTCTGTGTGGTTGAAGAAGGGTAGTTGTCATAGTAGTATTGTCCTGATGTAGTCTGTATGGTTGAAGAAGGATAGTTGTCACTGTAGTATTGTCCTGATGACGTCTGTATGGTTGGAGAACGACAGTTGTCACAGTAGTATTGTCCTGATGTAGCCTGTATGGTTGGAGAACGACAGTTGTCACAGTAGTGTTGTCCTGATGTAGTCTGTGTGGTTGAAGAAGGATAGTTGTCACAGTAGTATTGTCCTGATGTAGTCTGTATGGTTGAAGGAGGATAGTTGTCACAGAAGTATTGTCCTGATGTAGTCTGTATGGTTGAAGAAGGATAGTTGTCACAGTAGTATTTTCCTGATGTAGTCTGTGTGGTTGAAGAAGGGTAGTTGTCATAGTAGTATTGTCCTGATGTAGTCTGTATGGTTGAAGAAGGATAGTTGTCACTGTAGTATTGTCCTGATGAAGTCTGTATGGTTGGAGAACGACAGTTGTCACAGTAGTATTGTCCTGATGTAGCCTGTATGGTTGGAGAACGACAGTTGTCACAGTAGTGTTGTCCTGATGTAGTCTGTGAGGTTGAAGAAGGATAGTTGTCACTGTAGTGTTGTCCTGATGTAGTCTGTATGGTTGAAGAATGACAGTTGTCACTGTAGTATTGTCCTGATGCAGTCAGTATTGTTGAGTTATGTTAAAGAATTCGGAATAATGGACAAAAGACAACGTACACAGATTATGAAAGTTACGGTATTAAATATTTTTGTAATGACACGACATTTGTTGTTGAAGGAGAGTGTTCGGTTTTACTGTTGGGATAATCTCTCAGTGGGTATGATTGTTTTCTTATCCCCTTTGTCCTTGCAAATATTCGCTTCTCTTCTCTATGTTTTTTAATGGTTTTGTTGGGAACATCAAACATGTTTTCTTCTTCGAAGGAAGCCTGGAAATAGAAGGCGCTTGTCGCGACTCAGCGCACATAGGTCAATGATGTATTGATTTAGTGACAAAATCAGGACCATTGCATTGCTGGTTTCAAAGACGCTTTCGGTCTTGACATAAAACTATGTTTCATTGTTGTTGTCTTTCTTGTTGTAAATGTTCAACAAAGAGAATTGATTGATTATCAAGATGTGCCAGCTCAGTCCAAGGGCCTGGTCGATACAGGGTTGACAGCGTTACAATCAGAGTCTCGAGTGCCGTTCGTGTTTCCATCTCGTCACACAAGATATATCCATACTTTCCTGAATGGAGCATAAATCTTTCCACGTTAGAGATTATTGTCAATAAATCAATTACATAACCACTGTTTGCGAGGTGTACTTCAGCGGGAAGTAGTATATGGGATGTGAACATCAGTACTGACCGTCAATGATTCTTTAAGATGTCTTTTATTTGGGTGAAAACCTGAAAATAATGTCATCAATTCGTCCTTTTACAAATACGGATTATTCTCAATATTAAATATTACCTGAAAGAGACCTATCTGTGAATGTTAAGTCTCGATTTATGAACAACATAAATATGTCATAACAATATTGGGTTCATATAGATGCGACATTCATCATGGAGTTATGGAAGACTTTATTTTTTTACGTTAATGCAACTCATATCATTTCCAATATGGGTAAAAGCAACCATCAGTTATACCAAATATTTCTGCGTCATTGTAAGATGTAAAATCAGGTTTGGGCGAGATTGTTAACTGTTCCAAGTTCGTAAGATTTTTAAATGAGCTACTTTAATAACAGGCACTTTGCAGCAGATTGAAACGCGTCATCACAGACAGTTCACGAAGACATGCACTTCGTACACCTTTACTTGGTTGTAACATATGATATATTGATCAACAGGCTCTGGACCGGTTTCTACCCGAATGGGACAACTCTGCATCTTAATTGGGCAAGTGGTCTTAATTTACCAGGAATGGATGCTTTTACGTGATTGTCATGATTAATGCAAGTGGGTTGAACGTATTGTAATGCGTAAATTGAGAGGTCGAATGTCTCCGGGGCGAGGTTAGAGATTTGAAGAAGTTATATATGTGCCCCACTAACCAATGTAGTTTCCTACCACGACTACGCTATTCTAATAATTTAAAAATTATAAGACCAAGAACAATTGATCATTCATTTATTCTTAAACTGGGATATTTGTGTTTGATTAAGTATAAGTTTTATTCTAAATATTGAACATATCGATTTGGTATCTTTTCGCTATAAGAAAGGAACAGATAGAATACAATTATTTTTTTCTTAACCACGCCCTTGTTTGCTCACATCGGATTCCGCCACGCGCAGAGATTGATGCCCAGCATGGGCACAGTGTGTGAAGAACATAAACTTGAAATAATGGCCATTGTTTAAGTAGAGAAGTGGGTCAAGGTGAACTTGTATATATCCCCGCCCAGCAGAAGACAAATGGGTCAAGGTGTACTTGTACATATCCCCTCCCAGTAGAGGAGGAGTTAGTCAAGGTGTACTTGTATATATCCCCTCCCAGGAGAAGACAAATGGGTCAAGGTGTTCTTGTATATATCCCCTCCCTGTAGAGAAGGAGTGGGCCAAGGTGAACCTGTATATATCCCCGCCCAGTAGAGGAGGAGTGGGTCAAGGTGTTCTTGTATATATCCCCTCCCAGTAGAGGAGGAGTGCATCAAGGTGTACTTGTATATATCCCCGCCCAGTAGAGGAGGAGTGGGTCAAGCTGTACTAGTATATATCCCCATCCAGTAGAGGAGGAGTGGGTCAAGGTGTATTTGTATATATCCCCGCCCAGTAGAGGAGGAGTGCATCAAGGTGTACTTGTATATATCCCCGCCCAGTAGAGGAGTGCATCAAGGTGTACTTGTATATATCCCCGCCCAGTAGAGGAGGAGTGGGTCAAGGTGTATTTGTATATATCCCCACCCAGTAGAGGAGGAGTGGATCAAGGTGTACTTGTATATATCCCCGCCCAGTAGAGGAGGAGTGGGTCAAGCTGTACTAGTATATATCACCACCCAGTAGAAGAGGAGTGGGTCAAGGTGTATTTGTGTATATCCCCAACCACAAAGTGTTAAGCTCATACTTCATGTCCCATGACATGACATTGCATTCACTTACTCACTATGCTTGCCGTAAAAGGCGACCAACGGGATCGGGTGGCCAGGCTCACTGACTTGGTTGATGCATGTCATCGATCCCAATTGCGTGGATCGATGCTCATGATGTCAATCACTGGATTGTCTGGTCCAGACTCGATTATTTACAGATCGCCGTCATATAGGTGGAATATTGCTGAGTGCGGCGTTAAACAACAAACCAACCAACCAAAACCAACCACTTACTCACTCTGTTTATGCAACATATTCACTGCTTTGAGTTCAATAAAAAGCTGTTATCAATTCAGACGCACCAGGCATCAAATGCAGGCATTTTGTCATCAAATATTTTCATTCCATAAACAAAGATAGTTATATTTAATAAATGTAAATTTGGTGCGGACATGAAGTTATATGCATGGTGTTCATTTTGTAAACACTGTGTCAGGTATCTTTTCATTGTCGAGAATGTTCAATCACAACTCTATACAATCACAGAACACCAGTGAAACATCACGACGTGGAGTAGTTGTCTAGCGGGATTGTCTCTGTGTCTTGGTGTGGTTGTCCGATGCATGGCAGTTCCCTGTAGCGGCTTGTGACCACAATCACCATGAGACACAAAACCGCCCCTAGGATCAGGGATACAATGATAGCACCCCCAAAAGCACCTACAGAACACACAGAAACAGAAAAAGTGAGACGATGTCAATACACCGGGTACCTGTAGAACATATAAAGACAAAAGCAGGGAGGCAATGACATCACCGCCCATTAGACCTGTAAAACACAAACAGAAGCAGGGAGACAATGACATCACCGCACATTACTCCCGTAGAACACAAACAGAAGCAGGGAGACAACGACATCACCGCCCATTAGACCTGTAAAACACAAACAGAGGCAGGAAGAACAATGACATCACGGCACATTACACCCGTAGAACACAACCAAAAGCAGGGAGACAATGACATCACCGCCCATTAGACCTGTTAAACACAAAGAGAAGCGGGGAGACAATGACATCACCGCCCATTAGACCCAAAGAACACAAACAGAAGCAGTGAGACAATGACATCACCGCCCATTAGACCTGTTAAACACAAACAAAAGCAGGGAGACAATGACATCACCGCCCATTACACCCGTAGAACACAAAAAGAGGCAGGGAGACAATGACATCAAGGCACATTAGACCTGTAAAACAAAAACAGAAGCAGGGAGACAATGACATCACCACCCATAACACCTGAAGAACACAAACAGAAGCAGTGAGACAATGACATCACCGCCCATTAGACCCAAAGAACACAAACAGAAGCAGGGAGACAATGACATCACCGCCCATTACACCCGTAGAACACAAACAGAGGCAGGGAGACAATGACATCACCGCACATTAGACCTGTATAACACAAACAGAAGCAGGGAGACAATGACATCACGGCACATTACACCTGTAAAACACAAACAGAAGCAGGGAGACAATGACATCACCGCCCATTAGACCATAAGAACGCAAACAGAAGCAGGGAGACAATGACATCACCGCTCATTACACCCGTAGAACACAAACACAGGCAGGGAGACAATGACATCACGGCACATTAGACCTGTAAAACACAAACAGAAGCAGGGAGACAATGACATCACCGCACATTAGACCCGAAGAACACAAACAGAAGCAGGGAGACAATGACATCACCGCACATTAGACCTGTAAAACACAAACAGAAGCAGGGAGACAATGACATCACCGCCCATTAGACCCGAAGAACACAAACAGAAGCAGGGAGACAATGACATCACCGAACATTACACCCGTAGAACACAAACAGAGGCAGGGAGACAATGACATCACGGCACATAAGACCGGTAAAACACAAACAGAAGCAGGGAGACAATGACATCGCCACACATTAGACCCAAAGAACACAAACAGAAGCAGTGAGACAATGACATCACCGCCCATTAGACCTGTTAACACAAACAAAAGCAGGGAGACAATGACATCACCCCCCATTACACCTGTAGAACACAAACAGAAGCAGGGAGACAATGACATCAAGGCACATTAGACCTGTAAAACAAAAACAGAAGCAGGGAGACAATGACATCACCGCCCATTACACCTGAAGAACACAAACAGAAGCAGTGAGACAATGACATCACCGCCCATTAGACCCGAAGAACACAAACAGAATCAGGGAGACAATGACATCACCGCACATTACACCCGTAGAACACAAACAGAAGCAGGGAGACAATGACATTACCGCACATTACACCCAGAGAACACAAACAGAGGCAGGGAGACAATGACATCACGGCACATTAGATCTGTAAAACACAATCAGAGGAAGTGAGACAATGACATCACCGCACATTAGACCTGTAAAACACACAGAGAAGCAGTGGGACAATGACATCACCGCCCATTACACCTGAAGAACACAAACAGAAGCAGTGAGACAATGACATCACCACCCATTAGACCTGTTAAACACAAACAGAAGCAGGGAGACAATGACATCACCGCCCATTACACCCGTAGAACACAAACAGAGGCAGGGAGACAATGACATCACGGCACATTAGACCTGTAAAACACAAACAGAGGCAGTGAGACAATGACATCACGGCACATTAGACCTGTAAAACACAAACAGAAGCAGTGGGACAATGACATCACCGCCCATTACACCTGAAGAACACAAACAGAATCAGGGAGACAATGACATCACCACCTATTAGACCTGTTAAACACAAACAGAAGCAGTGGGACAATGACATCACCGCCCATTACACCTGTAGAACACAAACAGAGGCAGGGAGACAATGACATCACCGCACATTAGACCTGTAAAACACAAACAGAGGCAGGGAGACAATGACATCACCGCCCATTAGACCCGAAGAACACAAACAGAAGCAGGGAGACAATGACATCACCGCACATTACACCCGTAGAACACAAACAGAGGCAGGGAGACAATGACATCAAGGCACATTAGACCTGTAAAACAAAAACAGAAGCAGGCAGACAATGACATCACCGCCCATTTGACCCAAAGAACACAAACAGAAGCAGGGAGACAATGACATCACCGCCCATTAGACCCGAAGAACACAAACAGAAGCAGGGAGACAATGACATCACCGCCCATTACGCTTGAACAACACAAACAGAAGCAGTGAGACAATGACATCACCGCCCATTAGACCTGTAAAACAAAAACAGAAGCAGTGAGACAATGACATCACCGCCCATTAGACCCGAAGAACACAAACAGAAGCAGTGAGACAATGACATCACCACCCATTAGACCTGTTAAACAGAAACAAAAGCAGGGAGACAATGACATCACCGCCCATTACACCCGTAGAACACAAACAGAGGCAGTGAGACAATGACATCAAGGCACATTAGACCTGTAAAACAAAAAAAGAAGCAGGGAGACAATGACATCACCGCACATTAGACCCGAAGAACACAAACAGAAGCAGGGAGACAATGACATGACCGCACATTAGACCTGTAAAACACAAATAGAAGCAAAGAGACAATAACATCACCGCCCATTAGACCCGAAGAACACAAACAGAAGCAGGGAGACAATGACATCACCGCCCATTACACCCGTAGAACACAAACAGAGGCAAAGAGACAATGACATCACCGCACATTAGACCTGTAAAACAAAAACAGAAGCAGGGAGACAATGACATCACCGCACATTACACCCGAAGAACACAAACAGAAGCAGGGAGACAATGACATCACCGCACATTACACCTGTAGAACACAAACAGAAGCAGGGAGACAATGACATCACCGCACATTAGACCTGTAAAACAAAAACAGAAGCAGGGAGACAATGACATCACCGCCCATTAGACCCAAAAGAACACAAACAGAAGCAGGGAGACAATGACATCACCGCCCATTAGACCTGTTAAACACAAACAAAAGCAGGGAGACAATGACATCACCGCCCATTACACCCGTAGAACACAAACAGAAGCAGGGAGACAATGACATCACGGCACATTAGACCTGTAAAACAAAAATAGAAGCAGGGAGACAATGACATCACCGCCCATTACACCTGAAGAACACAAACAGAAGCAGGGAGACAATGACATCACCGCCCATTAGACCTGTTAAACACAAACAGAAGCAGGGAGACAATGATAACCGCCCATTACACCCGTAGAACACAAACAGAGGCAGGGAGACAATGACATCACCGCACATTAGACCTCTAAAACACAAACAGAAGCAGGGAGACATTGACATCACCGCCCATTACACCTGTTAAACATAAACAAAAGCAGTGAGACAATGACATCACCGCCCATTACACCTGAAGAACACAAACAGAAGCAGGGAGACAATGACATCTCCGCCCATTAGACCTGTTAAACACAAACAGAAGCAGGGAGACAATGACATCACCGCCCATTACACCCGTAGAACACAAACAGAGGCAGGGAGACAATGACATCACCGCACATTAGACCTCTAAAACACAAACAGAAGCAGGGAGACATTGACATGACCGCCCATTACACCTGTAGAACACAAACAGAAGCAGGGAGACAATGACATCACCGCCCATTAGACCCGAAGAACACAAACAGAAGCAGGGAGACAATGACATCACCGCATATTACACCCGTAGAACACAAACACAGGCAGGGAGACAATGACATCACGGCACATTACACCCGTAGAACGCAAACAGAAGCAGCGAGACAATGACGTCACGGCACATTAGACCTGTAAAACACAAACAGAGGCAGGGAGACAATGACATCACCGCCCATTACACCTGAAGAACAGAAACAGAAGCAGTGAGACAATGACATCACCTCCCATTAGACCTGTTAAACACAAACAGAAGCAGGGAGACAATGACATCACCGCCCATTACACCCGTAGAACACAAACATAGGCAGGGAGACAATGACATCACGGCACATTAGACCTGTAAAACATAAACAGAAGCAGGGAGACAATGACATCACCGCCCATTAGACCCAAAGAACACAAACAAAAGCAGTGAGACAATGACATCACCGCACATTACACCCGTAGAACACAAACAGAAGCAGGGAGACAATGACATCACCGCACATTACACCCGTAGAACACAAACAGAAGCAGGGAGACAATGACATCACCGCACATTAGACCTCAAGAACACAAACAAAAGCAGGGAGACAATGACATCACCGCCCATTGTACTTGTAGAAAACTGGCTCGGGATGTGAGGTGTTTGCTTATGTTGGCGATGGAAAGACATCCTGTGGCAATCAATGCAACAATAAACATCCAAAGAATGCAAAAGACATCAAAATTATTTAGTTTCAACATATTCCCCTTTCCACATTGATACACTTTTGCCAAAGATGTTGGAGGGACTTTATCCCAGTTTCGGAGAAGTCCTTCTTTTGGCTGTCCGCAGCGTTCTACACAGTTGCTGAAACGTCATAGTTCGAGTGGAACTATTTCTTCATGCTTGGGAACAGACGGAGAATGAGGTTGATGTTGAACGAAGTCAAAGCCACAAGTGTGCATGAAGCCTTGACAATGGGCACTGGCGCATTGTCCTGATGGAAGATCACACCTTTCTCAGTTTTCTACGTCTCTCAATCTAATTTCAGCCTGTAATTGCCTTAAAAGTGTAGCATATAATGGTCCGTTTACTGTCTGGCCTTTTGGGAGATAGTCCGCCATGATGACACCCTGCGCATCCCAGAACACAGGGATCATAGCATTTCCAGCTTTGGTGGTGGAAGTGTTGAATCCAGGGTTCATCAAGAGGCACAAATCGTTTCAAGAACTTTTCTGGATCAGCTTCAAACAGAACTAGATTATCACGTTCTCTCTCCTGAGAAACGCCTACTGAACTAACAATATGACGCTCTTTCATTCGCCATCACATTATCATGGTCCGTCATCACCATATCCTGGATTCTCTGGAACACTTCCGGTGTTGCTGACGTGACAGGCCTTCCGAGACTGGGGTCGTCTATAATGTTCTCCCTGCCACGCATTAACAGTACTCATTTCTTCGAATTCATGAATGGATTTTAGTGACAAGTGCTTTTTCCGCTAGAAGTTGATCACTTCACCTTCTCCTCGTTTGTCCATTTACACAATTGTAACTGCGAAACAATTTACTAAACTGACTCATGTTTTTGTGGATATACTTCTATGACATTACATGCCCACAACAAAAGGTTTTACTAATATGCAATTCCTCCCGTGTGAGGCTCAGAACTGAAATATAACCATTAATATAACATGACCAATATATACAGAAACAACTACATCATCAAGAGTACATATAACTCACAATCAATGATACAGTTATCTTTCACAATAACCTATGACCATGATTGCATACTGCCACTGACATTTGATGAATGAATGAAGGAAGGAAGGAAGGAAGGAAGGAAGGAGGGAAGGAAGGAAGGAAGGGGAAGGAAGGAAGGAAGGAATATATAAACAGGCTATAAACAGTAAAATATTGGTAAGATTGCCACACGTTGTTTAGGATATGTTTAATTTGATATAAATACTTTGAGAATTCAATAATAGTGAAATGCCACGTTATTTCATCCATGTCATTGTTATCTGCACTTAGAATGATAATATTAATCATTTGCAAAAGTATTACATTTTGTACATTCCTTAGATATTTTGCTTCTAGATCCAATCCTTATTACATACTGCATGATGAGTTAACACTGACCAGTTGACACTCCTGCATGTGTGTGTTGTGCCTGTGTCTGTAGCTTCTGCGTGTGACAAGGTTTGGGCGGGGCTGTGACTGCCTGCTGAGTGGTCACTGTCGGACACGGCGAACTCGTCCTCGGCGGGCAGGTGACCGTTGGACAAGAACAGGTTGGACATGAGCAGACAGCTTTACCTGCAAACAATTCGAACATATACTCAATTACAAGAGAAACCCATGTCCCCAAGTATGGCTGTTGGCTCTTGAGATATGCCGCTGACAACTGACACAGTGTCTTGGGTTCCAACTGTCTGCCTGGCATTAGCTGGGCTGATAGGATGCGTTGGCGCATGTGAGAACGGACGACAGCCCCGTGTTGATGTAGAAACGTTACTCGTGGACGTCAGCTTCTTTGGCGATTCTTATCACTGTTTGTGTATTACATATAATAAGATGGTAGATGACAGTGTGGAGAACCTGTAGATCTTTCGCCACTCGTGTTGCCATCATACCTGCTTCAATCATACCAAGGTCTGGAATACGATGGTTAATGTCTAATCTGGACATGGTGCTTTCCGTGTCACTTAAACAAGTGACGGACGTTTGTTGCCACGTTCCGCTATTATGGGTGCATTAAACACCCAACAGTCCGTGTTTTAAATAATAATTGTGCGTGTTGTTCTCAGCACCTGCTCAGAAAGGCACGGTCTGGTCAGTTTGTCTCCAAATAGGATCGGAAGTTGCAATATGAGGTGTCCGTTTCTTTTGGAACTTAGTCTTCATGTGGAATGAAATTAAGCACCACTTGTAATTATGTGATAGCCAGTAGCCCATGGATCACTGTGTCTAGTTCCCATAATCCTAAGCCAATGGGTCATGGATTACATTATCCCACCCGTAGATTAGCCCTGGTATATGTAAAACTAGGACAACAAGTACTGGGCGGACAATGAGTCATGTCACAGAAGACGTAGTGCGCAAAGTCCGACCAGGAAACATAATCACTGCAAAGTTGACATCAGGAATCCTATTGCGGGGTATGTTATGTGCGGGATTGTACTGTGGAAATAACGGTTGTAAGTCGATCCTTCCACGTGGTCCAGAGGTAGGTGCAGAGACCACAGATAGACATAATGTCATACGCGGCTGATCGATATGTTCCAAGCTTCACATAGAAATAAACTGCCTAAGGACATTAAAATGATGTTTTCTTGAACATATTCTCATTCCATATTGATACACTTTTGCCAACGATATTGAAGGGACTTTATCCCAGTTTCGGAGAAGCCCTTCTCTTGGCTGTCCACAAAGTTCTACACAGATGCTAAGACGTCATAGTTCGAGTCGAAATGGAAGTCTGAAGGAGAATATGTTGAGTGCTGAAGGAGTTAAACGCCACGCCTGTGTTTTGTAGCTATGGCAATGACTGACTTCTGCATTGGCGCATTCTCAGCCTCCCATGTCTCTTAATCTTAATTTCATCCTGTAATTACCCGAGAAGCGCAGCGAATTGTTGACCGTTTATCATCTGGCCTTTTGAAAGATAGTCCACCATGATGTCATCCCAAAACACGGGATAGTTATCTTTCCGGCTTTGGTGGTGGTGATGCCAAATGGTTCCACTGTGTTGATTGTTGTGTGGACTCAATGAGGACATGATATCATGAAGCCAGGTTTTATCCGTAGGCACAAATCGTTGCAAGAACATTTCCGGATCAGCTTCAAACAAAGCTAGATTATCACGACATCTTAGTGCGGTTTTGATCAGATGTCAGAAGCTAACACTTTCTTTATTGCCAAAGCTTCTGTGATAATGGAATGCCCACTGAACTAGCAATATATCGGTCCTCACCATATCCTGGATCCTCTGGATTATGTCTGGTGTTGGTGACATGACCGACCTTCCTGGACGGGGACGGTCTTCAAGGCTCTGCTGCCAACCTCCTTACAGTGGCATAGGAAGGGGCATCCTCCTAGTGGCAGACTCATATCTTCATGGATGGTTTTGGTGTTTTCCTTTTGTTCATTTTGGAAACGTCACAGACCCATGCTTATTTTACTGACTTGTCACAGCGAAACAATTCGCTCAACTGACTCAAGTATATTATGGATATACCTCTATGGCATCATGTGATGTCAACAAGAAAATATTTTACTATTACGCAATTCCTTTAATGTAAGGCTCAGAACTGAAATATTAAAATTAATTACTAAACCATGATCAATGTATACAGAACGAATCACATTGTAACGAATCAGGCCTTACTTTGACCTTGAGGTAGATGTTGGCCTTACTTCTAGTAGAGCTGGTCCTGCAACCATTAAACCTCAAGTAACTGACAATCAATGATACGAATATTTACCACAATGCTCTGAACGATGACCTTGATGGCATACTGCAACTGACATTTGATTCGGCAAGACTTCACATACATGCAAATACCAAGTCGTATTTTAAGTGATAACAGTGATGAGATAACACTGACCAGTTGACACTCCTGCATGTGTGTGTTGTGCCTGTGTCTGTAGCTTCTGGGTGGGGCAAGGTTTGGGCGGGGCTGTGACTGCCTGCTGAGTGGTCACTGTCGGACACGGCGAACTCGTCCTCGGCGGGCAGGTGACCGTTGGACAAGAACAAGTTGGACATGAGCAGACAGCTTTACCTGCAAACAATTCGAACATATACTCAATTCTATGGCTGTCGGCATCTGAGGTTAGCCTCTGACAACTGACACACTGCGTTTGCTGACACAGGTCGAAGTGTGTGTTGGTGGAGTGGTTTTGGTGTGAGTGTATGTGTGTGGATGTGGAGGGGGAGGAGTGCTTTTTTGTGTGTTTTTTGTGTGTGTGTGTGGTGTGTTGTTATCGTCCCCTGGACATTGAATACATAGGACGCTGATAATTAAGATACCCATATGTCCTGCAGAGCCGTGAGTGTGACTTGTCACCACGGGTATGCCAGTAATGTTTATTTGTCAAAGTGATGAAAGCTTGATAAATTACTGCCTGTTATCTTCAAACCTTTTATCTTTCTATAAATCGTTTCAAATACACGGCAGAGCAGAATCACACCACCTTCCTCTGTACATGGCATTACCAGCATACCGATGCAATCTGAACAGTTTATAATCGTCATGAACGTGATATGTGGGACGAGTGTCGAAGTGAGGAGTTCAGTAATAGATGGCAGTCCGATAGCTGCAGACAAGACCTGATCTGTGCTACTGATAGGAGAAACAGCAGTGTGGATACTTCTGTCGAAGCAGTGTACATGTGTTCTGAATGCTAGGTCTACTTAGAGATGCTAGGTTTACTAAGAGTGAGTGAGTGAATATTGCTTAACGCCGCATCAGCAATTTTGCAGCTATTCGCGGCGAAGGTTTACTAAGAGATGCTAGGTCTATTGAGTGATGCTAGGTCTACTTAGAGATGCTAGGTCTACTTATAGATGCTAGGTCTATTGAGAGATGCTAGGTCTACTTGGAGATGCTAGGTCTATTGAGAGATGCTAGGTCTATTGAGCGATGCTAGGTCTATTGAGCGATGCTAGGTCTATTGAGAGATGCTAGGTCTATTGAGAGATGCTAGGTCTATTGAGTGATGCTAGGTCTATTGAGAGATGCTAGGTCTATTGAGAGATGCTAGGTCTACTGAGAGATGCTTGGTCTATTGAGTTATGCTAGGTCTATTGAGTGATGCTAGGTCTATTGAGTGATGCTAGGTCTATTGAGAGATGCTAGGTCTATTAAGTGATGCTAGGTCTATTGAGAGATGCAAGGTCTACTTGGAGATGCTAGGTCTATTGAGAGATGCTAGGTCTATTGAGTGATCCTAGGTCTATTGAGTGATCCTAGGTCTATTGAGAGATGCTTGGTCTATTGAGTGATGCTAGGTCTATTGAGTGATGCTAGGTCTATTGAGAGATGCTTGGTCTATTGAGTGATGCTAGGTCTATTGAGAGATGCTAGGTCTATTAACAGATGCTAGGTCTATTGAGAGGTGCTAGGTCTATTGAGATATGCTAGGTCTATTGAGAGATGCTAGGTCTATTCAGTGATGCTTGGTCTATTGAGAGATGCCAGGTCTATTGAGAGATGCTAGGTCTATTGAGAGATGATAGGTCTATTGAGAGATGCTAGGTCTATTGAGATATGTTAGGTCTATTAACAGATGCTAGGTCTATTGAGAGATGCTAGGTCTATTGAGTGATGCTTGGTCTTTTGAGAGATGCTAGGTCTATTGAGAGATGCTATGTCTATTGAGAGATGCTAGGTCTATTGAGAGATGCTAGGTCTATTGAGTGATGCTTGGTCTATTTATAGATGCTAGGTCTATTAACAGATGCTAGGTCTTTTGAGAGATACTAGGTCTATTGAGTGATGCTTGGTCTATTGAGAGATGCTAGGTCTATTGAGAGATGCTTGGTCTACTTAGAGATGCTAGGTCTACTTGGAGATGCTAGGTCTATTGAGAGATGCTAGGTCTATTCAGTGATGCTAGGTCGATTAAGAGATGCTAGGTCTACTTGGAGATGCTAGGTCTATTGAGAGATGCTAGGTCTATTGAGTGATCCTAGGTCTATTGAGAGATGCTTGGTCTATTGAGTGATGCTAGGTCTATTTAGAGATGCTTGGTCTATTGAGTGATGCTAGGTCTATTAACAGATGCTAGGTCTATTGAGTGATGCTAGGTCTATTGAGTGATGCTAGGTCTATTGAGAGATGCTAGGTCTATTGAGAGATGCTAGGTCTATTGAGAGATGCTTGGTCTATTGAGTGATGCTAGGTCTATTGAGTGATGCTAGGTCTATTGAGAGATGCTTGGTCTATTGAGTGATGCTAGGTCTATTAACAGATGCTAGGTCTATCGAGATATGCTAGGTCTATTGAGTGATGCTTGGTCTATTGAGAGATGCTAGGTCTATTGAGAGATGCTAGGTCTATTGAGAGATGCTAGGTCTATTGACTGATGTTAGGTCTATTAACAGATGCTAGGTCTATTGAGAGATGCTAGGTCTATTGAGTGATGCTTGGTCTATTGAGAGATGCTAGGTCTATTGAGAGATGCTAGGTCTATTGAGAGATGCTAGGTCTATTGAGAGATGCTAGGTCTAAAGAGAGATGCTAGGTCTATTAAGGGGGAAACTAGGTCTATTGTGTGATGCTTGGTCTATTGAGAGATGGAGAAATTATAGGATACAGAATACCATAATAGTAATCAGGAGGCCAGGTGAGCACTTCGAAGGTACGAGGCAAACACTAGATGTAAGTATACTCCATTTGAGAAAGAGCAGCTACATATCCTTACACCTCATATATATCCTTCCTATAGGAGGCATTCGAAAAGTATATATAGCAAATAGATATGTAACACCACCAATATATCACAATATCAAGACCACAAAATATCAAGATTAAACATTTGTTGTCATATTTCAAGTATGCCTTCGAGATCAGAAATGTACTTTAGTGGAACATGCGAATGTTCTACAATGAACATTTGTATGAGTCATACTGTGACCAGGTGATTTTTAAATACACCTCATCATAGTGGGGTCAGGATGGAATCCGGTTACGAAGATGGGCAGTGTGGAACCGCTTCACAGCTGCTGGATATCGAGCTGGAAGACCTGTGAAAAGTCCCTAGCTCACCTTAGAACATCAAAGGCATGACTGGACTGAACTGCTGTGCACCGCAGCCTTCCCGGAGATAACCAGGGGCACACCATGGATGACACCTCCACACCTCACAATCCTTACCATCGTTCATGGACAACAATACTCGTCCCCAACGATGTCCGACACGAATACTGACATGCACGTGGATGGTCAAATCCAACAAAGACCACTGCCCACGCGTAACAACCATAACAAAGGTGCCCTGGCCATCAAGGAAAGGCAACTGCTGACATGCCGGAATATACGGGGCTTGGTTCGTGAGGAGAAGCGGTTATACGTGCATGAAATGGTTACACGAGTGTTCAAAATGTATGCACATTAGAGTGACTCTACGGCTTGTCTGGACCTTTACGGTAATAATAGTCACAAGCATCGCGTGGGAGGGCAAATATCAACCAAAAGGACCACCATATATCAAAGTTACATATGCTCATGAGCCATATTTACACAATAGTCGGCGTCACGTTCGCCACAAAATACTTCACATTTATTCAAAGCTGAGTAAAATTAGGAGTTGCACTTAAATATTTGTCCATGTTATATAAACTGATAGAAATAAGTAAAACGTAAATATGTAAGAGTATGGGAAACAGGTGACATAATATCCCACTAGTATCCTGAAGATGGTCTGCACACAACCAACTTTAATCAACTGAAATGTGATCAACAAATCATGCGCGTGGGAAGAAAATGGCATATCTACTAAAAATACAAACACATACGCGCGCGCTTACGCACACGCACGCACGCACGCACGCACGCACGCACGCACGCACGCACTCATATTATCACATATTATGTACAGTGAGACATACTCGTAGTACTTGGTGGACGTGGAGTCGAAGAAGATGTTGTGACGTGGACGATGGGTGGCGCCGTAGCCCTGGGTGTGAGGGCAGGGCGACCGGTTGGCGTGTTGATGGGTTGTGGGGTCTTCTCTTGGCTTGTGGGAGACGGGACAGGTAGGTTGCCAGGTAACGTGGGGATCAGGAAGGCTGTGGTTGGGTTGGTTGGTGTTGTCACTGTGCTGAAGTCCTCGGGAAAGGATATTTGCTGGATCCGCTCCGTCTTAAGTCGAATCGGCTGGAACAGCGGGTAAACAAATCATTGAGCAATATTATGGGGTAAGAACGAGCTGCAGAAAACAAACTTCACAATCGCAGCTTAAAAAATCAATTTCAGTTTATGTACTATTGAGTGTTACCGATTTCTGATATTTGGGAATCATTCCGAGATATGTTTTCTCTCACAACTGTACAGACATGCCACTCTTCTTGTAGACGGTAGCTTCGTGTAGGTAGTTAAAGTACAGTACTTAAAGTAATGCCTAGCTTTTTAACACGTCTACTTAGAATTTAGGGACAAAGTCCTCATCATGCTAGGTGCATCGGTGCCAGCTTCCGCTATATCTGGGTTCTAGGGAAGAGAATCTGTATTTATGACATTATTCTATCTACTTATTTATTAACCTATACTCATCGTATTTGTCGAGTACCTTGCCCTCCACGCTGGTGACGAGCACCAGCCTCTGAGTCTCCACCGTCCCCTTGAGGAAGTTGTAGGCGGGAAGAAGGGGATGCTGCTTCACGGGATTGGCTACCTGGGCGTTGGTCACCGGTGTCCGGTCCAGAAGTAGGCCGGACACATACAGGTAGTTCCCGCCGTCGAACTCCACCTAGACAGGGTATAGTACCTGATATCATACAGAACGAGACAGGGTGCAGTAGCTGATATCATACAGCAACTAGACAGAGTGCAGTAGCTTATATCATACAACTAGACAGGGTATAGTACCTGATATCATACAGAACGAGACAGGGTACAGTAGCTGATATCATACAACTAGACAGGGTATAGTACCTGATATCATACAGAACGAGACAGGGTACAGTAGCTGATATCATACAGCAACTAGACATGATGCAGTAGCTGATATCATACAGCAACTAGACAGGGTGCAGTAGCTGATATCATACAGCAACTAGAGAGGGTGCAGTAGCTTATATCACACAGCAACTAGCGAGGGTGCAGAAGCTGATATCATACAGCAACTAGACAGGGTGCAGTAGCTGATATCATACAGCAACTAGACAGGGTGCAGTAGCAGATATCATACAACAACTAGAGAGGGTGCAGTAGCTGATATCATACAGCAACTAGCGAGGGTACGGAAGCTGATATCATACAGCAACTAGACAGGGTGCAGTAGCTGATATCATACAGCAACTAGAGAGGGTGCAGTAGCTGATATCGTACAACAACTAGAGAGGGTGCAGTACTGGATATCATACAACAACTAGAGAGGGTGCAGTAGCCGATATTATACAACAACTAGAGAGGGTGCAGTAGCCGATATCATACAGCAACTAGCGAGGGTGCAGCAGCTGATATCATACAGCAACTAGAGAGGGTGCAGTAGCGGATATCATACAGCAACTAGACAGGGTGCAGTAGCCGAAATCTTACAGCAACTAGACAGGGTGCAGTAGCTGATATCATACAGCAACTAGAGAGGGTGCAGTAGCCGATATCATACAGCAACTAGACAGGGTGCAGTAGCTGATATCATACAGCAACTAGAGAGGGTGCAGTAGCTGATATGAGACAGCAACTAGACAGGGTGCAGTAGCTGATATCATACAGCAACTAGAGAGAGTGCAGTAGCTGATATCAAACAACAACTAGAGAGGGTGCTGTAGCCGATATCATACAGCAACTAGACAGGGTGCAGTAGCTGATATCATACAGCAACTAGAGAGGGTGCAGTAGCTGATATGAGACAGCAACTAGACAGGGTGCAGTAGCTGATATCATACAGCAACTAGAGAGAGTGCAGTAGCTGATATCATACAGCAACTAGAGAGGGTGCAGTAGCTGATATGAGACAGCAACTAGACAGGGTGCAGTAGCTGATATCATACAGCAACTAGAGAGAGTGCAGTAGCTGATATCATACAACAACTAGAGAGGGTGCTGTAGCCGATATCATACAGCAACTAGAGAGGTCGCAGTAGCTGATATCATACAGCAACTAGACAAGATGCAGAAGCCGATATCATACAGCAACTAGACAGGGTGCAGTAGCCGATATCATACAGCAACTAGACAAGATGCAGAAGCCGATATCATACAGCAACTAGAGAGAGTGCAGTAGCTGATATCATACAGCAAATAGACAGGATGCAGTAGCTGAAATCATACAGCAACTAGACATGATCCAGAAGCCGATATCATACAGCAACTAGAGAGGGTGCAGTAGCTGATATCATACAGCAACTAGACAGGGTGCAGTAGCTGATATCATACAGCAACTAGAGAGGTCGCAGTAGCTGATATCATACAGCAACTAGACAAGATGCAGTAGCCGATATCATACAGCAACTAGAGAGGTCGCAGTAGCTGATATCATACAGCAACTAGACAAGATGCAGAAGCCGATATCATACAGCAACTAGACAGGGTGCAGTAGCCGATATCATACAGCAACTAGACAAGATGCAGAAGCCGATATCATACAGCAACTAGACAGGGTGCAGTAGCCGATATCAAACAGCAACTAGACAAGATGCAGAAGCCGATATCATACAGCAACTAGACAGAGTGCAGTAGCCGATATCATACAGCAACTAGACAAGATGCAGAAGCCGATATCATACATCAACTAGACAGAGTGCAGTAGCTGATATCATACAGCAACTAGACAGGGTACAGTAGCTGATATGAGACAGCAACTAGACAGGGTGCAGTGACCGATATCATACAACAACTAGACAGGATGGAGTAGCGGATATCATACAACAACAAGAGAGGGTGCAGTAGCCGATATCATACAACAACTAGACAGGAGGACGTAGCCGATATCATACAACAACTAGTGAAGGTGCAGAAGCTGATATCATACAGCAACTAGACAGGCTGCAGTAGCTGATATCATACAGCAACTAGAGATGATGCAGTAGCTGATATCATAGAGCAACTAGACAGGTTGCAGTAGCTGATATCAAACAGCAACGAGACAGGGTGCGGTAGCTGATATCATACAGGAACTAGAGAGGGTGCAGTAGCTGATATCATACAGCAACGAGACAGGGTGCAGTAGCCAATATCATACAACAACAAGAGAGGGTGGAGTAGCCGATTTCATACAGCAAACTAGACAGGGTGCAGTAGCTGATATCATACAGCAACTAGAGAGGGTGCAGTAGCGGATATCATACAGCAACTAGAGAGAGTGCAGTAGCTGATATCATACAGGAACTAGAGAGGGTGCAGTAGCTGATATCATACAGCAACTAGAGAGGGTGCAGTAGCTGATATCATACAGCAACTAGAGATGATGCAGAAGCCGATATCATACAGCAACTAGACAGGATGCAGTATCCGATATCATACAGCAACTAGATAGGGTGCAGTAGCTGATATCATACAACTAGACAGGGTGCAGTAGCCGATATCTTACAGCAACTAGACAGGGTGCAGTAGCCGATATCATACAGCAACTAGACAGGGTGCAGTAGCCGATATCATACAGCAACTAGACAGGGTGCAGTAGCCGATATCTTACAGCAACTAGACAGGGTGCAGTAGCCGATATCATACAGCAACTAGAGAGGGTGCAGTAGCGGATATCATACAGCAACTAGACAGGGTGCAGTAGCTGATATCATACAGGAACTAGAGAGGGTGCAGTAGCTGATATCATACAGCAACTAGAGAGGGTGCAGTAGCTGATATCATACAGCAACTAGAGATGATGCAGAAGCCGATATCATACAGCAACTAGACAGGGTGCAGTAGCTGATATCATACAGGAACTAGAGAGGGTGCAGTAGCTGATATCATACAGGAACTAGAGAGGGTGCAGTAGCTGATATCATACAGCAACTAGAGAGGGTGCAGTAGCTGATATCATACAACTAGACAGGGTGCAGTAGCCGATATCTTACAGCAACTAGACAGGGTGCAGTAGCCGATATCATACAGCAACTAGAGAGGGTGCAGTAGCCGATATCATACAGCAACTAGACAGGTTGCAGTAGCTGATATCATACAACTAGACAGGATGCAGTAGCCGATATCGTACAGCAACTAGAGAGGGTGCAGTAGCTGATATCATACAGCAACTAGACAGGGTGCAGTAGCTGATATCATACAACTAGAGAGGTTGCAGTAGCCGATATCTTACATGAACTAGACAAGGTACAGCTGTCGATATCATTCACCAACTTAAAGTACCAGGTATCATATGATAACCCGTTATCACACTCGAGATAACTTATTATGCCATTATAACTGATATACTGAATACACGACAATGAGATGAATGTTTCGCCTTTTCAGCAGTAGGGGTATCACACACAGGTCTCCCCTTACGAGCCAACATTTAAACGTCTATCCTACCCTACGCATGTGCAAGTAAATATGTATAAAGAGAGATCTGCTCCAAGACCGTATAACTCCCCAAGCAGCCCTTGTTATATATGTAATTAAATGCATGGATGCACAGGAAGATGCTATCGGCAATGACAATATTACATTTCCTTGTGTGTAAGTTACATCCGATATTTCACGTAAGAAATAACCGTGTGTATTATCTTCTTCTACACCCCCCTTGTACCTGAATGTTGGACATTCTGTTGGCTTCCTCGTAGATGAGGTCTGTCAGTTCATCCTGCATGAGATCATATAGGTAGGACTCGCTGACAGTGTGTTGGGTAAAGTTGTCCATAGCTGAAGACAAACGGTAGAGTGATTGAGTAAGTTTTGTTTGAAAACGCTTTGAATGTCAGTTATTGCTCGGCGTGGCAGCTTGATGTGGGAGAAAAAACCGAAATGCTGCAGAGCCCAAGAGCACGGGTATGATGCTGACAAATCTCGAAATGTGATCAGTGAGAATCGGTTCGCACATTGCAGTATGCCAAATACATGACATATGTGAAAGACCCGTGACGACCCGGATTAGAATGCTTGCCATAAGAGGCGACTAACGGGATCGGGTGGTCAGACTCGTTCACTTGGTCGATGCATGTCATCTATCTCAATTGTGTAGATCGATACTCATGATGTCAATCACTGGATTGTCTGGTCCGGACTCGATTATTACGGACCACCGTCAAATATTGGAATTTTGTTGATTGCGGCGTTAAACAACAAATAAACAAACACATGTGGAAGGCTTCAGTAGCTGTAGGCATGGCAGCGTGTACACGTACCAAGGAGTTGAATGACGAAGTGTATTTTACTGTTATACTTGTAACACTCGCCGCAGTCAAACACGGCCCAGTGCTGCGCCTGGGGGGTGTACTTGTGGATGTTATAGATCACCGGGTTCGTGGATCCGCCCTGTGACAACATACAGCATCTAGTAGTAAGGATTGGGCATGGGGGCAGCTGGGATACAAGGTGCGTCACATGGATTCCGTGCTGGTGGAGAATTGTACACCAAGAAACAAGCACAACTCCTTCTCTGTTTTCAGATATTCCAAACATCCATGTGTTTACTGTTATATGGTGAAAACATGCATCCTGCTGCAGATGACGGCCCAGGGCACGCTGTGTGACGTATGGATCGGGGTCTACTTGGACGTGGAATCCTACATGAACGGCGCCCAGGGACTGTGGGGATCTAGTTAATCCATTCATGTTCTTCACCAATTAGATATCTTTTGGAAATGTCTACAATTGACTTTGGCCTTGATATCATTGAGATGGAAGGTCGATATAAGATATGTTCCACCAGATGGTGGCAAGGATCTGGCCGTACACAATGATGAGGTTTGGTTTGTTTGACGCCATGGGATGTGGAGATGCAGAGGTAGCACTTGAAAGGGTAATCAAATAATCATTGGAATAGCTACACAACATGTCATCACATAATCGATTTCGGTTTTAGCTTTTCAATATGAGTATGCCACTTTGTAAACAAACCCAAATTTCGTCAAAAAATATACACATGATACGAATTTAAACAAATGGCCATGTTATTGGGAAAGATATGTTTACTTATTTCGGTGAATATATCACCGGTGTATGAAATAAAACCCGAGAACGTATTACTATCGGATAGAATTTACCGTGAAAATACCTAGACTTACACATGTGACTCCAATGTCCCTCACTCACCCTCCATAAGTCCATCCGGTAGAAACTGCCCGTGACAACAACCGTCCCGACAGCTTGCGTCCAGCCTTTCTGGAATACAGAGGTCACGTGATATATTTTGACTGCAAAGACAAATTTACCAAGAACATTTTATAAATGATTTAATACGTGGGATACGTGATTATTGTACATAATGCTGCCTTGTACATGTATATATTATCCTGTGTTAACCCTCAACATGAGCGAAATATAGTTCAGCGACATAATACCAACTGGGTTACACAATGTCACATGAGATTGTATGGACAAGTCTTTTTTATGCTCAAGTGTTTGTAAGGAGTTGCACATACCAAGATCATTGGCCATCAACCATCTTAAAAATACAGTAGGGCGGCATCTGTATTCTGTTGTGGATTTGGGCGGAAGCGAAATCATGTTCCGGTCATTCAAAGAAAGAAAAGAATTGGCTTAACTGTGCAGCAAACAAATACATTGTACATGCAGTGACGCCGCCTTGAACAACATGGAAGCTTGTCCCATGTCAAAAGCAATTGATGCAGGTACAAGGTGTTTTCCACTATGGTGAAACCCCTGGAGATGGTGCTGACAAACGAAGAGTAATGAACACGGGAGGACCGATCTGGGAGATCATGTCATCTACTCGTGCGCAACCCTTCTTTTGGCGACAATGCTTGTAAAAGGCGACTAACCGTATCGAGTGGTCAGACTCGCTGACTTGCTTCATGTATGTCATCGTATCCCAATTACGTAGATCGATACTCATGATGTCAATCACTGGATTGCATGGTTCAGACTCGATTATTTATCGATCGCCTGTCATATAGCTTGAATATTGCTGAGTACGGCGTGAAACAACAAATAAACAAACGAACAAACAAACAAAAGTTCTTCAAGCGAAGGGTAGGCAGACAGCGGATCCCCTTAGAACTACAAGTACCGCTTAAAACAACACTGCTTCAATTTTCATTTTGTTCATTTAGATGGACTTGTCATTGATGTTAAAGAATGCATTAATATGCAACTTACTGGAGTCATGGTCGTTCACACTATCAGGATATCAAAGTTCTGTCACGTTGCAAGTTAGTATATAAACCGCAAAAGAAACGTCACCCCAAGTAACATTGCATAAAAAGTTGTCATTAAAATATTTGGATATTTTTTGTCAAAATTTCTAAAATTTAACATTATCTTGTCCGGAAAAATGAAATTTTATGATATGAAAAAAAAGCAGATGACAATAAAACCGATCGCCCAAACGCATCACGACAATGGCCATGGTAACTAACCCGATGCACGTGAGTTCCGTGCAAATTGAAATGCACATGCGTTCCCCCATTTCTTGCCCTATAAAAATCCACTCAGATCGGCTAACATGCATTCGTTATTGAATTGCTACCACATGCCAAGACTGACAAGAAATCAGCGACACCAAGCCCTTGGACGATTGCAAACTGGACAAACCGCCCGGCATGTAGCCAATGCATTTCAAGTCCACGTAAGGACCATATACAGGCTCCAGCAACGGTACCAACACTACAGATGACCGACCACGTAGTGGAAGACCAAGGGTCACCACCCGACGTCAGGATCGTCAGATTGTGCGACAGCATCTTTGTTACTGCTGTGAAACTGCTCGACAGACCATGGGGACAAACCAGCGACACATTAGTGCGGACATCGTGCGTCGACGATTGACGAGCAGACACCTCCACTGTCACAGGCCACACCGAGGACCCATTCTCACACCACGTCATCTCCGTGACCGTCTTCAGAGGGCAACACAGCACCAGCATTGGCGCCACCAGCAGTGGAGCAGAGTCCGTTACTATCTCAACAGCAGATGGCAGAAAGAGTCTGGCGACGCCGTGGGGAACGTTATTCGGATGCTTGTGTTGTTGAGAGAGACTCTTGGGGTGGTCCGAGCATCATGGTTTTGGGTGGAATTGGTCCTTTACAGAGGGTCGGCCCTGTGGTTTTCCAAAACATCGGTCCAGGGAGTGGCAATGGTGTCACAGCAGCTCGTAATATTGATCAAGTCTTGAGACCACACGCCATACCTCATTTGGCACGCCGCCGCAACCACGGGTTTCAGCATGATAACGCCCGTGCCCACACTGCGAGAGCAACAAGAGACTTCCTCCAGCAGAATGGCATCAGAACCATGCAGAGGCCTGCCCTCAGTCCCGATATGAATTCCATTGAGCTCCTGTGGGACGAGACCGCTGAATGACGTCCGACCAAGGCCGACAAATGCAGCTGAACTACGTCAGGCATTCCTCAGAGTGTGGGCTCAAGTGTGGGCTGACGTTTCTTTTGCGGTTCAGTATATAGTAAGTTTATTTTCTCAATGGTACCATTGTACATTTGCTGTTGTACCTATTGATAAACGTACGATATGTACATCTCTTTTCAAGTCGACAAAAACACTGAAACGTTTTTAGTTATAATTGACTGCCTGAGATGTTGGCCGGGCCCCGGACACTTTCTCAGAGGATACCGATTCACTGTACACCGATGTCAATAGCCAAAATGAAATTGACAATCGTTTTTCTCGTTTTTTATGCTGGAATGTTCATGGGTTGTTTAGTAAGCTGTCAAATGACAAATTTAATTCGTATTTGGAAACATTTGATATTATTTGTTTATTTGAAACGTTTCTTGACTCTTGACTTCGATTGGTTACCTGGTTTTAAAGTCTTCTACTCCCCGGTCGTGGGAGAAAATGTGGTGGTGTTTGTTTTGCCATTAGAAATGAGTTTGCTCAGTTTTGTAATGTATTTAATAGTAATTCGGGTATTCATAATTTCTTGTCAATTATATTGAAGAAAAACCTCTTTGGAACGCCAAAAGATGTATTGTTTTGCCCCTTGTACATACCACCAGAAAATTCTACATACTATGACAAACATCAAAATATCAACATATATGATAAACTCGATGAATTCTTTCTTGATAGAGCAGACCGTCTCTCTGATTACACTGTGCTTCTTTGCGGAGATTTTAACTCTAGAACAGGTTGTGAAAATAATTTAGTTGATCAAGAATCGACCACAAATGATCCCGATATTTTCCCTGAAGTTGACATTGTAGATGCATGTATATCACGACGGTCTTCGCTTGACAATGTTATTAATAAGTTTGGACGATTTCTAATTAATTTCTGTTATGTTTTCAACTTGTTCATACTAAATGGCAGAGTTAATGGCGACATGAATGGTGAATATACATTCATTGGTGGTAATGGTAGTAGTACTATTGATTATTTTATTGCCTCATCTGATTTCTACGAGTTTGTTTATAATCTTACAGTTGGCGAGAGTCTTGACTCGGACCACTGCCCTCTTGAACTGAGATGTTCATTTCCACGAGAAAACACAAATAGATTTGCACAATGTAATAGCACTAACTCGGCAGATAGATTTGTATGGAATGAATTGTATAAAGATGAATTTGTACACTGTCTTAGTGATCGTTTGGCTGAAACTTCACAGACTCTTCTGACTACGCTAAACACTAACATAAACGATGCAGTTGATCTTTTTGTAAATCTACTACTTGAGTCAGGGCAGTGTATGAAAAAAACAGTTCTTGGAAATAAACCACGTAAATATATTTTCAATTTAAACAGCGAGTGTAGAGAACATAGGAGATCAGCAAGACGAGCGCTAAGAAAGTTCCGTAAAAATAGATCTGAATCTAATAGGAAAACTTATTGTCAGTTACGCAACAAATATAAAACAAAATGTAAAAGCTATTTAAAATCCCTTAAACTTACCAAATTAAATCGTCTAAATGCCTCATTATCAAACCCAAAACGGTTCTGGAGAGAAATTAATTCTCTACGCAGTCCATCATCTGTTCAGAATAATATCACAGGCACAGAGTGGCTGACTCATTTTAAGCATGTGTTTGGCAATGATCTTATATTCCATGATGTTATTGAAAATGAGCATGACGATATTGCTGTTTATAACCCATCAGATGTTGAGTTTGACATTCTTGAATCCGAAATAACAAGAAAGGAAATTCTCGATGCTATTGACTCACTTAAACCTGGAAAATCTCCAGGCCCTGACAATATCTTAGCGGATATGCTGAAGAGTTCCAAACACATAACTGTTCCATTTTTGCATTCTCTCTTTAACGACATATTCAACAAAGGTATATTTCCGTCAATTTGGTCAAAATCTATATTGTTCCTCTATTTAAGAAGGGTGATACAAGCGTTCCTGATAATTATAGAGCAATTTCATTGACAAGTATTTTAGGTAAAGTTTTTGCTATAGTTTTAAACAAGCCTTTAACGCTCTGGTCTAATGTTTATGATAAAATTCCAGAAAATCAGGCAGGCTTCAGACGATCATATTCACCTATCGACCATATTTTTACACTTTATTCTATTGTACAAAAATATCTTGGATGCCGGAAACGAAAACTGTATGTTGCATTTGTGGACTTCAAAAAAGCATTTGATAGCGTTAATCGTTGTAAACTTTGGGATTGTTTGAGAAAAACGGGCGTTGGGGGTAAAATGTATAAAATGTTAAAATCTATATATGCAAATGTCAAATCATGTGTTCGTCACAAAAATGGTGTCACTGATTACTTTGATTGCCCTATCGGTGTGAAACAAGGCTGCATTTTAAGCCCTCTCCTTTTCTCTTTCTTTATCAACGAATTGTCCCTTGAAATCCAACAAAACGGAAAACACGGTGTCCAACTTTATCCAGATATGTATGAATTGCTAATATTACTTTTCGCAGACGATGTTATACTAATTTCTGATACTGTTAATGGGCTTCAAACACAAATAGACATATTATTTCAGTATACCATCTCCTGGAAACTGACTGTTAATACAGATAAAACGAAAATTGTTGTTTTTAGAAAGGGGGGTCCTCTTGCATCCAGGGAAAAATGGTATATAAATGGGCAACAAATTAATGTTGAAAAAACTTATAAATACCTTGGTGTCATTTTTCCTTTTAATCTGAAACTAAATCACCTCGTCAACGATCTTGCGCTACGAGCTAAGAGAGCCCTCATTACCTTATTTGTTGTTCTTGATAAACTTGGTGTGTCTTCCCCGTCTGTTTTCTTCAAACTTTTTGATTCTCAAGTTAAACCAATTCTGTTATATGGTTCAGAGATTTGGGGTCTCGAAAAATATCACATCTTGGAAAAAATTCACTTAACTGCTTGTAAACTATTCTTAAATGTTGGCAAATCTACCCCAAATTGTATGGTGTATGGTGAATGTGGAAGACATCCCTTATACATCTGTTCTTATGTACGCGGTCTAAAATATTGGTTAAAGATTATAGAAATGTCACCTGATCGTATTCCACGTAAATGTTATGAAATGCTGAAATACCGCGACAATGTTGGTTATATAACATGGGTCACTAAAATCAGACAACTTTTATTTCTTCATGGATTTGGATATGTTTGGATTTATCAAGTTGTTGGAGATAAGACAGCATTTCTTAGTGTATTTAAACAAGTTGCATCTGATATGTTTATCCAAGAATGGAGAGCTACATTGGAAAATAGTTCAAGATACGACCTTTATAAAACATTTAAATCCTGCTTATCTCCAGAACAGTACTTAACAGAAATAACAGACAGAAAACTAAGAGTGTGTTTTACACGTTTTAGATTAGGTTTGAACAATTTAGTATGTAATACGGGTCGTTTTTCCTCAGTTTAAAAAAATATGCGTTTTTGTCCTTTTTGCCCCACATTTATTGAAAACGAATACCATTTTATGTTTATCTGTCCATGTTATGAATCGCTAAGAACAAAATATTTCCAAGGTTTACCCCAAAACATCAATACACTAATCAAGCTCCTCCGTTTTGATGAAATATCTAACGAGCAACAAAAGATTACTATCTTATACATTAATTATGGTTTACGACTTCGCAACCGTCTTTGTACAAATGATGTTTAATTATTCTTTAGGTTATTTGCCTTCATTAATCAAATGCTTTTATCTCTTCTTGTTGTGTTGTGTTGCGACTTATTTTTCACAAAATTGTACACGTGCACATCTCTGTGCATATAAGTCTGCATGTTTATACTTCTACATGTACAAAATTGTATATATATAATGTTACTGTATGTATATGGGCCTATGGCCAGAATACAATAAATGATGATGATGATGATGAATTGATTCAAGTTGACAACCGTTAACGCTTATACATGTGCTAATACAAATGGTAGTCATCTAGTGTTTTGTAAACAATTTGAATCATACAAAACAATGAACGTATAACGGAAAACATAAAGGAACTGTGATGACGTGTTAACCCTATCAATACACGGGTAAATAGTGACCCCTTTTACGCTCTGCATTAAACGTGAGGTAAATAAATATCCATCAATACACCAAGCATAACATGTGCGTTTGTATAGAACACATGGACATGTGTATCGTGATAACTTTATGGTTTGTTTGTTTGGTTTTTAACGCTACACTCCAGCTATTCCAAATATATGACGGCGGCCTCTAAATAATCGATTCAGACAAACCTGTGATTGATATTAGGAGGAACGTCGCCGACGGTGTACTGTAACACGCAATCAACCAAATCACTAAGTCTGACCACCTGAGCCATTCAGTCGCCTCTTGCGACCAGCTTAGGTTGCTGAAGATGAATTCAAACCCAGAATCCCTACTGGGGTAACTTTATAGTGGGCTACTGGAAACATACTGGATACTGGTTACATGGTTGACTGTAGGCGTTGAGTCCTACCTTCGCGAAATACCACTGCACCGTGGCGTTGATGTTGGAGTCAACGTCAAAGTAGACCCCGATCCATACGTCACACAGCGTGCCACGGGTCGTCATCTGCAGCAGGATGCGTGCCAGCATGATTTCACCATATAATAGTAAACACTGGCCACTATAACATAACCTACTCACCATAAGATACATTCACTGAAGTAACAACTTATACAACATTGGTTAGATCCACCCATGTCGTGGCATTAGCAGCGTGAGTATCCGGCACTAGAGACAAGGTTATAATGACCGATATCTGCGCCTATGTTCTTATCTACGAAAGCCTATGGTGCCACCTTGATAGCATAAATTAATTTATTTAATCGAAATTTCGCGTTATTTCAATTATTTGTTTAACTTTTCGAAATTTCGTTTTTTTTACTTGATACTTCCATTATATTTTCGAAATTTCGATTATTCTTTTCGTTGTTTCAGGTTTTATATATGTATAAAAACTCGACAATTTATTTTTTTCTCGTAATTTCGATTATTTTATCTTTATTTCAAGTATATACAGCCCGCATCATCAAAAGTACTATAAGTTAAGTTAGTTTCAGTGTAATTAATATGCAAATAATTTCCCAATATGGCATCAAGAAATATAAAGGTTACCCGAATATGATCACAGGACAACCACAACGGACACAAGATAAACAGTCCTCTGTTAGATGAGCTATTCAGGTGAGACGGCCTGTATCATTGACAACATGGCACTATGCCATAAATAAGCAAATAATATTAATATCGTGTAAAACTTGCTTCGATACCTCTATTACATATAAATACAATTCTTACCTCCCCAGCATACTGGATTGACGCTTGTTCGTAATGGAACAGCTCCGAGGCATTTTGAATAGTTATGTGATTGTCGGCAGTGACAGCCGTATACTCATCGCCGCCCCGGATAAGTTCAACATCACACGTACCGAGGTACGTGTCCCTCTCATACCTCGCACCTGCAACACACGGGGTCACGCACCTACAGCAGGTGCCACATAGAGACGAGGTGTAACCTCGATGTACCGAGCGCGAGTACTAAAGGACGGGAGATCACAAGTTTGGGTAAACAGGATTTTGAAGTTGGCGCTGAATGATGAGAACACACATCAAGAACACAAAGTAGTATTCCCGTGTTCGACATTACTTTTATGCAGAACCGTATAATTTCTGTTTGATGAGCAACAATGAGAAACTCTGATTTCATAGTCCGATATATAATTACGTATGATCGATGTAAAGTCGATATTGTTTTACCTGTCTCGAAATTATAGATGTAAGACAGTGGGTTGGGGTCGGAGCCGAGAGATTCTTTGGTGTCATGCCGCACTCGGCGGTTTATACTGTCAAACCACACCTGAAATACAGAGACACACGGGGTGTTATCTTCATATGCATGTATCCAACAGTATATCTTCACCTTCTCGCACAACACAGTACAACACACCCCTGTCTCATCAGAGATAACCTCAACAATGTACCTGGTAAGTCACACAATATAGCACACCCCTGTCTCACCACAGATGATCTCAACAATGTACCTGGTAAGTCACACAATATAGCACACCCTTATCTCGCCACAGATGATCTCAACAATGTACTTGGTAAGTCACACAATATAGCACACCCTTATCTCGCCACAGATGACCTCAACAATGTACTTGGTAAGTCACACAATATAGCACACCCTTATCTCGCCACAGATGATCTCAACTATGTACCTGGTAGGTCACACAATATAGCACACCCTTATCTCGCCACAGATGATCTCAACAATGTACCTGGTAAGTCACACAATATAGCACACCCCAGTCTCACCACAGATGATCTCAACAATGTACCTGGTAAGTCACACAATATAGCACACCCTTATCTCGCCCCAGATGATCTCAACAATGTACCTGGTACGTCACACAATATAACACCCCCCTGTCTCGCCACAGATGATCTCAACAATGTACCTGGTAAGTCACACAATATAGCACACCCTTATCTCGCCACTGATGATCTCAACAATGATGCCTACCTCATCAAATGTGATCTTCCTTAAGTCCATGTCTATGACCTCCATCAACATGTAGAACTGGTCCGATACAGGTGGCAGCTCTTTTGTCAGTGGTCGACCTGGACAGAACACCCCGGACGGAGTCTGGAAATATAATACAGGTGGACAGGTGGACAGGCATACGGGCATACAGACATACAGGTGGACAGGCATACGGGCATACAGACATACAGGTGGACAGGCATACGGGCATACAGACATACAGGTGGACAGGGAAAGAGGTGGACAGGTGGACAAGAACAGAGGTGGACTGGAACACAGGCGACAGGAACACAGGCGGACAGGTGGACAGGAAAACAGGCGGACATGTGGACAGGAACACAGGGGGACAGATGGACAGGAACAAAGGCGGACAGGTGGACAGGAACACAGATGGACAGGTAGACAGGAACACAGGTGGACAGGTAGACAGGAACAAAGGCGGACAGGTAGACAGGAACAAAGGCGGACAGGTGGACAGGAACACAGGTGGACAGGTAGACAGGAACACAGGTGGACAGGTGGAAAGGAACACAGATGGACAGTCGGAAAGGAACACAAGAGGACAGGTGGACAGGAACACAAGAGGACAGGTGGACAGGAACACAAGAAGACGGGCGACAGGAACAAAGGTGGACAGGTGGTCATGAACACAGGTACACAGGTGGACAGGTGGACAGGAACACAGGTGGACAGGTGGATAGGAACACAGGTGGACAGGTGGACAGGAACACAGGTAGATAGGCGGACAGGAACACAGGTGGACAGGTGGACAGGAACACAGGTGGACAGGTGGAAAGGAACACAGGTGGACAGGTGGAAAGGAACACAAGAGGACAGGTACACAGGTAGATAGGCGGACAGGAACACAGGTGGACAGGTGGACAGGAACACAGGTAGATAGGCGGACAGGAACACAGGTGGACAGGAACACAGGTGGACAGGTGGAAAGGAACACAGGTGGACAGGTGGAAAGGAACACAAGAGGACAGGTGGACAGGAACACAGGTGGACAGATGGACAGGAACACAGGTGGACAGATGGACAGGAACACAGGTGGACAGATGGACTGGAACACAGGTGGACAGGAATACAGGTGGACAGGTGGACAGGTGGACAAGTGGACAGGAATACAGGTGGACAGGTGGGCAGGAACACATATGTAAAGGTGGAGAGGAACGCATGTGGACAGGTGGTCATGTACACAGGTGGACAGGAACACAGTTGGACAGGAACACAGGTGGACAGGTGGACAGGAACGCAGGTGGACAGGTAGAAAGGAACACAGGTGGATAGGTAGAAAGGAACACAAGAGGACAGATGGACAGGAACACAAGAAGACAGGTGGAAAGAAACACAAGAGGACAGGTGGACAGGAACACAGGGGGACAGGTGGACAGGAACACAGGTGTACAGGTAGACAGGAACACAGGTGGACAGGTGGAAAGGAACACAGATGGACAGTCGGAAAGGAACACAAGAGGACAGGTGGACAGGAACACAAGAGGACAGGTGGAAAGGAACACAAGAAGACGGGCGACAGGAACACAGGTGGACAGGTGGAAAGGAACACAGGTGGACAGGTGGAAAGGAACACAAGAGGACAGGTGGACAGGAACACAGGTGGACAGATGGACAGGAACACAGGTGGACAGGAATACAGGTGGACAGGTGGACAAGTGGACAGGAATACAGGTGGACAGGTGGGCAGGAACACATATGTAAAGGTGGAGAGGAACGCATGTGGACAGGTGGTCATGTACACAGGTGGACAGGAACACAGTTGGACAGGAACACAGGTGGACAGGTGGACAGGAACGCAGGTGGACAGGTAGAAAGGAACACAGGTGGACAGGTAGAAAGGAACACAGGTGGACAGGTGGAAAGGAACACAGGTGGACAGGTGGAAAGGAACACAAGAGGACAGGTAGAAAGGAACACAGGTGGACAGGTGGAAAGGAACACAAGAGGACAGGTAGAAAGGAACACAAGAGGACAGATGGACAGGAACACAAGAAGACAGGTGGAAAGGAACACAAGAGGACAGGTGGACAGGAACACAGGGGGACAGGTGGAAAGGAACACAAGAGGACAGGTAGACAGGAACAAAGGCGGACAGGTGGACAGGAACACAGGTGGACAGGTAGACAGGAACACAGGTGGACAGGTGGAAAGGAACACAGATGGACAGTCGGAAAGGAACACAAGAGGACAGGTGGACAGGAACACAAGAGGACAGGTGGACAGGAACACAAGAAGACAGGTGGAAAGGAACACAGGGGGACAGGTCGACAGGAACACAGGTGGACAGGTGGACAGGAACACAGGTGGACAGGTGGAAAGGAACATAAGAGGGCAGGTAGAAAGGAACACAAGAGGACAGGTGGACAGGAACACAAGAAGACAGGTGGACAGGAACACAAGAAGACAGGCGACAGGAACACAGGTGTACAGGTGGACAGGAACACAGGTGGACAGGGAGACAGGAACACAGGTGGACAGGTGGACAGGAACACAGGTGGACAGGTGGACAGGAACACAAGAAGACAGGTGGAAAGGAACACAGGTGGACAGGTGGACAGGAACACAGGGGGACAGGTGGAAAGGAACACAAGAGGACAGGTGGACAGGAACACAGGTGGAAAGGAACACAGATGGACAGGTGGAAAGGAACACAGGTGGACAGGTGGAAAGGAACACAGGTGGACAGGTAGAAAGGAACACAGGTGGACAGGTGGAAAGGAACACAGGTGGACAGGTAGAAAGGAACACAGGAGGACAGGTGGAAAGGAACACAAGAGGACAGGTAGAAAGGAACACAAGAGGACAGATGGACAGGAACACAAGAAGACAGGTGGAAAGGAACACAAGAGGACAGGTGGACAGGAACACAGGGGGACAGGTGGAAAGGAACACAAGAGGACAGGAACACAGATGGACAGGTGGTCATGTACACAGGCGGACAGGAACACGGGTGGACAGGGACACAGGTGTACAGGTAGACAGGAACACAGGTGGACAGGTGGACAGGAAGACAAGAGGACAGGTAGACAGGAACACGGGTGGACAGGTGGACAGGAACACAGGTGGACAGGGAGACAGGAACACAGGTGGACAGATGGACAGGAACACAAGAGGACAGGAACGCAGGTGGACAGGTGGACAGGAGCACAGGTGGACAGGTGGACAGGTGGACAGGTGGTCATGTACACAGGTAGACAGGAACACGGGTGGACAGGTGGACAGGAACACAGGTGGACAGGGAGACAGGAACACAGGTGGACAGATGGACAGGAACACAAGAGGACAGGAACGCAGGTGGACAGGAACGCAGGTGGACAGGTGGACAGGTGGACAGGAGCACAGGTGGACAGGTGGACAGGTGGACAGGTGGTCATGTACACAGGTAGACAGGAACACGGGTGGACAGGTGGACAGGAACACAGGTGGACAGGGAGACAGGAACACAGGTGGACAGATGGACAGGAACACAAGAGGACAGGAACGCAGGTGGACAGGAACGCAGGTGGACAGGTGGACAGGTGGACAGGAGCACAGGTGGACAGGTGGACAGGAACACAGGTGGACAGGTGGACAGGAACACAGGTGGACAGGTGGACAGGAACACAGGTAGACAGGAACACAGGTGGACAGATGGACAGGAACACAAGAGGACAGGAACGCAGGTGGACAGGAACACAGGTGGACAGGTGGACAGGTGGACAGGAACACAGGTGGACAGGTGGACAGGTGGACAGGTGGACAGGTGGACAGGAACACAGGTAGACAGGAACACAGGTATCACGACCGCAAATGATGTCACCGACTGAATACGCTCCCAAGCATGAAAGCTATCTCACATATGTGTAAATCTGGTTCACGTGAAAGCTATGTCCCATACGTGTATATCTGTTTTAGGTGAAAGCTATCTCACATACATGTATATCTGGTTCACGTGAAAGCTATCTCACATACATGTATATCTGTTTTAGGTGAAAGCTATCTCACATACGTGTATATCTGTTTTAGGTGAAAGCTATCTCACATACATGTATATCTGGTTCACGTGAAAGCTATCTCACATACATGTATATCTGGTTCACGTGAAAGCTATCTCACATACATGTATATCTGGTTCACGTGAAAGCTATTCCACATACATGTATTTCTAGTTCACGTGAAAGCTATCTCACATACATGTATATCTTGTTCACGTGGAAGCTATCTCACATACATGTATATCTGTTTTAGGTGAAAGCTATCTCACATACGTGTATATCTGTTTTAGGTGAAAGCTATCTCACATATATGTATATCTGGTTCACGTGAAAGCTATCTCACATACATGTATATCTGTTTTAGGTGAAAGCTATCTCACATACATGTATATCTGGTTCACGTGGAAGCTATCTCACATACATGTATATCTGTTTTAGGTGAAAGCTATCTCACATACGTGTATATCTGTTTTAGGTGAAAGCTATCTCACATATATGTATATCTGGTTCACGTGAAAGCTATCTCACATACATGTATATCTGTTTTAGGTGAAAGCTATCTCACATACATGTATATCTGGTTCACGTGAAAGCTATCTCACATACATGTATATCTGGTTCACGTGAAAGCTATGTCCCATACGTGTATATCCGTTTTAGGTGAAAGCTATCTCACATACGTGTACATGTATATCTGTTTTAGGTGAAAGCTATCTCACATACATGTATATCTGGTTCACGTGAAAGCTATCTCACATACATGTATATCTGGTTCACGTGAAAGCTATGTCCCATACGTGTATATCTGTTTTAGGTGAAAGCTATCTCACATACGTGTACATGTATATCTGTTTTAGGTGAAAGCTATCTCACATACATATATATCTGGTTCACGTGAAAGCTATCTCACATACATGTATATCTGGTTCACGTGAAAGCTATGTCCCATACGTGTATATCCGTTTTAGGTGAAAGCTATCTCACATACGTGTACATGTATATCTGTTTTAGGTGAAAGCTATCTCACATACATATATATCTGGTTCACGTGAAAGCTATCTCACATACATGTATATCTGGTTCACGTGAAAGCTATGTCCCATACGTGTATATCCGTTTTAGGTGAAAGCTATCTCACATACGTGTACATGTATATCTGTTTTAGGTGAAAGCTATCTCACATACATATATATCTGGTTCACGTGAAAGCTATCTCACATACATGTATATCTGGTTCACGTGAAAGCTATCTCACATACATGTATATCTTGTTCACGTGAAAGCTATCTCACCAGGAACGCATCTTCGGGGAACACTGGGAAGGGTGTGAAGTCCGTGAAGTCGCCGACCACGCTGTATTCCTGTACCGAGGTGTTGGTGTGGCGCTTGGCGTGCATCGTCATCTGGACCGGAAGGGGCTCGGCCGGCGGTAGGTGGGGGGTCATCCAACTCTGCCCTGAGTCGTCTGTGATAAACAACAAGTATCTCAGTACAATGATAAGCTGTCAGGTATCAGGGACCGATCATTTGATATACAAAATCCCCCACCCCGAAAATCAAATGATCAGTCCCTTACTTTAACAATTGTAGAAGAAATTTCTAAATTGCGATCACACATTTCGGCATAAGATACTTTTGTGAAAAAACAGACATGATTGATTACAAATACTCCAGAAAATACTTACATTACCAACACAAGATTTCAAACCATTCATGTCTATTGATAAGGCTGAATTTTAAGATTTGATAGTCCAAGTGTTATTTAAAGTTCTCGAAGGACTCTTACCTGAATAGACAACCATGCATAACTTACTTAAAAAAAACATTTTCGTGTTGCTGGTGATGTCTATGAAATAGTCATACATGCAGGCACTCCATTCGCTGACGGGATATGACCGGATGGCCTTCACCGTGGAATTAGCCACATATCGAGTCTGTCAACAAGAGAAGGGTTTGTTACGTCATGGCCCCTGAAGGCTAGCTGCAGCAAGGCGTTGGCTGTATGCGCAGTACCGCGTCAACGACTACCACATGTCAGTATATTTGAAATACGGAATAAAAGTTACCTTTGCATATAACGTTACGTTACGCATATTTCATTTATTGTGACAATAATGTTTGTAGGGAGGACGGACGCGATGCATGACACACTGATGGCCGTTTCCCGCGCAGGTTCGAGCAGTTGGTGACTCACGTCCTCAGACGCCATCATGGCCCGGTACACCAGCATGACAGAAGTGAGCCACGGCAGGTCGTCATAACGGTACATCTGTGGTCCAATCTTGCTCACGCTGCACGTCGCCTCAGCATCTGAAACGCGGGATCTGAATTGTTCATCACTTCGTCTCTTTCACATCACATTTGTGTTTCACAAGCAACTTCCTTCCACAAGAAGATGATCGGTGTGTGACTTACTCTGACTACTTGGTAGCTGTATGGTGAGCGCCAGGTCAGTGTTGTAGTCAAAGATGACCTTGACATTCTGCTGGGGTGGAATCTGGATGTAGAGACTGCCCAGCTTCCGTTCCTCGTCGTAATACTCTCTGACGTTGTATGTCCGCTGGCTGATGAGCTCCCGCCATTCTATTGCCACGGAGAACAACTTGCCGGTCGTGATGGCCGGGGGCGGGGAAATCACTGAAAAAGGTTTCGAATTAATGCTGTCAAAAAAATTATTTATTCTGAAAAGGAAACAGGGTGATCATCTAAATGTATTGATAACAGTCGCCTTTGAGTACATGGTCCCTGTTATGGACATGTGGTGATGTTTCGGTGGTCCCTGCCAGGGACATACATTCGCTAGTTGATGTAACGGTGGTACATGCGTCTGCTGTTTGTTTTATTTATGAATACTGTGTATACGTACCTTTCTGCGTTGCTGGCGAACACACTGTTTTGTCAATGCCATAATCAGCGCTGACCCACTGGACACTGATGACCACCGCCACCAGGGTGAGCAAGAGCAAGGTAGACATACCTGTGGATGGAGAACGTACAGCAGTGAGGCAGATCGTTGGCTTGGTGGATTACGGGCTAGACTAGTATCCATTCAGTGAGAGTGAGTGACTCAGTCAGTCAGTCAGTCAGTCAGTCAGTCAGTCAGTCAGTCAGTCAGTCAGTCAGTCAGTCAGTCAGTCAGTGAGCCAGTGAGTGAGTGAGTGACAAGGCTGACTATGTGTCACCGTGCTCTGATGGTATGACAAGGCTGACTTTGTTTCACTGTGCCCCGATGGTATGACAAGGCTGACAATGTGTCACCGTGCCCTGATGGTATGACAAGGCTGGCTGTGCCACTGTGCCCCGATGGTATGACAAGGCTGACTTTGTGTCACTGTGTCCCGATGGTGTGACAAGGCTGACTATGTGTCACTGTGCCCCGATGGTATGACAAGGATGACTTTGTGTCTCCGTGACCCAATGGTATGACAAGGCTGACTTTGTGTCACTGTGCCCCGATGGTATGACAAGGCTGACTGTGTCACCGTGCCCTCATGGTATGACAAGGCTGACTATGTGTCACTGTGCCCTGATGGTATGACAAGGCTGACTCTGTCACTGTGCCCCGATGTTGTGACAAGACTGACTGTGTCACTGTGCCCCGATCGTGTGACAAGGCTGACTATGTGTCACTGTGCCCCGATGGTATTACAAGGCTTACTGTGTCACCGTTCCCCGATGGTATGACAAGGCTGGCTGTGCCACTGTGCCCCGATGGTGTGACAAGGCTGACTATGTGTCACTGTGCCCCGATGGTGTGACAAGGCTGACTATGTGTCACTGTGCCCCGATGGTATGACAAGGCTGACTGTGTGTCACCGTGCCCCGATGGTATGACAAGGCTGATTTTGTGTCACTGTGTCCCGATGGTATGACAAGGCTGACTATGTGTCACTGTGCCCCGATTGTGTAACAAGGCTGACTGTGTGTCACCGTGCCCCGATGGTATGACAAGGCTGACTGTGTGTCACTGTGCCCCGATGGTATGACAAGGCTGACTGTGTGTCACTGTGCCCCGATGGTATGACAAGGCTGAATGTGCCACTGTGCCCCGATGGTATGACAAGGCTGACTATGTGTCACTGTGCCCCGATGGTATGACAAGGCTGATTATGTGTCATCGTGCCCCGATGGTATGACAAGACTAACTGTGTCACTGTGCCCCGATGGTATGACAAGACTAACTGTGTCATTGTGCCCCGATGGTGTGACAAGGCTGACTATGTGTCACTGTGCCCCGATGGTATGACGAGACTAACTGTGTCACTGTGCCCCGATAGTGTGACAAGGCTGACTTTGTGTCATTGTGCCCCGATGGTGTGACAAGGCTGACTGTGTGTCACCGTGCCCCGTTGGTATGACAAGGTTGACTATGTGTCACTGTGCCCCGATGGTATGACAAGGCTGACTGTGTGTCACCGTGCCCCGATGGTATGACAAGGCTGACTGTGTGTCACTGTGCCCCGATGGTATGACAAGGCTGACTATGTGTCACTGTGCCCCGATGGTGTGACAAGTCTGACTGTGTCTCTGTGCCCCGATGGTGTGACAAGGTTGACTGTGTGTCACTGTGCCCCGATGGTATGACAAGGCTGACTGTGTGTCACTGTGCCCCGATGGTATGACAAGGTTGACTATGTGTCACTGTGCCCCGATGGTATGACAAGGTTGACTATGTGTCACTGTGCCCCGATGGTATGACAAGGTTGACTATGTGTCACTGTGCCCCGATGGTATGACAAGGTTGACTATGTGTCACTGTGCCCCGATGGTATGACAAGGTTGACTATGTGTCACTGTGCCCCGATGGTATGACAAGGCTGACTGTGTGTCACCGTGCCCCGATGGTATGACAAGGTTGACTATGTGTCACTGTGCCCCGATGGTATGACAAGGCTGACTGTGTGTCACTGTTCCCCGATGGTATGACAAGGTTGACTGTGTGTCACTGTGCCCCGATGGTATGACAAGGTTGACTGTGTGTCACTGTGCTCCGATGGTATGACAAGGTTGACTATGTGTCACCGTGCCCCGATTGTGTGATAAGGCTGATTGTGTCACTGTGTCCCGATGGTATGACAAGGCTGACTATGTGTCACCGTGCCCTGATGGTATGACAAGTCTGACTATGTCACTGTGCCCCGATGGTGTGACAAAGCTGTCTGTGTGGAACTGTGCCCCGATGGTGTGACAAGGCTGACTGTGTCACCGTGCCCCGATGGTGTGACAAGGCTGACTATGTGTCAACGTGCCCCGTTGGTATGACAAGGCTTACTGTGTCACCGTGCCCTGATGGTGTGATAAGGCTGACTGTGTCACTGTGCCCCGATGGTGTGACAAGACTGACTCTGTCACTGTGCCCCGATGGTGTGACAAAGCTGACTATGTGTCAACGTGCCCCGATGGTATGACAAGGCTGACTGTGTCACCGTGCCCTGATGGTGTGACAAGGCTGACTGTGTCACTGTGCCCCGATGGTAGGACAAGACAGACGGTGTGTCACCGTTCCCAAATGGTATGACAAGACAGACTGTGTGTCACCATTCCCCAATGGTATGACAAGACAGACTGTGTGTCACCATTCCCCAATGGTATGACAAGACAGACTGTGTGTCACCATTCCCCGATGGTGTCACAAGACTGACTGTGTCACCGTTCCCCGATGGTATGACAAGACTGACTGTGTGTCACCGTTCCCCGATGGTGTCACAAGACTGACTGTGTGTCACCGTTCCCCGATGGTGTCACAAGACTGACTGTGTTTCACCGTTCCCTGATGGTATGACAAGACAGACTGTGTGTCACCGTTCCCCGATGGTGTGACAAGGCAGACTGTGTGTCACCGTGCCCCGATGGTGTGACAAGACTGACTGTGTGTCACCGTTCCCAAATGGTATGACAAGACAGACTGTGTGTCACCATTCCCCAATGGTATGACAAGACAGACTGTGTGTCACCATTCCCCAATGGTATGACAAGACAGACTGTGTGTCACCATTCCCCGATGGTGTGACAAGACTGACTGTGTCACCGTTCCCCGATGGTATGACAAGACTGACTGTGTGTCACCGTTCCCCGATGGTGTCACAAGACTGACTGTGTTTCACCATTCTCCGATGGTATGACAAGACAGACTGTGTGTCACCGTGCCCCGATGGTGTGACAAGACTGACTGTGTGTCACCGTTCCCAAATGGTATGACAAGACAGACTGTGTGTCACCATTCCCCGATGGTGTCACAAGACTGACTGTGTGTCACCGTTCCCCGATGGTGTCACAAGACTGACTGTGTTTCACCGTTCCCTGATGGTATGACAAGACAGACTGTGTGTCACCATTCCCCGATGGTGTGACAAGACTGACTGTGTCACCGTTCCCCGATGGTATGACAAGACTGACTGTGTGTCACTGTGCCCTGATGGTATGACAAGTCTGACTATGTCACTGTGCCCCGATGGTGTGACAAAGCTGTCTGTGTGGAACTGTGCCCCGATGGTGTGACAAGGCTGACTGTGTCACCGTGCCCCGATGGTGTGACAAGGCTGACTATGTGTCAACGTGCCCCGATGGTATGACAAGGCTTACTGTGTCACCGTGCCCTGATGGTGTGATAAGGCTGACTGTGTCACTGTGCCCCGATGGTGTGACAAGACTGACTCTGTCACTGTGCCCCGATGGTGTGACAAAGCTGACTATGTGTCAACGTGCCCCGATGGTATGACAAGGCTGACTGTGTCACCGTGCCCTGATGGTGTGACAAGGCTGACTGTGTCACTGTGCCCCGATGGTAGGACAAGACAGACGGTGTGTCACCGTTCCCAAATGGTATGACAAGACAGACTGTGTGTCACCATTCCCCAATGGTATGACAAGACAGACTGTGTGTCACCATTCCCCAATTGTATGACAAGACAGACTGTGTGTCACCATTCCCCGATGGTGTGACAAGACTGACTGTGTCACCGTTCCCCGATGGTATGACAAGACTGACTGTGTGTCACCGTTCCCCGATGGTGTCACAAGACTGACTGTGTTTCACCATTCTCCGATGGTATGACAAGACAGACTGTGTGTCACCGTTCCCCGATGGTGTCACAAGACTGACTGTGTTTCACCGTTCCCTGATGGTATGACAAGACAGACTGTGTGTCACCGTTCCCCGATGGTAGGACAAGACAGACTGTGTTTCACCGTTCCCCGTTGGTGTGACAAGACTGACTGTGTGTAACGAGCCCCGATGGTGTGACAAGGCTGACTGTGTCACCGTTCCCCGATGGTAGGACAAGACTGACTGTGTTTCACCGTTCCCCGATGGTGTGACAAGGCAGACTGTGTGTCACCGTGCCCCGATGGTGTGACAAGACTGACTGTGTGTCACCGTTCCCCGATGGTGTCACAAGACTGACTGTGTTTCACCATTCTCCGATGGTATGACAAGACAGACTGTGTGTCACCGTTCCCCGATGGTGTCACAAGACTGACTGTGTGTCACCGTTCCCCGATGGTGTCACAAGACTGACTGTGTTTCACCGTTCCCTGATGGTATGACAAGACAGACTGTGTGTCACCGTTCCCCGATGGTGTGACAAGGCAGACTGTGTGTCACCGTGCCCCGATGGTGTGACAAGACTGACTGTGTGTCACCGTTCCCAAATGGTATGACAAGACAGACTGTGTGTCACCATTCCCCAATGGTATGACAAGACAGACTGTGTGTCACCATTCCCCAATGGTATGATAAGACAGACTGTGTGTCACCATTCCCCGATGGTGTGACAAGACTGACTGTGTCACCGTTCCCCGATGGTATGACAAGACTGACTGTGTGTCACCGTTCCCCGATGGTGTCACAAGACTGACTGTGTTTCACCATTCTCCGATGGTATGACAAGACAGACTGTGTGTCACCGTGCCCCGATGGTGTGACAAGACTGACTGTGTGTCACCGTTCCCAAATGGTATGACAAGACAGACTGTGTGTCACCATTCCCCGATGGTGTCACAAGACTGACTGTGTGTCACCGTTCCCCGATGGTGTCACAAGACTGACTGTGTTTCACCGTTCCCTGATGGTATGACAAGACAGACTGTGTGTCACCATTCCCCGATGGTGTGACAAGACTGACTGTGTGTCACCGTTCCCCGATGGTATGACAAGACTGACTGTGTGTCACCGTGCCCTGATGGTATGACAAGTCTGACTATGTCACTGTGCCCCGATGGTGTGACAAAGCTGTCTGTGTGGAACTGTGCCCCGATGGTGTGACAAGGCTGACTGTGTCACCGTGCCCCGATGGTGTGACAAGGCTGACTATGTGTCAACGTGCCCCGATGGTATGACAAGGCTTACTGTGTCACCGTGCCCTGATGGTGTGATAAGGCTGACTGTGTCATTGTGCCCCGATGGTGTGACAAGACTGACTCTGTCACTGTGCCCCGATGGTGTGACAAAGCTGACTATGTGTCAACGTGCCCCGATGGTATGACAAGGCTGACTGTGTCACCGTGCCCTGATGGTGTGACAAGGCTGACTGTGTCACTGTGCCCCAATGGTAGGACAAGACAGACGGTGTGTCACCGTTCCCAAATGGTATGACAAGACAGACTGTGTGTCACCATTCCCCAATGGTATGACAAGACAGACTGTGTGTCACCATTCCCCAATGGTATGACAAGACAGACTGTGTGTCACCATTCCCCGATGGTGTGACAAGACTGACTGTGTCACCGTTCCCCGATGGTATGACAAGACTGACTGTGTGTCACCGTTCCCCGATGGTGTCACAAGACTGACTGTGTTTCACCATTCTCCGATGGTATGACAAGACAGACTGTGTGTCACCGTTCCCCGATGGTGTCACAAGACTGACTGTGTGTCACCGTTCCCGGATGGTGTCACAAGACTGACTGTGTTTCACCGTTCCCTGATGGTATGACAAGACAGACTGTGTGTCACCGTTCCCCGATGGTGTGACAAGACTGACTGTGTCACCGTGCCCCGATGGTATGACAAGACTGACTGTGTCCCCGTTCCCCGATGGTGTGACAAGACTGACTGTGTGTCACCGTTCCCCGATGGTGTGACAAGGCTGACTGTGTCACCATTCCCCAATGGTAGGACAAGACTGACTGTGTGTCACCGTTCCCCGATGGTATGACAAGACAGACTGTGTCACCGTTCCCCGATGGTGTGACAAGACTGACTGTGTTTCACCGTTCCCCGATGGTGTGACAAGGCAGACTGTGTGTCACCGTGCCCGGATGGTATGACAAGACAGACTGTGTGTCACCGTTCCCCGATGGTGTCACAAGACTGACTGTGTGTCACCGTTCCCCGATGGTGTCACAAGACTGACTGTGTTTCACCGTTCCCTGATGGTAGGACAAGACAGACTGTGTGTCACCGTTCCCCGATGGTGTGACAAGGCAGACTGTGTGTCACCGTGCCCCGATGGTGTGACAAGACTGACTGTGTGTCACCGTTCCCAAATGGTATGACAAGACAGACTGTGTGTCACCATTCCCCAATGGTATGACAAGACAGACTGTGTGTCACCATTCCCCAATGGTATGACAAGACAGACTGTGTGTCACCGTTCCCCGATGGTGTCACAAGACTGACTGTGTTTCACCATTCTCCGATGGTATGACAAGACAGACTGTGTGTCACCGTGCCCCGATGGTGTGACAAGACTGACTGTGTGTCACCGTTCCCAAATGGTATGACAAGACAGACTGTGTGTCACCATTCCCCGATGGTGTCACAAGACTGACTGTGTGTCACCATTCCCCGATGGTGTCACAAGACTGACTGTGTGTCACCGTTCCCCGATGGTGTCACAAGACTGACTGTGTTTCACCGTTCCCTGATGGTATGACAAGACAGACTTTGTGTCACCGTTCCCCGATGGTGTGACAAGACTGACTGTGTGTCACCATTCCCCGATGGTGTAACGTGATGATATTTCCGCCACGGTACAAGGGTAACCGTGCAGCCTGTGGCTCTTCAACTTACACAGCCACGGGTGCTACATATAAATAAAAACCAGGGAAATATTTTCTAGTGGTGCTGGCACTTTGAAATACATGTACGTACCTTTTAGGAATAGGCGAACAAGTGTTTTGGGGATATCAACAAACTGCGTATTAAAGACAAGTATCTCCATTTACCTATCAAGTTAAGTAACCGTCTCTATTCTAGTATCTACTAGATCACCAGGTTACATCGACTAACACTAGCACGCAACAAGCTGCCTGTAACATTATATGTGCCTCATCTCGGACCTCTGAAGTTCATGTCAGAACCAAATCAACACACGATCCACGATATAATACGCCTCCATTATCACCCTTCAAATTCAGTCTCAATTATGCGTCAAATAAAATAAGAAAAAATATCTCACCTCTGGTTGTAAATATTACTTGAACTTTGGTAGAGAGAAATACACATCCATGTTGTTATCGTCAGTATAACATTGATATAGGTGGCCTGGTATCTGCTGGTCATAGTATCAGCAGCACACATAGACATGATAACACGGTGCGCATAGATAACGATGACGCCGAAGTAGTGAGTCAGTTTAATGTGGGATTTTTTTTATTGAGGCCTGATCATATATGTATTTTATAACAACTATGATCTAAAAACATTTCTTTAAAAAAACCTGAAACAATGTAATCTTTGTTTTGTGGCAGACAATTTCCTTTTTTCTAAAAATATGAAGTATCTGTTTTCCAGAATTTTCAGTGTCGCTCCTATTGGCCAATCAGATTCCACCTCTTATATCACTTGCATTTGCTTGAAACAAAAAGGGGGCGACCAGTGAGGACGATCTGATCGATAATCAATATCTATACTGTAATAAAACTCCCTTGCCTCGGTGAGATGGAGAGCCAATCGATATGTAGGCTCATAGTACGTTGCAATGGACTGGGTGAAGATGAAATGGGGTTTAAGGTAACATATAAGATTATTGCAGTTATATATATAGATGTGCCTGCGCGTGTGTATAGCTGCTTGTACTAGTCCGGACTAATGCCGATATTATAGAGCTTGCCCACTGAGATACCATGCTGCAGTTTAACATGAATACCCCACTCAGACACAGTATACTGACTTTGAGCTGACCGGTCCTTTTTTTAGCTCCTTAATGCCAAGCGTCGGGCAGGGTAACAAATATCATATTTTTATGTCTGTTGGTATGATGCGGCCAAGTATCGAACCCCGGACCTTTTGCTCTCGGGGCGAGGCTCTACCAGTAGACCAGAGACGCGGTCTTAGATAAAGGACGGAGGGTGGTAAATTGGGTAGAGAATAGGTCATCAGCAACTCATGCTTGCTGTAAGAGGCAACCAGCGGGGTCGGGTGGTCAGGCTTGCTGACTTCACTGATGTATGTCATTGTATCCCAATTGTGTAGATCGATGCTCATGATGTCAATCACTGGATTGTCTGGTTCAGATTCGATTATTTACAGACTGTCGTCATATACCTGGAATATTGCTGAGTGAGGCGTTACACAACAAACAAACAAACAAAGCTCTGAAATGAAAATACTTTATAGAAGAAAATGTTAAATTATGCAATACAATAAAAAGGAGCCCAGTGACACTCTTCATTTTCAGACCTGAAACTGCAGTAATCTAGACTTGGCAACTAGTATACAGACTTGCATGGTCTGTATTGGATATATTGTTTTAGTATCTGTGTAAGAGAGTAGTGTCAGCAGAGTTCACCCACATCACCTGTAAAAAACAGTGGACAGAATAAGATTAACTGATAAAAACAATCTACAATCTCGCTTGTGGTTTTAACAGACCCGAGTCCGAATCAACTAGACTTGAGTTGGGGTCCTGTTTATAATTTATTCTCTAGGGTCTGGGAGACAGACTAGTGCCAGTGGTATGATGACAACCATTCATTGTAACTACTTGATCCTCATCTGTCGACTCTCACTACAATGCAGGGTACTGAGGAGTTATTTTGCCCCAGAATCCCACTTGATCCCAATGATTAATAAGACACTTGCCGAATAGCTACATTGAAAGCAATTTTGAAACTAAACGTCTGTACTCCTGAACCAGAACAGCAACTTCTCCGATGACATATAATTATCTTTGTAGTGGCAGCTCAACCATCATGGAGGGGTTCAAAGAAGGTAAAATAACCTTGATAACACATTAGGACTGATCAGTAAAGCTGCAGCCTCCTGCTTAGGTAGACAGTGAATATTTGCTGCTTCAACCCTCAGACAACAATATTTCAGCCATTCGACAGGCGATCATAGCTGATGCCGTGCCAAGCAACCAGCTGGTGATGATATGAGCAATGCTCAAGGGTACGATGACGCACACATTAGGACCACCCTTCCTCAGGTTTGTCAGGTCTAAGATATGCATGTGGTGATGGGCATCTTTTCCCCTGGGGATGCTCTGGTAGAACAATCCACTTACCAGAAGTAAATCTAACAGTTGTGTTGGTGCTGTGGCTGCTAGATGACAACACCCAAATGTCCTCAAAGGTATTGTGGCTCTCTCAAATGTGATTTTGACATTGCAAAACCTGTGACTAAGGGCATTAATATACCTTCCTGTTTACTGCATACATATATTGGACAATACCTATGTCAGTGTGAGACAATAAAGTGTTGGGTAAAGGTTTGTAATCTTGTTCAACTTCACTAGAAACACAATGATAAACTAACGATAAACTAATGACCTATCAAAACCGAAAATGACAATAAAGTTCCAATATGCTTCAGCATTGTGTAAAAGCTGCACCCTACAGCACCCAGATAACAGCTGTTTAATGAACTGAGAGTGGATGCATACATTTAGTGTTGTCAGGTTCCTTTGAATCATTCATCCTGACCGATGTCATATTCTCAGCCGTATCTCTCACGTACAGAACCTGGCACTGAAAGTCATACAAAACACAAATTGTGAATACTCCATTATTTATTTCTGTGTTGTAAAATCACCCAATCCACAGGATCATGTAAATAAAATGTTTGTTATTTGTCAAAGATCTTGGAGCCTCTGACAAACATGTTCTCATCTTTCATTCCAAACATCTTCCCATCTCCATGTAACCACTGACAAACATGTTCTCATCTTTTATGCCAAACATCTTCCCAACTCTATGGAACCACTGACAAACATGTTCTCATCTTTCATTCCAAACATCTTCCCAACTCCATGGAACCACTGACAAAAAACACTGACAAACATGTTCTCATCCTCAAGCTTCACATCAACATGTTTATCATGCAGAGGTCAACCTAGGACCTGGTCATTGATCCATATCAGACAGAAGGGAAGGTCCAGCACGCCTGATGGGTCTGTCTATGGTGACAAAAACATGTCCTTGTATACAGTAGTTCATCAGAGAGGCTCAGTTCTATACAAACTGGCCGGCCCCGCTGCCCAGTAGATTGTGTTCATATTAATCTTCCCGTCATCATGTGTCTGTAGTGGCTTGGTACTGTACCAGACATGACTTCATCTGCACCAGCTCCTCCATGTCTTTATTACCAGAGTTCTTCCCAAAGTGAATGGTGAGTATAGTGAGAGCTCTATCTATGACAGTGAGTGCTTTGCCAATTTGTTTATCATTGAAGAGCACCTGTGCTAGCTTCTGCAGCTCATAGCCAAGCTCTATGCTGGAGTGCCCGTACTTCAGCTCCGAGGCAGACAGGTTCAGCTGAAGGTACTTGGCTGCGCTGCTGAACTGACCTGGGATAGGACACAAGGAGAAGGATCAATCACAAATATGTCTGGATATGTGTCTGATGTATAAACAGCTACCCTATTTATATCTTGAAATTATCAGTCCCACCTGAATTAAAGCCATATAAATATACAAAACAGTTCATAATTTCCAGCCCCATGTGGGTTCATAGGGCAGAGAAGCTCCCCGTTTCCCATGACTGATACAAATCAGGTGTGAGACCAGGCTGTGTCAGCCTACCCTGACCGTGTGGATCCTATCCACCACAGACTTGTCTGGATCAGATAAACTGACTGAAGCTATGCACAACAACTATACACAACATTCAGTCAGTAAGTCTATTTCCACACGAGAAGTGGCTTCTTCCATTAATCCTATATTAAGATGTATGGTGTAGAGACTTGTTTACATTGAACTTTGAATATTCAGTCATGCTTGGCTGAGAGTAATCTGGACCAGGCAAAGTACATTTAAAAAGTGCCAGATTCCATCCACCAAGTGGTTCCTCACAGTGCTACATTATACAGGAAAGATAAAAGTAAAAATAAAGAAATCTACATATATACAGTTCTGTCGTGTAATTGAAAGATCACGGAATGTACAAAATTATGACGAAATGTGTCTTTGAAAGCAAACAGAGACGGTGAAGTCGTCAATAACATTTGCCTTTCATCGATCAATCAATAAACATACATATACAACCAACCACTGGAGCACCATGACACACAGTCAGTCAATATACATATATATATACGACCAGCCACTGGAGCACCATGACACACAGTCAGTCAATATACATATATATATATAAACGTCCAGCCACTGGAGCACCATGACACAGTCAGTCAATATTAGTAAAATCTAAATATTTTTTACATTTGTATACTTATCCTGCATTACTCCTTAATGCATTCACTGCTTACTTACGACAACTAGAAGGACAGCGCTGCGAAGGTCCTGGGTGAAGAAATAAAGTTGTTGTTCTCAAGTCCCAATCAGTGGCCTTCCGTCGCTGTCCTGTGACCTTGATGACACCTAAGGTCATCTTCACATCACTGCCTGTCGCCCAAGCTCTTAGAAAAACATACTTTTGAGGTTTCTGAAGCCAAAGTGGGGAGGCAAGTCTAACGACGGGTGGGCCTTAAGCGTAGTAATGCAGGATAAGTATACAAATGTAAAAAATATTTAGATTTTACTACATTTTTTACTTATCCTGCATTACTCCTTAATGCATCTGTATCGGACGGTTTGGAGGTGGGTAAACCTTCAGAATACAGAAACCTCAATAATTCACACACTGGAATACGACACCAGTTGGTCGAGAAACCGTGAAGCGGAAAAGTTCAGACAAAAACGCCATTACGGTAGGGTTGTTCAAAAATCAAAAAGATTGAACATAGGAATTAAAGAGAAATTCCCTATACACGCTTAGTAATAAAGAAAATAATAGCTTTTCAGCTAATTCTTTACTTACTGCGTCATAGAGCCGTCGCTGACAAACAAGATTGTCTAATATTCTTCCACTGGTGGCGACTGAGTGACTGCACATGGATGTTGACTGGCTCTGTATAGGGCGAATTCATTATTTGCGTCAGGGGTTGGCAATCTGCAGGATAACAACCAGAGGGCCAAACTTCGAACGTCTTCGACATCCTCGAGAGCCCCAACGCGAAGGTTATGACTAACGAAAATATGTGTCGAATCTCCAGAAATATCCTTCCGTGATTATTCCAAAACCACAATTGCCGTGTTGAGCCCTGGTAAGGAAGGCTGACACCTTGAGATCTTGAGGGTAATTCGCTCTCGGCGAGTTCCGTTTGATGATCTCGTAGGCCTGAAGGATTACTGCGCGTAACCATACAGATATGGTGTTTGCGATTATGCGACTCACTTCTGTCGTGGACGAACCACGCCTAGTCTTGGATCGTCGAATGAAAACTCGAACTGCTCGCACCGAGCCCAGGAGAACTTCACCATGTACGATTCCCACAAAAGTCGATATCGGTGGGATGGTGAAGGAACGGTCAGGTTGGCCTGGTAGTAGATTTTAGCAATAAAATCCCAGCATAACCCTAGATGTCCCGTTATGTGCGTCCCATGCTCAAAACGGATCCGGGTTGAGTCGATCACATGTAGTTCGCTCACCCGTACCGCCATTGCTAATGCCAAGAGAAACCATTGTTTCCTTGGTGATGTCCAAGCTCCTCACAGCGATAGCCCGTTCGCGGAGCTCTCTATACTATACCGAGAGTGTAACGAAGGTGTCAAGCGCTGGGAAGGAGCTTGAAAATGAGGATGCAATGAGGGGCTCGAAGGGGGCCCTCGCAAACCTCGAAGTACCACGTTCAAGTCCCAATCAGGTGTCTGGAACTTGGCCTTCTGATCCTCAAACCTGAATGAGCATAATATGGCCTGTAGTTCCGTGACCTTAATCACACTGTGATTTTCCGGAAACGGCCAACACTAAGATAATTGCAGCCAATTACGTAGTAATGGTGCTACCTTCCAAGTGTTTTTGGGTACGCAATGTAGGAGGTATTCCTCTAGGAATTGTGACGCAATCGTAGGGTCTTGATTCTTTTCTTCCCTGTAAAAAGTCTCAAGTGATCCCCACTTGTCATCGTCGTCTCTTGGAGAGTAACGATGAACTAAAGCTATAGCTTTGCTGCCCGTGTCGAAATAACCCTTCGCACTTAAACGCCTTTTAAAGACGAACCATGCGTGCAGACGTTGGGTGAGGCAATTTTCTGTTGAGGGTGGATGAGTAGGTTGGACCACTGTGAGAGGGGAAGTGAATCGTTTTAGATTTTTCCGAGCTTGACGAACTACCCTCTCGCCGGTTACCAGGGTGCGACCAAAGGAGAGATCGAGATACCTTGTCTCCTTGATCCCCTGTAGCACCTTGGGAAGTAAAAGTGGTGGCAGAAGAGTGTTAGTTCTTTGCCCTTCCCAAGTGATACTGAACTCGTCCACCGCCCAAGTCTGCGGATCCGGCAACGGGGAGATATACGTCATGAGTTGGTGGCCTAGGCAAGTAATAAACAAGTCAATGTTTGGTTGCCTGAATTCCTGAAGCAGTAACTGGAATGCTTCTGTGAGAAATTTCCACTCGGTGGGAGCCACCCTGTCTGGACGTGATAAAGTATCGGCCAGTATGTTTCTACATCCGGGGATGTGCTGAACTATGAACCTTAGTCACAGCCGATCCACTAGATGGAAGAATCTGAATGTCCTTAGAAGTGGAGAGTGGGAGTGTGTTGTTCCCCGATTGCACAGGCACCACACCGCAGTGCTGTTGTCTGTGGATATAGCGAGTCGGGCTAACTGTAGTTGATTTTGCCAATGTGATATAGCCAGAATTAAAGCTTCCAACTCCAAGTTGTTTATGTGCCACTTCCATTGTGCGCCGGGCCATAGCCCTGAGCTTATCTGGTCTTGTAAGTGAAGACTCCACCCCTGAAAGGGGACGTCCACAAACAGGTGTGTATTCGGGGAAAACCCGAATAAACAGACTCCGCAGACATTCAGCGCCACAAATTGAGGCAAGGCTCTAGCTTAATCGGTAGAGTGATGGCCTTGAGTGGATCCTGACTCCTGATGTAAGGGTTCAGGAAAAAATTGAATTGGTCGCAGTTGTAAGCGGCCCATGCTAGTTAACTCCTGTGCCGAGGTGATTAACCCTAGCAACACTTGCCACTGGCGAAGTGTGTGTGATTGGTGTAGAGTAGATGACAAAAGAAGTAGAAACTTGTGCCATCTGTCCCTCGGTACAGATAGGATATCCTGGTCTGTCTTAAACAGGTCTCCTATGAACTGAAGTCAATAGGAAGGAGAATACTCCCGACTTCGCCTCGTTGATTGTCTATCCCAGTTATTGACATGTGTTGATGATACAGTAGATCGCCCTCCATCTACGACTCGAACCAAGTGTTCGTCACGTGTAGATAGTTATTGGCTTCATTACTCCTGTAAATAGCCATAAGTGTCACTGACATGTCAAATGGGAAATACTACCATTGGTAGTGAACCCCAATGAACTGGACCTGAAAAGTCTACGGTTGGGATGGATAGTCGAGACTGATGAAGAATCAAACGTCCGTTGAACACAGAGATTGTGGATCATTCTCATCTTGTCTGGGTCCTTCATGAGTACCAGGTACGTGTGAGGATAAAACCCCGGAGTAAAGACTGGGTTGTGAACCCACTCTACAGCTCTTCTTACCAACAGTATGTCTATGTTGGATTTTCCCAATCAAACTGTGGTCAACGGTGGGGTTATCTCTACCCTTATACGGACACCATGATATAGTGCGATAAGTACGAAATCGTCCTTGAGACTTGTCTCTGCCACTCCCTTTCTCAGTAAGGGAATGCTGGTCTTCCCTGAGAAACGCGCGTCTAGGCTTATAATTCCCTGACTTGCCAGCCCGCTTGGACTTTCCAAGCTTTTTGGGAACTTGACGTGCGTGTCTGAGATCTGTTCGTTGAACAGGGGAGTAGATGATCAAGGTTGACGTAATAGACTGCCCTTGAAACCAGCATCTCAGTTGGAAACGCTATTAAGTCTTGGGTGTAACGGTAATCTCCGTCAGAACGGTCTCAAGATGAATTTTCCTGTGGTCAAACTGACGCTGTAGGAAAAACACCATAGTTTGGAAGTGATCTAATCAGATAGGGTTATCCTCTAATAGATTCTGATCCACTGCAAACATTGACGATATTGGTCGCTTAAATCACGGAGCAAATGTGAGTTTTGGAGAAGTCTTCCTCCAATGACCTCGTGGTGTCCCTCTTATTTACCCCGTTATCAGGGGAAGGCGTTACTGACACGAGATGGTCTGCTTCCCAATCGGGTACATGTGCTAAGCTGATCATGTGCCGGTTACGTAACCGAGTACACTGTAAGCCTTGGGCTAACGTCATTGTAGAGACCTTGATTGGTACGCAGACGCTGCGCTCAGCGCAGGTCTGGAATGTTGGAACAGCGCTAAGCTGATCGTGCGACGTTTGCGTAATAGGAGCGCTTTGGGTAGCAGTCAGACGCTGCGCTCGGCGCAGGTCTATGCTGGATATGTTGGAACAGCGCTAAGCTGATCGTGCGCCGCTTGCGTAATAGAAGCACTTGGGTAGCAGTCAGACGCTGCGCTCGGCGCAGGTCTATGCTGGATATGTTGGAACAGCGCTAAGCTGATCGTGCGCCGCTTGCGTAATAGAAGCACTTGGGTAGCAGTCAGACGCTGCGCTCGGCGCAGGTCTATGCTGGATATGTTGGAACAGCGCTAAGCTGATCGTGCGCCGCTTGCGTAATAGAAGCACTTGGGTAGCAGTCAGACGCTGCGCTCGGCGCAGGTCTATGCTGGATATGTTGGAACAGCGCTAAGCTGATCGTGCGCCGCTTGCGTAATAGAAGCACTTGGGTAGCAGTCAGACGCTGCGCTCGGCGCAGGTCTATGCTGGATATGTTGGAACAGCGCTAAGCTGATCGTGCGCCGCTTGCGTAATAGAAGCACTTGGGTAGCAGTCAGACGCTGCGCTCGGCGCAGGTCTATGCTGGATATGTTGGAACAGCGCTAAGCTGATCGTGCGCCGCTTGCGTAATAGAAGCACTTGGGTAGCAGTCAGACGCTGCGCTCGGCGCAGGTCTATGCTGGATATGTTGGAACAGCGCTAAGCTGATCGTGCGCCGCTTGCGTAATAGAAGCACTTGGGTAGCAGTCAGACGCTGCGCTCGGCGCAGGTCTATGCTGGATATGTTGGAACAGCGCTAAGCTGATCGTGCGCCGCTTGCGTAATAGAAGCACTTGGGTAGCAGTCAGACGCTGCGCTCGGCGCAGGTCTATGCTGGATATGTTGGAACAGCGCTAAGCTGATCGTGCGCCGCTTGCGTAATAGAAGCACTTGGGTAGCAGTCAGACGCTGCGCTCGGCGCAGGTCTATGCTGGATATGTTGGAACAGCGCTAAGCTGATCGTGCGCCGCTTGCGTAATAGAAGCACTTGGGTAGCAGTCAGACGCTGCGCTCGGCGCAGGTCTATGCTGGATATGTTGGAACAGCGCTAAGCTGATCGTGCGCCGCTTGCGTAATAGAAGTGCTTGGGTTGTAGTCAAGTGCTGCGCTCGGCGCAGATAAATCAGACACAAAGCTCAAAAGTATTGACTGGATCAAGGCTTGCGTCTAATCTACCCCATCATAGCATCTCGATACGCTGGTGCTGTCGCCGACGTCACAGATTATCATACATGTATCTGGAAATGTCCGGCGGCTGAAAAAATAGGAGCAGTTACGATACTCACAAAATCCTCCGGTATTGTTGATTTCGGTGGATGGTGTACTTCTGCAATCACAGGCGTCATAATACCTGCCGATAATAACGGTTGGGTGGTAATGACAGAACCATATGTCATTCGCTATTCTGCGATAGTGACATTCCTCTCGTCTCACGACGGAATAACTGCAAAATATGATTGTGAGTAATCTGCTTTTATATAGTAAACTCGTTGGATTAGAGATTTACACAAAAATTACATTTTGAATTTTGGCGAGCACATCTACGTGCATGCCTATGACCGTGGATAAAGAGGTTTGGGCGATTATTCCACGACAATATGTACACCACGCAAACATAAGTTACGCAATTAACCCATTGAAGAAATGGTACTGAAAGAATGCCGTAGAATTGAACAGTAATCTATCGGCAAAAATACGAATTGCAAGGGTATACAATATTTTTATATACGCAATTCAATGTAAACCAAGGCTATTTACATTTAGAGATTGGAGAGCACATCCGCGCGCAAACCAACCAACGTGGATGTAATCTTTGTAAGGTGTTTTCCACGACAATTAGTACAATGCTCAAAGGTATGTTACGCAATTAAACCCTTGTTGATGAGACAATACTGGAAGAGTGCCGAAGAATTTGAACACTAATCTATCGGCAAATTTATGAGTTGCAAGGGTATACAATATTTTTGTATGCGCAACTCAATGTAAACCAAGGGTATTTATATTTTCATTTAGGGTTTGGAGAGCACATTTGCGCGCAAACCAAACAACGTGGATGATAATCTTTGTAAGATCTTCCCACGACAATTAGTACCACGCTCAATCATAAGTTACACAATTACGCCATTGTTGATGAGACGGTACTGGAAGAATGCCATAGAATTGAACAATAATCTATCGGCAAAAACTATGAGTTGCAAGAGCATACAAAGTTCATATTCGCAACTCAATGTAAAACCAAAAATACCAACAAAAAACTATTTAATCGCATAAACATAGGTACGCAATAAAAGAATTGTTGATGAAGCGGGACTGGAAGAAAGCAGTAGATTTGATATTAATCTATCGGCAACCATATTTTTAACGAGTTGAAAAAGTATACAATAATTTTAGTATACGCAACTCACTGTTACGCCAAAGCTAGTAGTATTTAAAAACATAAGAATATCTTATACATACGTAGCTGAGAATTGTAAACAATATGACTACCTTGGCAGGAAAACGATTGTAACATAATTTCAAAATGGCGGCGAACAACAATATTTTGGCGGGAAAAAAGACAAGAGTCTTTTCACGCCTAATTAATTCACATAAAACTACACAATCATGGTGAAAGTAATATGAAAAGAATACATCACCCATCGCAGATCAATTTTTAAGATTGTAGACAAACTGAAGGTCTAAAATTAATCCAAAAGGAGAGCTCCGCTTGGACACATCCTAGCTGTGCTGCGACAAGCAGTGATGTGAAGATGACCTTAGGTGTCATCAAGGTCACAGGACAGCGACGGAAGGCCACTGATTGGGACTTGAGAACAACAACTTTATTTCTTCACCCAGGACCTTCGCAGCGCTGTCCTTCTAGTTGTCGTAAGTAAGCAGTGAATGCATTAAGGAGTAATGCAGGATAAGTAAAAAATTACATATATATATATATACGACCAGCCACTGGAGCACTATGACACACAGTCAGTCAATATACATATATATATATACGACCAGCCACTGGAGCACCATGACACACAGTCAGTCAATATACATATATATATACGACCAGCCACTGGAGCACCATGACACACAGTCAGTCAATATACATGCATATAGGACCAATTCTTATATTCGTCAGGCTACTGGAACCCCAACAGCACATCTGGAACATTGACATATCAAGCCTGATTGCCTGGTACATAAGACCAAGTAGACTGTAGCAGGCATGTAGACTTGTGTAGCCACTTCCAATACAAACCATAGAAGGATCTGCGATGATATATTGTAAAGATGTTGGACAGTAAGAATCAGCAGTCCCTATCTAAGTCGTCCAAGTGACTTGTGATTTACCTGTCATTGCATAAGATCTAGCCAGACAATCCCGGGCCTCACAGAGAGGTGTCTGGTGCCTGTCCATGCATCTCTCCCTCAGTTCAACACACTGTGTGAAACTCACTATAGCACCTACAAGGAGAAAACACTCACATTGTCACATTATAGCCACAAGGGAAACCAATAAGAGCAATTCTGTCTTACAGGAGTATATTGTATCTATATCATAGTATGGATGGAGAGCTACCTGCAATATCCATCTGCCGCCATATACTTGTCAGAAGAGTATATTGTATCTATATCATAGTATGGATGGAGAGCTACCTGCGATATCCATCTGCCGTGATATACTTGTCAGAAGAGTATATTGTGTCAGTGTCATAGTATGGATGGAGAGCTACCTGCAATATCCATCTGCCGTGATATACTTGTCAGAAGAGTATATTGTGTCAGTGTTTAAGTATGGATGGAGAGCTACCTGCAATATCCATCTGCCGCCATATACTTGTCAGAAGAGTATATTGTGTCAGTGTTTAAGTATGGATGGAGAGCTACCTGCAATATCCATCTGCCGTGATATACTTGTCAGAAGAGTATATTGTGTCAGTGTTTAAGTATGGATGGAGAGCTACCTGCAATATCCATCTGCCGCCATATACTTGTCAGAAGAGTATATTGTATCTATATCATAGTATGGATGGAGAGCTACCTGCAATATCCATCTGCCGCCATATACTTGTCAGAAGAGTATATTGTATCTATATCATAGTATGGATGGAGAGCTACCTGCAATATCCATCTGCCGTCATATACTTGTCAGAAGAGTATATTGTGTCAGTGTTTAAGTATGGATGGAGAGCTACCTGCAATATCCATCTGCCGCCATATACTTGTCAGAAGAGTATATTGTATCTATATCATAGTATGGATGGAGAGCTACCTGCAATATCCATCTGCCGCCATATACTTGTCAGAAGAGTATATTGTATCTATATCATAGTATGGATGGAGAGCTACCTGCAATATCCATCTGCCGTCATATACTTGTCAGAAGAGTATATTGTGTCAGTGTTTAAGTATGGATGGAGACCTACCTGCAATATCCATCTGCCGCCATATACTTGTCAGAAGAGTATATTGTATCTTTTTCATAGTATGGATGGAGAGCTACCTGCAATATCCATCTGCCGCCATATACTTGTCAGAAGAGTATATTGTATCTATATCATAGTATGGATTGAGAGCTACCTGCAATATCCATCTGCCGTCATATACTTGTCAGAATAGTATATTGTGTCAGTGTCTAAGTATGGATGGAGAGCTACCTGCAATATCCATCTGCCGCCATATACTTGTCAGAAGAGTATATTGTATCTATATCATAGTATGGATGGAGAGCTACCTGCAATATCCATCTGCCGCCTTTTACTTGTCAGAAGAGTATATTGTATCTATATCATAGTATGGATGGAGAGCTACCTGCAATATCCATCTGCCGCCATATACTTGTCAGAAGAGTATATTGTATCTATATCATAGTATGGATGGAGAGCTACCTGCAATATCCATCTGCCGTCATATACTTGTCAGAAGTGTATATTGTATCTATATCATAGTATGGACGGAGAGCTACCTGCAATATCCATCTGTTGGAGCCGGTCAAGCCCTTGTTGGAAGAGGTGGTCAGCCTGTCCGGTGTCGGAGACCAGCCTCTCACTGTTGTAGTGGCAGACTGGACATGGAGTCGAGGCACTGACCAGCTCCACTCTACAAGCTGGACACGTCAGGACCTGTAACTATATTCACATTACTACTGTCGACACCTTCACAACCTTCATAAAACATTAAAGAGTGTCTTGCTAAAATGTCAGTACTTATCCAGTACTTAATCCATGTGACTGCTCACAGTACACACTTATCCAGTACTTAATCCATCTGACTGCTCATCTGACTGCTCACAGTACACACTTATCCAGTACTTAATCCATGTGACTGCTCACAGTACACACTTATCCAGTACTTAATCCATGTGACTGCTCACAGTACACACTTATCCAGTACTTAATCCATGTGACTGCTCACAGTACACACTTATCCAGTACTTAATCCATGTGACTGCTCATCTGACTGCTCACAGTACACACTTATCCAGTACTTAATCCATGTGACTGCTCATCTGACTGCTCACAGTACACACTTATCCAGTACTTAATCCATGTGACTGCTCATAGTACACACTTATCCAGTACTTAATCCATGTGACTGCTCACAGTACACACTTATCCAGTACTTAATCCATGTGACTGCTCACAGTACACACTTATCCAGTACTTAATCCATGTGACTGCTCATAGTACACACTTATCCAGTACTTAATCCATGTGACTGCTCATAGTACACACTTATCCAGTACTTAATCCATGTGACTGCTCACAGTACACACTTATCCAGTACTTAATCCATGTGACTGCTCATAGTACACACTTATCCAGTACTTAATCCATGTGACTGCTCATAGTACACACTTATCCAGTACTTAATCCATCTGACTGCTCACAGTACACACTTATCCAGTACTTAATCCATCTGACTGCTCATAGTACACACTTATCCAGTACTTAATCCACCTGACTGCTCACAGTACACACTTATCCAGTACTTAATCCATCTGACTGCTCACAGTACACACTTATCCAGTACTTAATCCATGTGACTGCTCATCTGACTGCTCACAGTACACACTTATCCAGTACTTAATCCATGTGACTGCTCACAGTACACACTTATCCAGTACTTAATCCATGTGACTGCTCACAGTACACACTTATCCAGTACTTAATCCATGTGACTGCTCACAGTACACACTTATCCAGTACTTAATCCATGTGACTGCTCATCTGACTGCTCACAGTACACACTTATCCAGTACTTAATCCATGTGACTGCTCATAGTACACACTTATCCAGTACTTAATCCATGTGACTGCTCACAGTACACACTTATCCAGTACTTAATCCATGTGACTGCTCACAGTACACACTTATCCAGTACTTAATCCATGTGACTGCTCATAGTACACACTTATCCAGTACTTAATCCATGTGACTGCTCATAGTACACACTTATCCAGTACTTAATCCATGTGACTGCTCACAGTACACACTTATCCAGTACTTAATCCATGTGACTGCTCATAGTACACACTTATCCAGTACTTAATCCATGTGACTGCTCATAGTACACACTTATCCAGTACTTAATCCATCTGACTGCTCACAGTACACACTTATCCAGTACTTAATCCATCTGACTGCTCATAGTACACACTTATCCAGTACTTAATCCACCTGACTGCTCACAGTACACACTTATCCAGTACTTAATCCATCTGACTGCTCACAGTACACACTTATCCAGTACTTAATCCATGTGACTGCTCATCTGACTGCTCACAGTACACACTTATCCAGTACTTAATCCATGTGACTGCTCATCTGACTGCTCACAGTACACACTTATCCAGTACTTAATCCATGTGACTGCTCACAGTACACACTTATCCAGTACTTAATCCATGTGACTGCTCATAGTACACACTTATCCAGTACTTAATCCATCTGACTGCTCACAGTACACACTTATCCAGTACTTAATCCATGTGACTGCTCACAGTACACACTTATCCAGTACTTAATCCATGTGACTGCTCATAGTACACACTTATCCAGTACTTAATCCATCTGACTGCTCATAGTACACACTTATCCAGTACTTAATCCATCTGACTGCTCACAGTACACACTTATCCAGTACTTAATCCATCTGACTGCTCACAGTACACACTTATCCAGTACTTAATCCATGTGACTGCTCATAGTACACACTTATCCAGTACTTAATCCATCTGACTGCTCACAGTACACACTTATCCAGTACTTAATCTATCTGACTGCTCATAGTACACACTTATCCAGTACTTAATCCATCTGACTGCTCACAGTACACACTTATCCAGTACTTAATCCACCTGACTGCTCACAGTACACACTTATCCAGTACTTAATCCATCTGACTGCTCACAGTACACACTTATCCAGTACTTAATCCATGTGACTGCTCATCTGACTGCTCACAGTACACACTTATCCAGTACTTAATCCATGTGACTGCTCACAGTACACACTTATCCAGTACTTAATCCATGTGACTGCTCATAGTACACACTTATCCAGTACTTAATCCATGTGACTGCTCATAGTACACACTTATCCAGTACTTAATCCATCTGACTGCTCATAGTACACACTTATCCAGTACTTAATCCATCTGACTGCTCACAGTACACACTTATCCAGTACTTAATCCATCTGACTGCTCACAGTACACACTTATCCAGTACTTAATCCATGTGACTGCTCATAGTACACACTTATCCAGTACTTAATCCATCTGACTGCTCACAGTACACACTTATCCAGTACTTAATCCATCTGACTGCTCATAGTACACACTTATCCAGTACTTAATCCATCTGACTGCTCACAGTACACACTTATCCAGTACTTAATCCACCTGACTGCTCACAGTACACACTTATCCAGTACTTAATCCATCTGACTGCTCACAGTACACACTTATCCAGTACTTAATCCATCTGACTGCTCACAGTACACACTTATCCAGTACTTAATCCATCTGACTGCTCACAGTACACACTTATCCAGTACTTAATCCATCTGACTGCTCACAGTACACACTTATCCAGTACTTAATCCATCTGACTGCTCACAGTACACATTTATCCAGTACTTAATCCATCTGACTGCTCACAGTACACACTTATCCAGTACTTAATCCATCTGACTGCTCACAGTACACACTTATCCAGTACTTAATCCATCTGACTGCTCACACTACACACTTATCCAATGCTTACCCCGTCTTGCTGTACTGACGGCTGGTCCTCAACACAAGCCTGACACTGACAGTGGAAGAAGTACTGGCTACTGAGGGCCTGTTGTCTCTCTCCACGGCACATACGCTTGCAGTGGGGCCCTGTCAGCATGAAAGACATTATCTGTTACAATTATACAAACACACACGGTGTGTGCTCAAGTGATATGCGATGGTCATCAGTGTAGGAGCCACAGCAGATCAATATTGACTTGTTTATTCTGTCAACAAAATGAACTAGGTGTAGATTCATCAATAGTTGCTGGCAGAAGATGCTGTGAGATCACGTGAGTAAAATTTAACCTCCTTGAGTACATATTTTTCACTCTTAACACATATACAAATAAAAGATACAGCGGTCAAGCATGTATACTGGTATGGCAATAAGGCATGTTTGGTGAAAAATCAGTCAGTATTGGGTTAAGTGAAACATTTTTTGCATAGAAGGTAAAAACTTGTTTAATGTCTGGTATATTTACATACTGGTATCTGAAAAGTCATGCTGTGTTTAATAACCAAATAGCTCTTTTTTCAGTTGATTGCCACTGGCTATATATTATTATTTTCAAAAGATGGCCACGTAACTTTCAAAATGTCTTGCACAAAAATATAAATGAACACATTGCCCCCTTATTGTCAAGAACAACTTTACCAAGTTTAGTTTCATCTATTCAGCACTTCTGAGAACATGGTGACATGTGATACGGTTCCTGGATGTTGAACCATAAACTCCATTTGGAAACGGAAAGACTTCCACCCATATCTCCCCCTCCAAAAGTCACATCTCCTATGCATTGCCGCTCAATCCTTTTTATTATATAAATTTTGGCGGGAGAATACAGGCGGAAGTCTTACCTGAGGAAACAAGGTGCTACATTTAAATACAGTCAACTACAGACTGCCTGCACATTCTCTAAATAAAAAAGATGATTGACATAATAAACAAATGCAAGAAACATTTGTAAGTGTTGTACACTAAGTTTGCTACTTACCGTAACAGCTGAAGATCTCCTGACCCGCAGCTACGTCCTTGACTGCCCTCACGACCAGCATGTCTCCCTGAAAGCTGACATCACACACAGAGCTAGTGACATGTGCTTCATATTACTTCAAGGACTGCAGAGTACCTAAACACATGCAAGCTGCTTTAATACTTCAATCCGGACCCCAATGCACCCTGCCTTTCAACTATGAGAACAATCCTTTGGAAGCAAATGTACAGTGTTAGGTATTCGCCACAACTCCTTCACTGGACGTGTACACAACGAGCAGTGTTTTGCTTGTAATTGTAAGATAATGTGACAAGATTACCATGGACAAAGACGCTGTCATCAACTTGTGTGGCTGTGTTTATGTATGTGTACTTCCTCTTTTTTGCAAATTTGTATTGAAATGATGTACTGACCTTGTACTGTGTGGCAGGGCAGGCTCGTATTGTTGTGTATGACTGTAATTTTATAATTTATACCACGATGCATGTATACAGAAGCATATGTATACATAGTTATTGTAACAAATAACATCCTTGAATGTATTTGCTGAATACATGAGTTGTGTTTATTTCTATGATGACATCAGTGTGATCACTGCATGTGATGTGTCCTTGTGTACCCATGAACATGTCTACTTAGTTTCAAGTATGTTGTTTGACTTCCGTCGATATATACCCGGTATCCCCATTGCAATGCAACCTGCATCCTGTCTATGCACAACCCCACTTACACTTGTGTAAACAAACTGACAACACTTGACGCAGAGCTTGGTGAGGAGCACTGTCTACATGAAGTGCTCAGTTAGATTGTGAGCTTTGTTATATATGCCATTGTTTCCACATGACTTTGTTAATGCGAGCAAGGTACGATCACATTTTTTGCATTTATTCTCATGACTTACAGTAGTTTAGAGATCAGTGTAATTTTATTGAATATGCAACAAGTCTAAAGAGTTCCAATTGTAATGTGTTGTTGAACAACCTGAAGAGCCATCACGGCCATCATGTGCCTTGTCTCCCACTGACCTTGAGATGATGGTTGGATCGCACGAGTGGTTCATCAAGCTTGCTGTGGGATATATTGCTGTGGCCACACGGACCTGGCTCTTACTGTCCACCAGGTCACTGTCAGCAACTTGAGACACCTGCAGCTCCGTAATGGCGTGTGCGTTGCACACCAGCTGCAGGATGTGCCGCAGCAGACAGCTGCCTATACACATCATGTTGTCGGTCAGCTGGTCCGCCCGGGGAGCGCCGTGAGGGAACCACCCCGCATCAACCAATACCCGGATAAGTAAGTATGCTGTCTGCAACAACAAATTCAAGCAGATAGCAAAGTTACTTTTTTTCTGGAGAGTACTGCCATGAATTCACTTTCAAAATATTTGCCATGATGGCAATTCAAATTCATTTATTATGGAAGACGACAGCACTGTAGCTCATCTGGCTATGTAACAGCCTGACATGTCAACTGACACTCAAGATATTCTGCTGTCAGCATTGATATTTAGTTACTTTCTGTATGATTACTGAGAATCAATGGACAAATTCTGTACCATGTAACAGTGTTTCCCAATCTGCACCAATTATAAGGTGTCATTAGTACACCATTAGGTACACTAAGTAAGTAAGTAATTTGGAAATTTTACGTGTGCTTTCCGCATTACAGCTTTGCCCAGAGGCCTCTTCCTCTGACCTCAGTCAAAGGAGATGGAGAGGGTGGAAGTGTTGCTTCTGTAGGAAGTCTTTAGGGAGTAGTCCCCAACCCGGTAAGCCAACAGGGGCTCTAGGATGGAGACAAGCTTCCTAGGCAAAGACTTCGAGAGGTCTCTCATAGTGGTAATGAGCTTGGTCACGAGCTTGAGAGGACACGTCTGGTCGGGTGTCCAAGCCGAGATGTCCAGACACTTACTTACTTACTTACTTACTTTGGAGATTTAACGTGCGCTTTCCGACTGATGTGTATTTCGCACACGGCCAGGCCATTTAATGTGTTTCCGAAAGGGGCGAAAGTGGTCTGTGCAACCCAAGAGGGGGGTTTTAGGGGTTGCTTATATAGAAATTGGGAATTTTGAGATTTGGAATAGATGTCGATGGGATTGGGGAGGAGAACTAAGGGAGCTGGGTATGGTGGATGTTTGTTTGTTTATGTGATTTTGATTTGGTAGGTTATTGTGTTTTTAGATGCGTTTTATTAGTTCCGTTTTTATTAAGAATACGCCTAAGGCCTTGAAGTTTTCTAGTTTATTTTGTGGGTTTAGTATTGCTTCTAGAGTTAGAGCCTTGTTTAGATTGAGGGTGGTTTGTAATGCGGTTCGATGTGTTAGGTAGTGTGTGCAGTGGATGAGTGCGTGTTCTGGGGTTTCTGGTTGTTTGCAGTGTGGGCAGTTACCTGTAGTGTGTTTTTAAAAAAAAATTTAGGTGGTTATTTAGGTTGGTGTGTCCAGACACTTCTTCCGGACCGATATTTATACTAACTTATATGTGGTATACCATGGGTTTGGGTAAGTTGACCAATCACAACAAGCTTAGGTTGTGTTGACCAACCAATGTTATTATAAGGTCTGGAACTATTTGGAACCTTAAGATGTGTATCCTTTGATGCTAACCAGCTGGCAGGTGACATCCATTGTTTTAGATGATTAGCTCTAGGTAATTAGGGCGCTGTCTAGACTTATTGAAAACAGAGTTAATTAAGTAGATTAGAGACAATATTATTTTAGGGTTATGTTTATATAGTTGGATTATGGGGATCACGGTTTGTTTACATTGATACTAAGACACCCAAATTATGTCATAGCTTACATGGCATTTAGATTAACATTATTTCAATAGAGATAATTATTGAATGTTTTGGTTTATGTGGCAAAGTGTTTATGGTTTAATATTAAGGTGATTTAGAACATTGCAATGATATTATATTTTGATATTTTATGTATTAAAGTATATTTTATGAATAACTACCATTTAAGGTTTTCTAACAGGGTTTTTTAGTATATAGCATCATTACAAAACTTATGTTCATATTTAATGCCAATGATAGCACCGACAGATTTGGGCAGAGTATATGTTTGTTGAAGACTTTTTGTAGTGTGGCTGTCGGGCAGGGTAAAACAGAAGCAGTGGAGGTACCAGAACCTACCAAGGAGTACTGGAACAAGTCCTCGGCTTCAATGTCCTGTTCGTGAGTCAACAGATCATACATGGCGTGGTAGTCCCGCTGGTACTTCTGCCCTCCTGTCAGACCTCGTATAACACTGTCTCTGTCTGGGGTACTGAAAGCTGCACAAATGTGGTCCAATTAGGTGACAATAAACTTACACTGCATAAGATAAGATATAGTAAGATAGACTTTGATTTTTAACTTATCCTGCATTAAGTATTGCACATTGCTCTTACTAAGTCCTAACTGGAAATGAATGACGACCATCAACGTATTCAGTAACGCTTTTGCCCAACATGACCTCCATGACCCTCGTGACATCTGCTGTCAGAAGACATGCCCCCTTTACGTCATTATTCTCTTCTTTGCTCACTGAGCAGGACATGGTTTTTTTAAGATTATATTCTTTGCTGGTTGAATTGAAGCTGTTTTAGTGCAGATGGTGTGTTATCCACCCTTTTTATCACAGATGACTAGGTTACTCAGCATTTTTCAGTGCATGGAAGTAATTAATCCATGCCTCTACCTCAGATCAGGCTACATGTTAGCCGCAATTTCTTCCTGTTGGCGTGTGAGGCGAACGGTTGTTATCAACAGCCTGATTCATAATATGAATGTTTTCACTTTTGCAGCATTTATTCTTCATATTATTGAGTAATCAAACCTATTTGCTCTACAAAACACGGTTTTACTCACTCATTAATGACATCACATCACAGTACCAATGACAAGACTTGAGTGGGCTTTTATGTCGTTTATGAGGTTACCTTCTAATCCCATGTTACAGATGTTTGCTGCCAGGTGTGGTCTATGCAACAGCAAGAAATCGAGTGCGCATCCCTCTGCAATACAGACTTCCTGTCCTATATCAGAGTCATCGCTAAGAGGAAACAACAACAGGCATTTCTCAAAACATCAGAACACTCCTCTGCCTCTTCATCGCCTTGACATTGACCAAGTCTACCAAGATGCCTGCGCTTCAAGCAGTGGCACCTTCCAATGCACAGGATGGACCTACTGCTTGGGCTCTTCAACTGATTGGATAATTCCAAAAACTGTCAGCTGAAATGCAGGTAGTTAGACAAGCGCTGCCACTTACCAACCAGGCACAGCCGTTCCTGTTGATCATCGCTACCTAGAACGTCCGCTTCGAAGCTTCGAGGCTCTAGCAGAGTGAGGTCTTTTTATAAATCTCTGACTCTCAGATCTCCTCCCTGGACACTGAATTGTGGAGGACTCTTCCCCATCTTTCTGTGCTGGAATCATCCCTTTTGGGCATGGACGCCCACCTAGGAGACCACCCATCTGATGAGAAACAACAGTTACAGTCAGTGTTGTCCTGGCATCGTCCCTTATGGGCATGGACACGAACCTAGGAGACCACCCATCTGATGACAAACAACGGTTACAGTCAGTGTTGTCCTGGCATCGTCCCTTATGGGCATGGACACGAACCTAGGAGACCACCCATCTGATGACAAACAACGGTTACAGTCAGTGTTGTCCTGGCATCGTCCCTTATGGGCATGGACGCGCACCTAGGAGACCAACCATCTGATGACAAACAACAGTTATAGTCAGTGTTGTCCTGGCATCGTCCCTTATGGGCATGGACGCGCACCTAGGAGACCAACCATCTGATGACAAACAACAGTTACAGTCAGTGTTGTCCTGGCATCGTCCCTTATGGGCATGGACGCGCACCTAGGAGACCAACCATCTGATGAGAAACAACAGTTTCAGTCAGTGTTGTCCTATCAGCCCATTTAACTTGGTTGTTTGAGTCTCCATACTTTGGCCTCGCTGACCCTCTTCAGGAGACAGCGCCACCAATCTGCCTCCTCTTGGGATCCTCGTTTCAAGGTGTCTTTGGTTAACCAACCCTGGACTGCATCGACCCTCTTTAAAAATGCCATAGTGCTGGTGACAGAACAAGTTGAAAAAGTTTAAGATTGACAGGCTACACTCTCCACCCTCAAGACTCTAAAGGATAATTTCAGCACCCACCATGGAGGCCGATCTACGGCAGGAGAAGCTTGAAGAAGTAAATTTCCAAGGGACAGTCACACCTGGGAACTACACCCTAAGGGGATCTGCTTCATGTCGAACAGAGACGACTACCTCATGAACTACCTAGAAAGATAACAACTCACTTATCAACGGAATTTCACAATGCGCATGTCTCTAGCTACAGCACCCAGGTATCACGAGCTCCATGCTCTAGATGTCACTCGAGTCCAGTGGGAACAACACTCAAGAGGGTCCGTCCATCTTGGTCTGTCATGGGATCTTATAGACAAAAATCAGCAGTCTGGCCATCTTGCTAGATGTTTTATCATTCCACTCCTCATTCCATCAAAAGGGTGGAGGACAAGGATGTCCCGACGAATCCTCACAGCCTACATAGAACTAGCGAGGCCCATGAGGATGACCAGGCGCTGCATGTTGCTGACTTGTAAACATGAAACCTCCAAGAATACCATCTCCTTGTGGCTGAGATCCTCAACTCTACCAGTCTGTGACACAGCAGGACACGTGACAGCTATCCTAGCACTGGACTGAAGGCAAGCACCACCACCTACTATTGGATAAAGTGCAATATGTAAAGCAGGATAAATTAAAAATATTCCATAATCAGAATATTATGATTATTCTATATACTTAAGCTGCATTACCCAAGGGCTCTCCTGTGACAGACGTCTTCCTCCTCAAAGTAGAGAAAGTAGAGACAATTTATGGACAACACTTATTTACTGTTTCAGTATAGATCCTTATACCTTTGTCAAGCAAGTACCATCAGTCCTGAGGGAAGCTTTCGAAGACAATATTGACATATACTATAGGGGGCGTGTTGTCCGACACCACATGTCATGAGGGTGAAGGAGGTCATGTTGGGCAAAAGAAGGCACCAACAGATCGTCAATCATTTTCAGTTAGGACTTAGTAGTAAGAACAATGTGCAATATGTAATATTATTAGTATATTAAATAAACATAATACTCTTATTATGGAATTTAGCCTCAAGGAAATACATAATACATAACTTTTGTCATTTAGCATTATACATGCTTTTTACATAATACTTGCTGTATGTGACAAGGCCAAAAGCCAGTATTTTTATTTGCAGTGTTCACAGTTGATTACTGGTATTCTATTTTCATTTTGAACAGTCAGATTCCCATATCAGCAGTGGATATTGAACCTTATAGTGCTCTGTATACATGTTCGAAAATCCAGAAAAGAACTGTGTCGTGTTAATGCCTTACATGACACAGTGAGTACAATCTGTATTGCCCCTGTCTGTAAATAAAATCCATAATTGGGTTCTATGAAAGTTATTGTCAATGACGGTACCAAGGCACAAATATTCTTTTACAATTGCAATTTCTTCATTATCTATTGCAACTGGATTTAAAGCTGGTTTGTTTCTGCAAAAGTCTATAATCACTTCATTTTTTTTTCCTTTACATTTAAAAATAAGTAGTCTTTGTTTCACTACTCTGTAATCTTTGTTGCATGTGTTTCTTGGTTCAATGAAGGACATAAAACAGATTCAATAAGGAAAAAGACAGATAAACATTGAGAAATTCTAAATCTATTCCATACATGATAAATCCATCTTCCCAAGGCAAGGGCGTTAACTGACCATAAAAGTCCAGTTTCCACGCTTGCAGAACTAGGCTGGAATTCCAGAATTACATTTTGGCTGGTCTAACGAGTCTATGCATAGTCCAATCAAAATTATGTTACCAAATAGACATCAGGTTCGTAAACAATATGGATTTCAACGTGTTGATTTCGGTCCACTGCAGGCTTTGCAAAGCATGTGTGCTGCCAACTTGGCTTTCACAGATATTTTGCAAACTGCTTCATGTTTTTAATCAAGGTGCTTAAGTGAAATTATGCACTTTGCGGGGTAAGACCCGTTTTAGTACAATATTGATCTTGGTTATCGATCAGATCGTCTTAAATGGGCGCCACTAATTTGTTAGAAGCAAATGCAAGTGATAATAGAGATGGAATCTTATTGGTCAATAGGAGGGACACAGAGGGACATAATAGCAAAATAGCATAATAGCCACTGGTGGTGCTACGATTGAGCCTGGAAATTTTTACAAACCTGTAGAGGTTATGAATTCTCTGATGAAATCCTCCTTGGGGCACCTTTTGCATTTTCCTTGCTCAAGAAAATCTACATGACATAGTTGTAACCATTTTCCTTAATAAAAAATGTTACCACACAAAAAACTTCGTTTTTGTATGATATACGAACACCCTTACGGGGCCTCACCCCACCCACAGCGCGTCACGCCAGGGGGAGCAACTCTCACCCAAATCACTTTCCATATGTATAATGCTGACAGAATGTGGGGAGGTGGGTGGCCGTGCCCCAAGGAGGATTTCATCAGAGAATTCATAACCTCTACATGTTTGTAAAATTTTCTTTCAGATTAAATCCTCCTTGGCGCACTTCTTGCATCAAAATAGACTCCTAAAGATAATATAGGAAGTGGCATCCGTCAGCAACAGCCGTAAATAAATACATCGTATTTGATTATTCAACAGAATAAAATATAGAGTTCAATAAATGGAACCAACCTTATCGTGAGGCACCACCGTCGAAAGGTGGGGGCTAGAGACAGGGCGTGGTCGACCATATATTATGATAAAGCCTGTTTTTGCGGCTTGTCATAAGTTGAGAAGTTCGGAGAACTGACTGACCAAACTGAGCACGCTCACTTGAGTGTTTGTCGAGTTGGTAATGTTTGATAAAAGGTGCTCAGCTGGCTCCAAATAGCCGCGGAGCAGATCTCCTCAATGGGCAGAGCCGCAGTGTACGCTTGTGACGTAGCCACTGCTCTAACTGAATGAGCCTTCAACCTGGTAGGGGGGTCCCTGCCTGTAAGCGTATACGCTGTACAAATGGTTGAAACTATCCACCTCGAGATAGATTGTTTGCTCGCAGGTGAGCCAGCCTTCCTGCCGCCGTAACAGCAAAATAGTTGGTTATCCTTACGGATACTCTTAGTTCTGCTGATATAGGCCTTGAAGGTCCTGCGGACATCCAAGACATGAGCATGTCTTGCAGTGGTCCCGGACGAGGAAGGCTTTGAAAGAGCAGGTAGCTCAATAGGAGCCGTTCATGTGGAAGGCGTGTGCGACCGGTGGAAGACAGTTATTTCGGGATCGGCTGACATAACATGAATGTCGCCTACCCGTCTGCCGGAAGTTACCGCCACAAGGAACGCCGTCTTCAAGCTCAACAGCTGCAGAGAGAGAGAGACCACAGATCCCGAAAGGAAGGACCGGACAGCCAATCAAGAACGATTGACAAGTCCCAAGGGGGACTGATCCGCCGGACTGGCGGTCGGATCCTGTCCACACCTGCTAAAAAGCGCTGCACTAATGGGTGTGCACCCAGAAGTGCCCCGTCGACAGGGACGTGAAAAGCTGCGATAGCTGTAGAGTACCCTCGGACTGTCGATGCGGCCAGGCCGTCTTCTAGTCGCGACTGGAGGAACTCAAGCACGGCTACGAGATCTGCAAAAAAAGGATCTGCAATCCCTCTATCGACACACCAGCATGCATAGCAGGCCCATCTATCCTCTTACTGAACGTTTGTCGAATCCCTCCGCGAAGCCAGTATTGTGTCTGCATCTTGTGCAGGAATACCGCTCTTCTGGAGGCGATTCCTGACAGTGGCCAAGCCACCCATTGAATCCTTGGATTCGGGTGGAGGGCCCCGTTCTGGGATAGGAGGTCCAGTCGTAAAAGGTAATATAACAGGAGGCTGACTAAAGAGGTGCCAGGAGCACAAGTAGTCGCGCAGGCTGAGTGGCTAGCTGACACAGGACCTTGGAAATCAGAGGTACTGGGGGGAAGAATGCCCACAGAACTATGTCCGTCCAATCTACCTGGAAAGCGTCCGGTGCCACCGACCTCGGGTCGGGGACTCGCGAGCAGAACCATGGTGTCTCGTGATTCACCCCAGACGCAAACAGATCCACCTGTAACAACCTGTATAACAGGGAGAAAATCCCGAATATCCCCGGGTCGAGCCTCCGCTCGTGAGGAGCGAGGATCCGGCGAGACAGAGTCCGCACGGACGTTGTCCACCCCCGGGAGATAAACAGGTAGCACCCTGATATCGTGAGAGTCGCACCATAGTAGGAACTGCCACGTCTTATTTCGGTGAAACCCACAAGCACGGGTATGGTGCTGACAAACCTAGAAACACAATCGGGGCGAACCAGGATTCGAACCCACAATCATAAGTTTCTGGCGTGCCCAAGGGACGCAACTCTGTACAGCGAATCACGGCGTGACCGCTCTCAGTTCTAACGCATTGATATGCAGTTTGATCTCCTGCTGGGACCATAGTCCCGAGGCAGTTTGATCGTTCAGAACGCCTCCCCAGACGGAGAGTGACGCGTCTGTTTGAACTGTGAGAGACGGAACGGGAGTGTCGAGGGGGAGCCCCCGGGACAGATTCCCGACCTCGGTCCACCACTGAAGGTGTGCATTGAGCCATTGCGGAGTCTCGAGAACAGTCTCAAGATCTTCCGAGTTCACCCAAAGTCGACGGAGCGCTTGTTTAATGGGTCTCATGGACCCCAGCTGTCGGCAGTTCGATAACTGTTGGTCCAACCCGGGGCTCTTCGGGCGCTAATGGGAACCCGATGGGTTTCCGGGCCCGTGAAAAGGCTGCTGGCCTCGACCAGCTGCCTTTCTGGCCCCTGCCTCTCTTGCTCTTGTATTGGAAGCATACAATTGAGCGGCCTCTCGGACCACCTGCTGAGCCCCAGGGAAGAGGGTGGCACCCATCTTATACGGCAAAGAGAGGAGGTCTTGGCGTGTTGAAGTCGAGTATTTAGATACCAACATCCACAGCCTGCGCATGCCCATAACAGCGCACATCATCTGCGAGGCACAGCTACGAATAGCGTCCCGCGCAAGATGACTGTGAACTTCCATTAGTTGCGTGGCCAACTCTGAAGAGTCGGCCGGCCCCTCCCCTGCTAACTCCCTCTGTACAGCCGACAGATACGCAGAGTGTACGGACACACAGAGCTGTTGGCATGCATTACGATATTGCTCCTCGAAGCATATGTAAGCAGCCTTCAACTGCGCACCGCGCGCGGAAAGGGGGGCAACCGCCGGCCCTGCTTGACCTTAGTCAAGTTGGGGGTCGAAGACCTCCCCCCCCCCCCAGATTATTTTTTCCGAGCCGAAGTTAATCAACTCTTCCCCGAGAGATGAAGCAGACAAAGTCGGAAGGGGACGCCCGAAGGCCTGGGCCCTCGCATCCTCGGGCTGCACCCGGCCCAAAGACGGTGCAGGAGAGGGTGCAGTGCTTACTACGGGGACCCTCGAGCCTTCTCCCCCGGCCCCCTGAGAGGGAACGTGCATAAGATACGTGCATAAATTGTGAAACTAGAAGCAAAGGCGTAATGTAGAATGCGATTTGTAACGCGATACTAATAGCCAATGTTGTAGTATAATTATAACACCAAAGGGGGCGTGTTACGCGCGAAGGTGTAAAAACCCGTAAAAAAAATAAATTAAGTGTAGTTTATAAATTAACACACCACCTCGGGTTTATGTAAAGCAAAAAATTGTAGACCAATGCTGTATGATATAACAAAACCCCAAGCCGTTTCTAATGGCCTTGGTGTTACATGTATCAGCCCGTGGAACTACAATATGGACGCCATTACGGCCATTTGAATTCAAAGGTACCGTACACGTGGCGTATAATTACAACTCTATAACTTTACAATGCGAGGTATTACGCCTTTGCAATGAAAGAAATGTACCATACATACAGTTTGGTCAGCCATGGTTCTTGTCCAACGATAGATTCTCTTATTTTGTCTTGTGTGAAAAATCAGCACGTCTGTCTCTTACAGATGACATAAGGAAAGTGATTTGGGTGAGAGTTGCTCCCCCTGGCATGACGCGCCGTGGGGGGTGAGGCCCCGTAACATTTGGTGGTAACATTTTTTATTAAGGAAAATGGTTACAACTATGTCATGTAGATTTTCTTGAAGATTTTCAGGGAAAATGCAAAAGGTGCCCCAAGGAGGATTTAATCTGAAAGAGAATCTAGGGACTGCTCTCAGGCATCATTGTCTACAGAAGAAGGATATTGTGCACACAACCCACTTCACACTTACCCAGGAGAAACTTGAGACCTGTCGTCAGTATGATTCTCAAACTCAAGTGAGCAATGCCAACCTGCAAATGAGTAGTATCAGTCTGAGTACAATTTTACACCATTTTATTTGAAGCAAATGCAAGTGATATGAGAGGTGGAATCTGATTGATCAATAGGAGGGACATATTCGAGACATAACTCATAACAGCCACTGGTGGGGCTTCGATCAAGCCCAGAAATAACAGCCTTGTTCGGCAAGGGTGGAAACTGGCCTTTTACAGTCAGTTAACTCCCTTGCCTTTGGAAAGTTGTCACCTCTACACCTCTCTTTCACTCTCACTCACTCCAGCAAGTTAAAGGTTAGTAGTATAACATGTAAACCTCTTCAGATAGAGACATGTCTACATCTCATTACTAGTACTTAGCTTAGACTAAGCATGTTACATATACTAGTGATTGTGTGTTTATGGCAAGTGTATGTGTACTAGATATATTTCACTTTGTTGTATGTGCGTGTTTTGGTCTGGGTGTTAATTATATTAGTTTGTATATCTAGTGCTTGCTTGGTGGAGAATCCCCTAACAAACACTGGTGTAACCACCACCACCACCACCACCAGTGGCTACAGTAGATTATTGTTTAAACAGTTTCGGTTGTATGTGCATTCTGTTGTCTTTTCCATCACCAACACAAATAAACAGCCCTCACAGCACTAGCCTGTGTCATCATGTCATTGCTACATCAGAACACATACCGGTGTGAGCTGCCAAAATCTATCCCCCTTCTGAGTATACCCGGGTAGATTCTGGAGTAGATTTTTGGGACTTCCCAGAACGTAACCCCCTTTTCCCAGAATTTACCTCCAGGGGGAATAATCTTGGATTTCCCAGCTATGTGTATGACCGGGCTAGTACAAAATCATGCTGATTAATGAGACATTTCATGAGATTCATAAGCGCTGGCACGATTACAGACGTTGTTATCGGAAAATGTGAGTGAATGAAGGCTGTTGCTTACAGAGGAGAGAAGGTCTTGGTACTGGCATTCAGTGCTGTGGTACATGGTCCAGGCAGTGTCACGACACTCTACACTGCAGTACAACACCACACAGCACTCCATACATCTGTAACACAACACACACATGTAGGATGATCATGATCATGATAAGTTCTTGACAAACTTGTATCTATGGCCTTCAATACAATTACCAATTTACAAATTATAACATAAGACCGATGTGAAAATGGAATAAGGTTGTATTAACATATGTTATAGTGGAAGTGAGAGGACATAGTGAATGAGTTCACACTGTCTGCATTTCAGCCATGTAGCAGCGACAGAGGACATCAAATAAGGTTGTATTAACATATGAGGGTTGATTCATAGACTTTCTATGCCAGGCTCAGAACTTGACCAAAAGACTAAAATGATGTATTTTTCAACATAATCCCCTTCACATGATACACTTTGGCCAAAAACCCAGTTTTGAAGTCTTTTTCTTGGGTGTCCAGAAAGTTCTACACAGCTGCTATGACATCATTGCTTCCGGCTAGAGCTTTCTTCATGTCAAGGAACAGATGGAAGTCTGACGGAGCCAGATCAAAGCAACACTCGTTGATTATGGCCATGGCCATGAATGATTTGTGCACTGGCACATTGTCCTGATGGAAAAGCACACCTTTTCTCAGCTTCCCAAATCTCTTAGTCCCACTTTCATCGTGCGTAATATGCACCATTTTTTGTCTGGCCTTTTGGAACACAGTCCACCATGATGACACCCTGGGCATCCCAGAACACAGAGGCCATAATGTTTCCAGTGGATGGTACAGTCTTTGCCTTCTCTGGTGGTGGTGATGTGACATGCTCCCACTGCTTTGATTGTTGATTGGACTCACACTCAAAGTGTTGAACCCAGGTTTTATCCAGTCACAAATTGTTGCAAAATTCTTTCTGGATTAGCTTCAAACAGAACTAGATTACCACGAGATACCTTGTGCCTGGTGTGTTTTGTTATCAGGCGTCAGAAGCTTTAGAACCAAACAAGCTGATACATTATAATGGAGTGTACTCTCTCCTGAACCTATTGAACCAGCAATATGATGCTCAGTCATTTGCCGTTCATTTCTGGTGTTGATGACATGACAGACCTTCCAGGACGGGGGTCGTCTTCAAGGCTCTCCATGCCATGCTTAAACTCTGCTGCCCACCTCTTTACAGTGGCAGACAGAGGGGCATCCTTCCCTAGTGGTGTACTCACATCTTCATGATGTTGGGTGTTAAGCCCTTTTTCTGCAAGTACTTGATCACTGCATGTTCTTCAAGTTTGTCCGAAAATAATTTGCTCAACTGACTCAAGTTTTTGTGGATATAGCTCTTGAGACATCATGTAATGTCCACAACAGAAAGATTTCACTATTAAGCAATTCCTTCTATGTGAGGCTCAGAATTAATCAATCATTGTTGGCGCCAGTGAGAGGACATGGGAAAAGGGTGTGTTAAGATAATGTTGGCGCCAGTGAGGGCACATGGAATAAGGGTGTGTTGACATACAGTGTTGGCGCCAGTGAGAGGACATGGAATATGGGTGTGTTGACATACAGTGTTGGCGCCAGTGAGAGGACATGGAATAAGGGTGTGTTGACATACAGTGTTGGCGCCAGTGAGAGGACATGGAATAAGGGTGTGTTGACATACAGTGTTGGCGCCAGTGAGAGGACATGGAATAAGGGTGTGTTGACATACAGTGTTGGCGCCAGTGAGAGGACATGGAATAAGGGTGTGTTGACATACAGTGTTGGTGCAAGTGAGAGGACATGGAATAAGGGTGTGTTGACATACAGTGTTGACGCCAGTGAGAGGACATGGAATAAGGGTGTGTTGACATACGGTGTTGGCGCCAGTGAGAGGACATGGAATAAGGGTGTATTAACATACGGTGTTGACGCCAGTGAGAGGACATGGAATAAGGGTGTGTTGACATACAGTGTTGACGCCAGTGAGAGGACATGGAATAAGGGTGTGTTGACATACGGTGTTGGCGCCAGTGAGAGGACATGGAATAAGGGTGTATTAACATACGGTGTTGACGCCAGTGAGAGGACATGGAATAAGGGTGTGTTGACATACAGTGTTGGCGCCAGTGAGAGGACATGGAATAAGGGTGTGTTGACATACGGTGTTGGCGCCAGTGAGAGGACATGGAATAAGGGTGTGTTGACATACAGTGTTGACGCCAGTGAGAGGACATGGAATAAGGGTGTATTTACATACGGTGTTGGCGCCAGTGAGAGGACATGGAATAAGGGTGCGTTGACATACCGTGTTGACGCCAGTGAGAGGACATGGAATAAGGGTGTGTTGACATACAGTGTTGACGCCAGTAAGAGGACATGGAATAAGGGTGTGTTGACATACAGTGTTGGCACCAGTGAGAGGACATGGAATCAGGGTGTGTTGACATACAGTGTTGGCGCCAGTGAGAGGACATGGAATAAGGGTGTGTTGACATACGGTGTTGACGCCAGTGAGAGGACATGGAATAAGGGTGTGTTGACATACAGTGTTGACGCCAGTAAGAGGACATGGAATAAGGGTGTGTTGACATACAGTGTTGGCGCCAGTGAGAGGACATGGAATAAGGGTGTGTTGACATACAGTGTTGGCACCAGTGAGAGGACATGGAATCAGGGTGTGTTGACATACAGTGTTGGCGCCAGTGAGAGGACATGGAATAAGGGTGTATTTACATACGGTGTTGGCACCAGTGAGAGGACATGGAATAAGGGTGTGTTGACATACAGTGTTGGCGCCAGTGAGAGGACATGGACTCAGGGTGTGTTGACATACGGTGTTGGAGCCAGTGAGAGGACATGGAATAAGGGTGTTTTTACATACGGTGTTTGCGTCAATGAGAGGACATGGAATAAGGGCGTATTTACATACGGTGTTGGCGCCAGTGAGAGAACATGGAATAAGGGTGTATTTACATACGGTGTTGGCGCCAGTGAGAGAACATGGAATAAGGGTGTATTTACATACGGTGTTGGCGCCAGTGAGAGGACATGGAATAAGGGTGTATTTACATACGGTGTTGGCGTCAGTGAGAGGACAAGGAATAAGGGTGTATTTACATACGGTGTTGGCGCCAGTGACAGGACATGGGAAAAGGGTGTATTTACATACGGTGTTGGCGCCAGTGAGAGGACCTTGAAGCAATGGTGGCAGTTAGAGTGGTGGTGGTCACGCAGGAGCACTGCTGCATATGGACGCTCCACAATCAGGGTGGCACCCGCAGGGATGGCTTGCTTGGCCTGCAGTAGATAAAGACACTTCAACCTATAGGCAGATGATACAATGTTCAGGTTACCGAAGTACAGGACAGCAGACAAAGATCGATTTCAGTTCACTTTGTTAGTGATGATGAATAATTCACAGAATGAAGAAGACAGTAGGTTCAAGCTCTTTGTTTGCCACAAAAGACAACAAATATTAGGGATGAAGGGATCATTGTGCTTGATATGGTTGAGTGCAGATTGTATGTGGAGCTGTTTCAGCCAAGATCTGACTTCCTCACCAGAAGGGTACCCTGTGTATGTTGTGGAACATAATTAAGGGGATTGCGGACAAACATCTCAACTCTCCATTACTTGTTCAAAGAAAGATAATATTATGTGCAAGAAACAAATCACACCTTGAAAACTCATCATGAGATGAAAGGATACCACATGACATATTTAAAGGTGCCATGTTATACATCATCAGGCTGAAACACTCACAACGAAATGCCGTCCTTGGCTGCATGTGTGCTTCATTTCCATAGCTGTAGAAGCTTGTGTGATGACTTCACTTGCCCCCTGGAACAGCTGGGGCAGCTGTATCTCGGACTCCCCATCAGTGTCCCCCAGTCTAGACAACACAGGCAACACTATTCTCACTACGCCCTCAGTAAACAAATAATGAGGTAAACATCAGTTTCTCCCCAAAATGTGGGTACATGTATCAGCACATTACCATCAAAGCACTACAAGGTTTGAGCATGGACTATTCCTTAGAGGAACAACACAAGTCTCTCTCTCCCCTTCTCGTACTACTCATATATCAATATATGGACAGCTGATGCTGCACATATATGTGTGCATGTGTTGGTGATGCATATGTGCATGTGTTGGTGATGCTGCACATATGCTGCATATGTTGGGGATTCTACACATATGCATGTCTTGGGGATTCTGCACATATGCATGTCTTGGGGATTCTGCACATATGCATGTATTACCGGTTCTGGCTCAGCTTAAGTTGCAGAGTGGCTATGTCATCTTCTAATTTACCTGCAGTAAAAGAAAAAGATCATGTATAATCAAATATGTATTAATGTTCCTAGTCAAGATAAATGTAAACTCTGATAACACACCTGTCTGCATGAAGAGCTGGTGGCACCTTCATGGAAGAACTTACTAACCCCCTAATCAGCATGGCGGCTTCTAAAGTCTCAGTACAAGCCAGCAAAGCAATTATACAAGCTTATCTGATCTCCCAAACCATTATTATAAAGGAGTTTCAACTCAAAAATAAAAAAGCCGCACTTCATTATTGTCGTGAATTTTTATAAATCCTGTTGTGTCTGAGCCGCTGATATTAACACCCAAAAGGGTGTACTGATGATGGCATATTTGTGTTCTGTGGTAGGTTTTCTTCTGTTAAGATCAAAATGTGTGAAGCCCATTTCTGGTGTCCCCCGCGGTGATATTGCTAAAAGCAGCATTAAACCATACTCATTCACTGCTAAGATCAACATTTCTGAAGAGGCGGCAGAGAAAAGAAGCTGAAATGTTTTTGAAAGCTGACATCTGATTGGCTCAAGAACCCAGGGTTCACCTGCTGTGACCTTCCATGGAGGTGTTCTTAAAACTTTAAGCAGAGAGCTATCGGAGGAAAATATAATTTAATAAGATTGGATAAATAATTACCTTAATTTCTACTAGTTATGATGCATACCTTTCACCTTCTTCTCAGTGTCTTTATGATCGGCCAGGTGTTTCATCAAGTCTCTAATGACTGAAGCATGAAGCAGAGCACCATATCAACATAGACACAAGCTAGAAACGCATCCAGATATTGATATCAACTTCCAAAAATGAAATGTCAGGACAGATCACTCATGAGCTAGTTTATCTTCTTCAGTTTCATGTAAACACTGCCAACTAAATGTAAGGTATATATTGCTGATCAGCTTTATATCAAGTCAAACAATGTCCTACAATCACCTGGCCAAGCCAGATTTTTTCTGTAACTTTTATATCACATGCTTGAAAATATATGTGAGCAGAGACCTATACAGTATATGGTCTCTGATGCGAGGCTGTATTCAAAGGACTTTCTTGAAGCTTCTGACTCTGTCCTGTTGAAACCTACCTTGCTGAGCTTCCTGTCCATGCCCCAGATTGACCAGGCAGTGAATCTTCCTCATCTGCAGCTTGTCAGCAGTGGCTTGTGGACAACCACAGGTCAAGGCCATTGTGATGTCTCCTAAACATGCCTGAAGTAAACGATCAAAAAGTCAAGGAACTAACATAAATGGCTGACATGTAGAAACCATCTCTAAAACATAATGTCCCATCCCAGTACAACAACCAATCGACAAGGACAGTGGTGAGGGAATGAGTTGGACAGTACTTCAGTCAAACATCATGACAGTTTATTGAGGGGAAAAGCCCAAAATGATGTCGGTCACAGACCTTAAACACTTCATGGGTATGGTGATAATAACCAGTATGAATCTTGAACCAACATCAGAGTCTGGCACAACAAAGGGACGCAACTCTGCACAGTGAATTCCGGTGCTTTAGACCACTTTCCACTGAAGGGCAGTGGAAATGTAGTCACACACAAAGATACATTTCTGGAATCTTCTACTACTTATTTCCTGAACATGAAATGAGATTACGACCTTAAAATATCAGCAAAGCAACTTCCCTGTCAACAGTGTCAATACAATTAGTTTCCCTGTCAACAGTGTCAATACAGTTAGTTTCCCTGTCAATGGTGTCAATACAGTTAGTTTCCCTGTCAACAGTGTCAATACAGTTAGTTTCCCTGTCAACAGTGTCAATATAGTTAGTTTCCCTGTCAACAGTGTCAATACAGTTAGCTCCCCTGTCAACAGTGTCAATATAGTTAGTTTCCCTGTCAACAGTGTCAATACAGTTAGCTCCCCTGTCAACAGTGTCAATAGAGTTAGCTTCCCTGTCAACAGTGTCAATACAGTTAGCTCCCCTGTCAACAGTGTCAATACAGTTAGCTCCCCTGTCAACAGTGTCAATACAGTTAGTTTCCCTGTCAACAGTGTCAATACAGTTAGTTTCCCTGTCAACAGTGTCAATACAGTTAGTTTCCCTGTCAACAGTGTCAATATAGTTAGTTTCCCTGTCAACAGTGTCAATACAGTTAGCTCCCCTGTCAACAGTGTCAATACAGTTAGCTTCCCTGTCAACAGTGTCAATACAGTTAGCTCCCCTGTCAACAGTGTCAATACAGTTAGCTCCCCTGTCAACAGTGTCAATACAGTTAGTTTCCCTGTCAACAGTGTCAATACAGTTAGTTTCCCTGTCAACAGTGTCAGTACAGTTAGTTTCCCTGTCAACAGTGTCAATACAGTTAGTTTCCCTGTCAACAGTGTCAATACAGTTAGTTTCCCTGTCAACAGTGTCAGTACAGTTAGTTTCCCTGTCAACAGTGTCAATACAGTTAGTTTCCCTGTCAACAGTGTCAATACAGTTAGTTTCCCTGTCAACAGTGTTAACAATGTTAATACAGTTTTATATAATTTAATAAGACTCATGACAAAATAGTTGTGGACAGAACTACCTGATATTGTTTGAGGTGGAAGAGCGCAGCAGATCTATTCCCTAGACCAAGAGCAAAAGCCGGGTTCTGTTGCGGTTCTGCCATGGAAGCATGCTGGATGCTCTGTAAGCAGAATAATTGAGCAACACCTCCATGAGATACTAAATATATAGACGTGACATTGTGTTTCAGTGCTCTTTTTATCATGATCAGAATTTTAAGATTAAATATTATCTCCAATATATTGTCTTGCAGGATGTAAGTATATCAAGACCAAGTGCTGTAAACTACAATACTTGTTTGACAGAGGAAGGCTACAACCTACCTTTGTGTAACATTCAGTGGCACGTTTGTACATCTTCTGCTGGAAGTACTTGTTGCCATCATCACGGTAGCGTACTGCCTTTTCTGTGGACTTTCTGTGCATGTTGTGACAGTTGCCCCAGTACAGAGGCAGCCATGCTATGTTGCTACAAGTACAATGTAGATCTAATGGTGACCGTTTTGAATGACAAACATATATTTATCAAGCATAATATCTGACAACCTGGCTAAACAATTTATGACAGAAAAAGTGAGTAATATTTCTTACATTGTGGTTCAATGAAAATAATGGTGAAATGCTTCTGTCAATATTGATGTCAAAAACATATTTTCAGGTCACATATTTGGGACAGAATTATATAGCACCAGGTATTGCTGACTATATATCTTTTGGATGTTTGGATGTTTGGATGGTAGCATAATATTAATAATAGTTTTGCATGAGTTCTGCCTTGATGTCTAGATCTGTGACAGGGAGACAGAGTTAAAAGGGGCCCTGTGTATATGACAATGTCAGTCAGTGTCAGACCAGTCTTGGTGCTCAGCATCATGTTCAGTATAATAGTTACAGACAATTATTAGCTGCAATTACTAGACTGAACTTCTTTACTGGATCAGGCTTCAGACTGGCTCAAGTCACAGTCTGTGATGTTACCGAGGTCAAAAATGACACTATCAGCAACACTAAAGGGACACTGGTTTGGAGTCTGAATTGGAATCTGGCTAAAATGTCACTAAATGAAAATGTCACAAAATTGGTAAACCTAGACACCTAGAAAGGTGAAACTGACCATATGTTATCTGGCGGAAATAACACTGTATCTGCTTCATCATGATCATGTCCATACTACATCAAAACAGTTCATAATCACATACCAACCAGTGGATACTTCTTTAAAAACTGTCAGCTAAGTAACAATATTTGATAATTGTGACTACATTTGAACAATTGTATGTCTGGTCAAGTGTGGTTTCAGCTGAATTCTGAACTTTCAGAACAATCCAAGAATGTGAATTTTTGTACATTTGAATCACATATAACTGAATGAAAAAATGTAAAGAAATGAGAGTGAGTGAGTGAGTGAGTGAGTGAGTGAATGAGTGAGTGAGTATAGTTTGATGCTGCTTTTAGCAATATTCCAGCAATACCATGGCAGGGGAAACCAGAAATGTGATTCTCATATTATGCCCATGTGGGGAATCCAACCCGGGTCTTCGTCAGTACAAGCAAATGCCTTAACCACTAGGCTACCCTACCGCCCCTGCGAACGTACAAAGTGCATCCATCCATCCATCTGTATGAATGTGTTGGTTGTTTTCTCAATTTTGGGCTAGTTTGATATGTGACTTTAAGCCTGATGCCTCAAATCCTATGACAATCCATTGCAGGGGACCAGAGACGATATAATAGATTATATGGTCTCTGAGGGGACTAACAAAAGTCTCTTTAGTTATATGAAGTTATCAATGCCTAAGTACTAGCCTGTCATTAGTGTCAAACTGTATTCCAGTCACATAAAACGTAATATCTTAAACTTAACCCCTCCCTCACGTATGAAAAGCTTAGAAACTGAAGGTGCGAGAATTGCCCGATAAAATGCATCATTGAAAAAAGGGGGAAATGTACATTATCACGAAATTAGGTAACATGTCGCTTAAAAAAAGATAATGTTTGTTACTTTATGATGTTTTGCTTGTGAATGAATTCGATTCGTTTGTAGTTGCTATCCAAATCAATAAAGGACTTCAGGCATCCGTCACTTTTGGCTGTCTTTGTCAAACTATCGATAGCACATTGCCAATTTCCAAAGTTTGACGCCATTGCTGAGGCAAATTAAGGGAGATAACTGCATGTACAATGTAAAGTGTGTACCATTTATTAATTCTTGTTTGGGTTTCTGACAATATCGTATTAAGACGCCAGACTGAATCTATTGTAATATTTGAACATATAATAATGGTAATTTCAATATATATAACTGACAATAATAATGACACCTCATTGTGTGCGTGCGTGCGTGCGTGCGTGCTTGCGTGCTTGCTTACGTACGTGCGTATTCCCTACACGGATCATATATGTAGATCTACGCAATGAAATTATTGTATGAATTATAACTCAAATGTATTTTATTAATGCATTCCGTGTTTACATACCATATCCCGTGTTATGGATTTCGGGTAACTCGATCAGCCATTATTATAGGCCTGCATTTAGCTCGGAAAACGAAAGCTTCATAACTGCATAACATTTTCACACTTATTGTGAGCCTAATTTCCAACTTTCATTGTGAGAAAATTGAGTATATTTTCATTGATATTAACTAATTCTGAAATTGCGTTTTGTTTCATATATATGAGAAAGTGATTTTTGAGTGTACATTTACCTTTTAAGAAACATTCGCAGTTTTCTCTCTAATCACATGAACAGCAGCAAAACATCTTCACTTTTAAAAGACAACTTTCTCTAAAAAAAACCAAGCCATCATCTGAGTATTTACAATGTCTGTGTGATGCTACACTCCCGTGAGTTATTGTGATAAACATGGCCGTCCGAAATCGTATGACGTCCGAAAACTTATGATCCGATGATGCATGTGCACACTCTTCCCTTAGTCAAGACGGGAATCAATATACATGTCGATGTATATGTAGCATATTGGCCATACTCGATTATCCAGTGTATCATTCTCTAGACGCCTGAAGTAGTTATAATATTGTGGACTATGGATGTTTGGATGGGAAAACGAGCATTGTCAATGTGAGGTGTTTTTTTTATGTTTTGGCTGAACTAGAAAGGTGTTCTATGAAAAATAACAAGTATATCTATGAGACCCGTTGCAACCCAGTATTTCTATACTACGGCCACAATGATACAAGGGAGACATTTTGTTTTCTTGCAAGACAATTCCTGAATTTGCACGCACACTTCACAATATTTTTACGAGCGACAGACATCATTCTACCTGGGTTACTGTCTACCTAACTAAAATAGCGTACAAAGTTGTAAATGTCACGTGACGCTATGACAGTCTCGCGAGACTTATGACGTCGTCATGACGACAGATTCAATACCGATATCGCCATATTGTGTGAATCTCATACTGCTGTTATACTGCCACTATTCTGCGACTGGTTGCCTTGTAGTTTGCTCATCTTCGCTTAAAACGCCATGAATGGATACGCCCAAGGTATGGTTTTATTTCTAAGTTAATCATGTTAGTTTTTTTCTTTCTGTTATTACTTATTTTCTTGATTAAATCTGAGAAATTGAAATGATTTGACCATTGTCCTTTCCACGTTACTTGGGTACTTTCAAACTCTCCAGTCTTTAACCACAGAAACAACACGTTCATCCTTTAGCGTTAGTCTATATTATATAGAAATGCATGTATGTTTCCAATTTCAAAATACATGTCACCTGTCAAATATCTCATTAGTCAAAGCTGATGATCTAGATCTATGGCTGAATCTTCCCTTCTCAGTTCGAAAAGTTCCAGCATTAGGTTAGCCACAATGCATATGTAGGTAGGTCCAGTGACCCTTGGATTATCCTCAGACCAAAATTTTGGATTCTCTGTATAGATATGAAAAGACAAGAAACATTTCCAACAAAAGCAGCCGTAGAAATTCGTGTTTTTAAAGACCACTCTAGATGACTATCAGACTAAGTGAAATTTTAGCTAGCCCTGCTTTTACTGTGTTTACATTTCATTTTCTGTCAGTTGTATTCAGTTCAGTTTGCAGCAAACTCGAAGCATTGACGACTGGGTCTGAATTATAGCCCTCAAATGCTAAAATGTAACTGGTCAATGAGGGCTTCCGTAGGGCTACCGTCATTGCATTTTTAATTTTCTTCGGCACAATTTAGAAATCTCGGGTTTGTGGACTGGCGTGAATTTCAATGGTTTAAAGTGGTAGAACATGGGGAGCCAGGCAGGCAGCCGCCACTTTTAAGATAACTGTCGTGGTGTTTTTTTACGAATGTCCTACTAGGTTGAGTCGCTAAACAGTCTGACTGTGGCATTCGAACAATCAATGGATATCTAAAACAAAGTCAGTACTGTTAACGTGTGTCACCTGGGTCCACTTGCACAAAGCGATCTTATTGCTACGACTATTGTAAGCCTATGTTAAAGTATGGGAGTTACGATCATCTTAGCGCTAAGATCGCTTTGTGCAAGCGGGCCCAGGTCCTATTCTGTGAATGTAGACCACACACTGATCACTTGTACTCACGGAGGGAATCAGTTATGTCTACAGGTCTGTATCATGTGTCATTGAGAACATTGATTCGGGTGAGTGACACATATTCTCCCGCCTCACCGACAATGAGTACAAAAGCTATGTATAATTGTGTTTGCTTCATGTCTATATATCTAACAAACATTAATTGGTTCTTACCGTTGAATAAAATGGATATATGTAGCAGTACTGCTTTATGTCTACATGCTAGAACGTGATTCCCAATCTACAATAATACACTTTGTTTTCATTGTTAGCACAACCTTCTGTGAACAATTCCTTCATATACGACGATGTCTTTTATCTAATAATTCTATAGCATCTATAATGATAATAGTACCTGTCATTTACCATCTTTATTGGTACCTGTATCTTTATCTACAAAACCCTGTATATCCCGCTTCAAGTTATCACTTTTATTAATTCGTCGTGAGTATGGCCATTTTTATTTCGACGATGTTAAGATTTGAGTCGATGACCTGAACATCGACCTTTACTTTTAAATGTGCAGGGTGACAATGGATCAACAGAGTCAGTGTAAACGTTTGTATACTGTTATACTGCCCACTGTAACCTGTCTCGTGTAGCCTCATTTAACACACTCATTCCTTCTTTCCCGACAGCTATTGACCTCGTGATCAGGTTCCCCTTGAGCTTTGACATCTGGGCCCCTCCTGGACAAGTGGGTGTCATAGGGAATCAATGATATTCTAGAGAAAATATAAAACTGTGATAATGTGTAACTGCATCTCTCTACGATTAACCCTTTTCGAACTTTTTTCAACTAATAAATTAATAAGATTATCCAACCTCTTTAATAACAAATACAGTCTTCTTTCCCGACTTTCCTATCTTCTGTCTCAACATGTCCTCTCTCTCCCTGCCAGCGTCCTACTGGGAGATACATGACCATCCTTGAACCCCTGTCAGAACTGCCCCTCCCTCCCACCTCTGTTCCTGCACCAATCTTTCCCTCCGTCCTCCCTGATGCCCCTCACTTCGTCGATATCAACCTTGATGATGACGACACCCCGACCCAGTCCCCAGTTAGAGTCTTCCTGTCACGTGTGTCTGGATTCTTGAGGAGAGTGTTCCGTGTCAAGATGGAGGCTTAGAGTGACATCTTGCAACTTCTTGGATGTTGTGTCCCATATAATAAATACCTTGGATCTTAAGACATATTTTTTAAATACAAAATAACTAGTGATTTTGACTCCGCCTTTTATACCTTTCTGGCATTTTCAAACTTTTCGGACCTTATTCAACACCAATTCTGTAACACATTTTGGCACTTTCGGACAAGCTTATAACTTTTGGTTTTACTTGAATAATCGTTTCCCACTCAGTATTAACTATTAAAAACTAATGTTTTATCTTTCTTTTTGTCTTCTTTTTTTTCAAGCAACGCATCTATGAGCATTATATAACCATATACGGATTATTTTCCTCATCACATAGATGGATATTTTGATTCTTACCAGAGTCCATACACCGATATGTGGTCTCTGTTCTTACTCATTTGTGACAGCTCCACACATTTGATACAGAACAGGATCCACTTGCACAAAGGAAGCTTTTATCCTGTAACATTGTCTTACAATAATTTTATAGACATTAACATCAATTTGTGCCAACAGCCCCTGCCACCCGTTCTCAATTCCCTCACAATATCAGGTTTGAGTGATATGACTCCAATTCAGTCCTCTGGTGCCATGTCGTACTGTTGAATATTGCAGGGATATGATTAAGATCGTTCAGAAATTCAAACGGCAAGCATGATTTAGAGACCATCCATAGGGAACGACCTCCTTTATTCCATAACCGAGTGAGTGAATTTGGTTTCACGCTGCTGTTTGCAACAAAACGATGTGATCGTAGATATCGTTGCATCTCTGTATTCAGAGGTTCACTCAGGACAGTTTGTTAAAATATGAAAGCATATGTCGTGTGAAGTTTACTGAGAAACTCTGTGAAATGCTTGACTAGTTTATTACTAACATCTATGTGGAATTTGGGAAGTAGACATTTAGGCAAGAATTAGGCATCCACATGGTCACTAACTGAGCTCCCCTTCTTGCTGATCTGTTTCTTTGAGCATATGAAGTTATACTTAAACTGCAGGTATATCGATGATCTGATATCGTTCAATTATGAACTTCCAGCTGAATATACCCAGCAATAAAAGAGACCAAACGGTTTCACATTTAGATCTGTGCATAAAGATTCAGAGTGACAGAAAACTCTCAATACTGTATGATAAAAGGAATAATTTCAACTTTCCAATAATCAACTTTCCCTTCATGTGGAGCATTATTCCAGCAGCCCCAGGCGTAAGGGCCTATTTTGACTTGTACCATATGTTCCCGGGTTTTTTTCAAGTGAGTAATTGACTTGCCCTTGCATGTGTTTATGATGGATGCCACTGGTGGGACAGGATACGCTCACCTATCCACGAACCCCTTGTGAGTGAGTGAGTGAGTTGGGTTTAACGCCGCTTTGAACAGTATTCCAGCTATATCCGTGTCACTTAATGTGGGAGGAAGGCCTAAAGTGATGCAGGCCTCAGATGTTTACAACTTTGGTGAAACCA